ATCAAGAGATCAATTCGAGATGAACAGTACCGTCTATGACAGAGCTTACATCAGGAGATATGAGAAGGGGAACGCTCAACGAAAACTTCGAAAGAGAAAAAACAAGAGAAAGAGCGGCAGAATATAATCTTCATGAGGGATGATTACAGAAAAAACAATCAATAGTCTTGTAAGTTGATTGAATGAGCAGTAAGAAGAACTTTCGAGATGGGCGTGGCCACTACGAATGATCAGAGTTGGACACCGAACTACAACCTCAAAGAACGATCAACGACTACTCGAAGGGTCAAAAACAAAGTCAAAAGGGTATTGAGATCCTTCTCAGATCCGGGAGGCTTTCAAAAAAGAAGAAAAAATTATGAAAATTGGTGGAGTATAGAGAAAGTTCTAAGATTCTGAAGTTCGCAGGACGACACCGCGCATTTCTTTTTCAAGCGATGAAAATGAAAATGCACAAGTTTCATTTCTGAGGAATTGAACGGTCGTGCTCTTTTTCACGTGATTTTCATTCCTCAACATGAGGTCCACGTGTGGAGCGGTCGTGCACGCGCATGGCTCGGAATAGAAAAGGTCCTAACTCAACGAAAAATGGACCAAAATCGATGAAATTTGTTGGAAAGAATACTCTTTAGGATATGTGATGATCGAATGATACCAACACGATAAACAAACAACAAACAACGACCAGAAAATGAAATGTATGAGGCTGACAGTCCATGTGAATTCTATAACAATCGACTGACAAGAACAAGACAAGGAAAGAATAACTTCAGGCTCATGAAAGTTTCAATTCATAGGAGGGTTAGATGGAGGAGAAGCCTTGGTTCAAAGAACGATGAACGACTATTTGAAAAAAAAGTTAAAAAAAAGTTTTATGATGATGTCCCCTTACCTACAAAGGATGGAGTGATTATATATCTTAAATAAGGAGTATACGTGAACGCAGCGCACCGTCCAGAGCGGTTGCAGTCATGATGAAGCAAAAGACGTACGGACCAAATAACGCGGCGCGTTTCGACAGGGGTACTGGCTCATAACACATAAATCGTAAAACAGTCCAAAAAGTTAAATTAAACGACTAAACGGAACCTCAACCATTCAGAATGGCCGCAATCTGCAACAAGTGATCTGCGTGCTGACCCAATAGATTCGTTTCAGAAAATCGCTGCGTCATCATGAAAATGTTGTTGCGTATGTTGGTTTTGAGTCTAACGGCCAATGGAATCCCGATCAGCACGATGAAACCATGAAACAGAATTAATTTACTTCCAAAACTTATAATTTAAGGTTTGCTTTTAGAGAATGGAATGGAGCTTAACTTCAACCAGTAAAGATTTACTTAAAACTTTTATCGAAAAATTGGATTCCGCTCGAAGCAGTAAAATAGAAACTTTACTAAAGCGAGATTCTTTATCAATGGAGGATATGAATTTGATAAAGGTTAGCACTTCTGTTCAAAGAAACCGAACTCTCTGTTTTACAGGATAATATTGGAAACGATGTTCCATTGTTTGTGTTGTTCAACATGCTACCTACGAGTTGTACTAAGAAGGAATACACGGCGTCAAAGGAGTTCAGGTAGTCTTTTTTAACAATAGTCCTGTACTCATTTTCTTTTCTCAGAGTGTTGACTGAGAAGTTACGCAGAAAACAAGAGAATATGCAGTACAGAAAATTAGTTGAATCGGTAGATTCAACGCAGCAATACGGACAAGTCAGTTTACCTTCTTACTGGGAATCATCATTGTTTAGGTTCACCATATCCAAAGTTTTGGAGCAGAGCTTAAAGCTGTTAATCGTCAGTTGATTTCCGTGTTCAATGTACTTATTACAGTTGTTGGTTCTTTCTTCTTCGGTTTCTCGGGTTAGAATAACATCACTGTAATAGAACTACTCTGATTCAGGTGTTACCTATGCTTACCCTCACCTGAATCTTGATTTGGCCACGAGGTTCTTGATTGGATTAGTCTTAGCAACTATAGTTTTCTTCGCCGATTTGTACTTCGTTATTAAATCAATGGAAGTATGTGAATCATTTAATCCCAGGTGTATAAACTTGTTCCAGGAACCTGATGAAGCCAGAGAGGCCTACGAGGAGTCCCATGCTCTGAATTTCAAAGGAAAAGTCAAAAAAGACTCCTAACTGTACAAAAACATTTCACTTCCTCTCCAAATTCACCCAGAGAAAACAAGCGTAAATTATCAAGTTTTAATAAAATTTAACATTCCTCATTGAGCTTTCGAACCTTGTGTAAGGAAACAATCAAGGTGATAATGAGAGAGAAGTAATCTGGAGAGAGAAACATCTGTGGAAGTCGAAAATGCTTTCCAACTCATGAACGTAAACAAGGAATAGCTTAGAATGCATTTTATTACATGAGAATATAAACAGAGGAGATCAGAGAAATGATCTGAAACAAATATAATGTTCGATATCGAAATATAGCAAATTCTTAAATAATGATTATTAGTTTTGAACTCTTTCTAAGTGTTGTAAATGACATGATTTGAATTTGAGACTAGTGAAGTCAAATCTGATATGAACCCGAATCACTCAAGGAAGAACACGTCTTGTTTCGTATATTGTTGGCTTTCTCGAAAAAATTTGCCTGACCTTACCAGTTGGTGCTTCAGTAATAGCCAGAGTCCGTGATTTGGGAGCAAATTTTGTCACAATCTAGAAGGAGCATCTGAACTGAGCAAACATCTCTACGCTTACTTCTTCATGAACTCGACTACGTCGGGAAGGTCCTAGTGGAAGTTTTCTGTTTAAGTTTCCCAGCCGACATAACTCATCCATAGTTTCTTTCGCCATTTCCTGAGCATAAGTGTTCACATCATGACCAGTACTGTTAAACATGATGGCGTTAGCGAACATCAAAGCTAGTCTATGAATATGGTATTATCGGACAGCATCTTTCATGAAACTCACTTCATTTTCAGTTGGAGTAGGTTCGAAACCTGACCGCTTTCTATTTCTTTTTTTAAAGTGCTCAAATCCATTTTCCTAAAAAAAAAATGTTGAAGAGAGTTGGGAACATTGATCCTCACTGTTTAATAGCATCGCTATATCCGGGTGCTTCTTTCTCATTGACAGGGTGTGAGAATATTCCCGAGTGTTTGTGGTTACATACAATTCTCCATATATTCAATAGATAAGCCTCAAATAAGGTATTCATCTAAACCCAATCTGTGATGAAACATACCTTTGTGGACACATTGTCATCTTTACCCTTCTCTTCTTTTCTGGGTCGTTTAGAAGGAGAGAAACTCAGTTTTCCATCATCCAATTTATGATTTGCTTTTAACAATAACACTATAAAGATTGAGAATTTTAGAGAATGAAGCTCTTTTCTTACATCTGGCGAGCCATTCATCTGTGTCATAAAGAACGAAGATATCCTTTTTAGAATCTTGTTTGCCTTTTTTCTCGTCTTCATCATCTTCAACTGAAGCACTAGCGGCTTTTTTAGCTAAAGTTGCCAGAGCCTGGAGGAAATTGAAGTATTATATCGACGCGTGATTAAACCAACGTCATCGTCGTCATCGCTCCAGTCTTCTTCTTTCAATTTTTTGCCCTCTATCCCGACTGTCCTTACGAAGAAGCGTTCACTCGTATTCCAGGACACAATAACCTATGAAAAAAAAAAATGAAACCTGCAGTTCATCATTAAGATACCTTATCGTCCTTTTCAAATTCAATCTTTTTGGTTTGCACTCCCACCTCACCATTTGAACCAGATGCTTTCTCTTCAATTGTCACTTCTGATCTACGGGTGGATTTACGTGAAGCCTGAGGAAAAATTCGGATTGAATAAATCTAAATTGTGTACCGCTGATCTCCGGCTGTCCTTTTTCTCTTGGTGGTTCCATAGAGATCCCTGGATAGAAATCTCTGTCATAGTTCCAACTTCAGTGAATGCAGGTACTTCGGGAATTTCCGAAGTGGGAACAGACTGAGTGGACGGAGTTTCAGAAGGAACTCGGTCATGACTGTATTCATTCCTGCTGAGCGAAATATTGACTCGGAGAACAAACCAGAACTTACATTTTTCTATCTTCTAGGTCAACTGAATCAGAATCATTGTTCTTTCCCTTCTTCGAACGGCTGGATATCAGGGGTGAATCGACAACACCTCTTCTGGATGATCGTCTATTTCTTGAAAGTTTAAATAAAATCCTAATTGCAAACAGTATAATTACCCGGCAGGACTGTTTTCAACAAGAATGTCGTCGAGAGCTTCAGTGCGAGATGGCTTTCTCTTATTTCCTTCCTTAGCAGTTTTCGAATGTGATTCTTCTGAAGCTACAACATCTGTTTCCTCTTTTGGTTCTTTCTGAAACATGGATAGTTAAAAGAAATATAACAACAACAAAGCATACCTTCCCCTTTCTCCTGAGAGATTTGTCGGAGCTAGTGGTTTTTTCTTTAAGAAGTGAGTCTTGAGAACTAGAAACATCTTTCACAATCTGAAAAAAAACAGTCGTAAGTTAAGCTTGTATTGAACTCACATTAGAGTTAGTCATAGGATCGTTGTTAAAGGTATTAGAGGAAGCGAATGATGGTTGATCCATAGAAGGAGACATATGTTCTCGATAAACATCCGCAATAGCTCTTATGGGAGATTTGAGAGGTGATCTGAGAATATTGTTTTTTGTTTTGATTTTGTGAAGCTCGAATAATACTAACCTTGCTGGTGACGTAGAGGTTTCATCTAATGCTGTTAGATCATTTAGAGAGACAGGTCTTGCGGAACCATCAGAATCTTCGGTCTGCAAAGATTTTGTAAAAGAGAAAACGTGTGATACTGACATTTCCTTCTTCTTCTTTCAGATTGCAGTTATTCATAACTTCTTTCAATCTGTGCATATATGAGTTGACTACATGACAAAGCTGATGCTGATCCGACACCTGCATATGAGAACTCAGTGAGAAATATTGATGAAAATTTAACCTTCGCATCGTTAACTCTCGCTTCATGGAGCAGATCTTCAACTTCACTGTTGGAATAACTACTCCCACTGTTCCCTATTAACCGTTCGATAATTGATGATTTTTTCCTCAGTTCAACTAACTCCAATTCGAAGGTTTTTTCGTCTTCTTTCTCGATCTGAAGAAGGATTAAAAAACACATTCCTGATTAACTAACCTTGCTGTCCATGTATGTTATCCAGCTATCAACTAATGCTTTACGTGAAAAGGTGGTAGTAGATGAAGCAGAAGCTCGGTGTCCAGGACACGGCGTTTGCAGTATCCTGTCAAATTCTGTTTGGCAGCTCTAGATTGAAATTCTTCAGTTATTAAAAAACTATTCAATCTACCTTTGGAGTGAAGAAGCCACGACTCCGTGAGTCGCAAAACTCCTTGCACATCTCAGAACACCGCGAAGGCCTTCAATTCTTTCATTATCAACCGGAATTAAAAAATGCATACCAATCAGGACTGACAAGAAACTGCTCTAACAGCATCCTTTGTTCATGGATTGACCATGGGGTATTGTGTCCTTTTGAAAAAACCATCTAAAATGCGGTTTTAGCCGTAGAAGGTCAAACATTAATAGATATTATAAGGCAAAAAAGCCAAGAATAATCAACTGGATCGAATCAAAATATATTCTTATAAGGACATACTGACTAAGCAATGCAAACATAAAAATACATGTAAGAGTCGAGTAATATTATTAGAAAGCTTTCCGTCTTCGTTCTTTGATCACTTGTTTCACTTTATCAACTAAATCTTTGGCTTCGGTAGGAATATTTATATCACGAACGTCGAATCTGAAAGTAAGAAACTTGTACGCAAATGTCGAGGTTACAATTTCAACAGGCTAACATGTCTTCATGAAAAAACGATTAGACCGGGTTTAATCAACTACTAAAGAAAAAAAAGAAGGGATGAGATGAGACGCACCTAATTTCACTTTTCGCATCGTTTTCATTGGTTCTGAATATTAGAACATTCGGAACTCCAGTAGACATCCGTAAAAACCTGCCATCGAGAATGTGGCGGATGGAGACACAACCTCTTCCAATCTGAATGCATGCAAGTTATTTTTTATAAATAGTTATGATAGCTCTGCTTTTTAAAATCTTTTCGTTGGATCGAAAAGAACTGAATGCGAATTACGGATTACCACTTTTTCTGACCGTCATCTTATCACGTCTCACATATGACAAGACTTTGTTTTAGAATTTTGGCTAGTGTGATTGTAAATTCCCACTTACATCTTTCACATAAAAAGGATCAGCGTTTTCTTGGAGTCGAGGAATTTCCCTCAATGCTCGAGATTCCATAACGGATGGAGCAGACGCAATGGACTGTTTAACAGAAGACTGCTGAAAATTTTCCGGTTTTAAGTATATGTAGATAAACTCTTACTACTGAAAACGGTACTGTGGAGAATCCTTGCGATGAGAGATTCCTTGAAGAATCCGAAGGGAACGAAGAGCTGAAATCAAACGTGAGATAGCTCTGATATTCAATTTTACCTCGCGCCACTGCTCATCAAGAATGGAAAATTCTGTCCTGACTTCTCCACAATATCTTCAATACTTATCAGGAGGTTGTAAACTTCATTCATTTTCTGCAAGGTGCTTCCTAAATGGTAGCGTAAGACCTGAAGAATTTTGAAAGCACTTACTGTCAGTTATATCCTTGCCTCCTTCAGTCCCAGAGTACCTACGATACACCAGTTTACCATTGGCTGTCTTTCTTACGAGTTTTTCTGAACAATTGAATATAATCATAAAGACGAGAAGCTTCTCTTACCACCCAGTACATCGTCTACGACAGGCACTACTCGGAAATCTCCATTCTCCATCAACTTAGCAGTTGACATTATAAACTGACTAGGTCTCCGGAATACAATCTGTGAAGTCTAATATTAAACTGGAGTTCTGATTATTCCCTACTTTATCCACTTGGCTTTTCAGCTGAACCAGCATATGTCTAACATTGTTGTATATTTTCACATCATCTTCAGAAAGAGAAGCTAATCTGAAATATACGGATGAAGAATGATGATTTGTGAATAAAAAAAAAGTTCTTCAACATCTTATCATTTTTCTCGAACATATTTGGCACCTCAACTCGAGAAAATCTCGTCACACATCGACAGGAAAACCGATAGGGCGGGGGATCGGATGCGCACATATAAAAGTCTAGATCAGGCTAACAGGATACGATTTAACCCTCAGGCTATGCACACCGAAGAACGAGAAAAAGAGCTTTGGAAAGAAGCTGAAAGCTTACGGAGGATCGCTTTTTTCGGGATCTGTATAAGGTAAGTACTCATTTCTACTGTCTCAATTAAGAATTATTTTCAAGTACTGTTGCTACCATAACATGCATCGTTGCAATTCCAGCGCTTTATAACTATATGCAACACATCCAATCTACCTTGCAAACAGAGGTTTCTCAACTATATTCTTTTAATATTTTATAACTTTTTTTTCCAGGTTGAATTTTGCAAGCACAGAACTGTCGGGTTATTCGTGCAGTATGAGAAAATGCAAAGAACCATTGGAGTGAGAGGCAGAGAGATAAAGAAAAGGCAAGCAGGTTACGATTTTGGTTCCGGTTAGTTTGCTCATAGAATTCAAATATCAATAGTTGATTTAGGTGATACTGCGAACGTTGACAAGAGCGCACCTAGTTCGGATGATAATAATATGTGCTGTTCTTGCAAGAGTGGCTCCGCTGGTGCCCCAGGTCTTCCTGGTCCCGATGGAGAGGATGGGCATGACGGAGAGCCAGGAACAAATGGAGATGATGGAGATGATGCAGTAGAGAGCGAATACACACTGAAGGAGTCTGACTATTGCTTCGATTGTCCTCCTGGACCACAAGGACCACCAGGAAATCCAGGACCCAAGGGAGTGCCAGGAAGACCTGGTGACCATGGCGCTCCAGGAGAACCAGGTCTCCCTGGACTTCCCGGAGAACCAGGTCCAGAAGGACCAAGAGGACAGAATGGAGAACCAGGAGAGCCAGGAGAACAAGGAACACCAGGAACTTGCGAGATATCTGATATTCCTTCAGGCCCACCTGGACCTCCTGGTCCAGCAGGCCCGCCCGGAATTGATGGTCCCCCAGGAACATCAGGACAACCAGGAATGGACGGTCCAATGGGACCTCCAGGAGATCCGGGATTAGATGGAGAACCAGGAAAACAAGGAGACGCGGGCGAAACAGGACCATTAGGAAGACCAGGAGAAGGTGGTGGATGTGAACACTGCCCACCACCAAGAACAGCCCCAGGCTATTAAGTGGTTTTCCTTATTAATATAATATTGTTATGCTATTAATATAAATAAATTGAATTTGAATTGATTGTGAAATCTTGTGTTTTTTTTTTACCCTCTCGCGCAGCGAAAAAAAAGTGAAAGTGTAGGAATTTCGCTAGAACAATGGACTGTTAAAAAAAACAAACTAGCTTGATGATACCGGAATCGTGAAAGAAAAAAAACAATCCCGATACAACCATGTACAGTAAAAAAAAACTAACGTGGAGAAAGGACCGCAACGAGATGTTCTCATTAGTTCTACTCTAGGATCATCCTGCTTGGGGAACGGCTTGGTCGATAAAACGGGGAGATAGGTTGTTATCTATAATGAACGGAAGTTATTACTACTGACAGTCACGTTTGCCATGGACACAACCGTTTTAGCAAAACTCAATTGTGAAATGAAGCCACCAAAGCAGTCGTGACGACTAACGTGGAATTAACGTGGAATTAACGTGAAAGCCACGCGACTAACCTCTTGTCTCCTATTCGTGTTGAAGTAAATTGACATGATCTTAGCCACAGTTCCTTTAGCGCTTTCTTGCTCGAAGAACAAATCTCCCGTATCCGTCACCCTTAACTAAAACTATACTGAAAACAAGTATGTCCATATGCGTACTCTGCCTATCCTTGGTCGAATAAAAATCTTTCCATTCAAGCGTTCTGTTCTTAAAGGCCAAGGCTGATCTTTTCTTCCTATCGCAGTAGGTAATAGTGACTGAGAAATGTGAGCTGGTTTTTTTTGTGCATTATGAAGAATCTGATCGCCTCCACTTTGAAAACCACTTTCTTCTCTTCTTTCCTTAGTTATAACATGTTCCCGAGTTGGTGGTTGACTTGCAGCTCTACGTCTACCTCCCTAAGTAATGACACTAGATCAAACACTACTATTGGACCACTTGCCTCGCGTTCATAGCCAGCACTCATTCGGTCTGAACCTCTCCTATCGTAGGAAGCGTCCCGACGACCTCTACTGAAGCGCTCTTGGTCCGTTGGACCAAACCTACGATCTTCTTGACCAGATTTTCGATTTATCCCTCGTCGTTCATATGATGTTCTCTGCAAGAGTTTCATTCACAGAAAATTTCCAAGAAAAAACAAACAGCTCTATCAACTGAATGTTCCCTCGAGCCATAGAAGGAGTTCAAAGTGCCTCGCCCATCAGGTAGATACGTTTTCATAAACTGACTAAGGAAAATTTCTTAAAAGAAAAGATTCTTTGGCCATCCGATATCTAATACCTCGTACTGTAATCCTTTCCGATTCTTCAGCCATCATCGAATTGATCAAATCGGCAGCAAGATGACATATATTATTCAATGGCGGTTTACCTTTAAATATTATATGTAACTACTAAATGCAAACGCTGAACAACCTTTTACAGGAGGGTCCTCGGCTGTTAGCATTGTGTACATAGCAGCTCCCAAAGAGAAAACATCTGCAGCTTCATCATATGAATCGCCGCCCAATAACTCCCTACAGGTTATAAAATAATCAAAATCACAAAAAAAAACTTACGGAGCCATAAACCCTGGCGTTCCTACTATTGTTCTAGGAGGTCCTCCTGTTCTCATAGAACGAGCTAGGCCAAAATCGCAGATTTTCTGAATATGGCGAAATGATGAGAAGGAAAGAGTGCACTCACAATAGTTGGTAGTAAGCCATCAGATGACATTTTCGATATTAAAATATTTCCTGCCGACAAATCTCTATGCATTATTCGTTTGGCATGGAGCTGTTGAACAGCACAAAGCAATTGCTTCAAGACATAGGCAGCTAAAGAGGTGTGAGATCATTATTAAAGGATATTATACCTGCTGTTTCAGATAGAGGACCGTTTTTTCGGACATAAGATCGCATAGAACCATGGGGACACAGTTCAAGAACAAGATAAACATCATTTTTCGTTTTGAACTGGCCGTAAAACTGAAGACGAACAGTTTTCCCTTATATGATCAACGAACGAACTTGCCTTTATTATATTATTATGCGAGACATTATTGAGCAGTTCATATTCAGACTTGATTCTATGCAATGGAACCCCTCCAGACCCACAGTTTATCTGAAAACTTGATGAACTACATGTTTTTTTTAATTGAACCAACTTTTTTGAGCGCTACTCTATTGAACTGTGGGTGAACAGCTTCATAAACGACTCCAAACCCTCCTTTGCCAATTTCTCTGACAATTTCAAAGTCCTTAAACGTTTCGTTTCTTCAAAATATGCTAATATATGAAAATTATACCTCTAACCGTAATCCTGCAGACATTTCATTGCTTCATTATATGCTTTGGCTTGCTTCTCCCCACGCTGAACTAATTTACCACATTTAAATATTCGTTCGCGCCAAGTGCCATTAGAGCGCAATTACTCATACGCATCAAGTTCATGTAACACATTGCAAGTGGCTTCTTTATAAGGACGACAGAGTATGAATAAATATTTTATATTATATAAATTTTCTATAGTACAATGAGTCTTCTAACTGGGGAGAAGTTTTGCTTATGAAGCTAAAGATGTATCGTCCGGCGTCACTACGACGTCTTCTCCTGACTTGATTTTACTCAACTGCAATGTCATCTTCATTAGGTGGTTGTGAAACTGTTTCTCACTTTGATTTCTAAGAGTTGAAGCCTTTTATCTGCTCTACTAAGCTTTTTCTCTGCATTCGATAAAGCAACTTCTACGTTCTCAGCGAACTTGTTAAAACGATCTGTTAGTTTGAATAAGAAGGCGTTGTAGAAAGCAACGAGAGTTCTCCGATTGATAGGAGGAACCGGAAAACATTGAAAGATTCAAAGCAATTCTCTGAAACACTCACTTTTTCCAAATCTATATCAGGACGTATTTGATTTAGCTGTGAGTTCTCCATGACTAAAAAGAAGAATATGGTTAATCACAGCACTCTTCTCAACATCACAAGGTTTGAGTCCTGTTTGTCAATCAGCAAATGATGAATTAGTATTTATTTCATGATAGTCACAATCATATACACATAAGGAACGGTTCAACCATCCACAACTTTTATTTCGTCTATTTGTTTTCGAGGAGTACTCAAGTTAGAATTAGACTCGCGTGAGTTGTGAAGAACAGATTGGAAATTTATGCGCGGTAGACGTTCTGTAGGAGGCAGAAGCTCATTGAGGGTTTCGGCAGCAGGCACAAGCTCTTCTAACAGTACCTAAGTCATCAAACTATGAAGAATACGAAAAATGAGAGGTTACTTGGATGGCTTTTACTTCATCTTTGACTTTGTTGAACTTGGAAACAATCTCTGCCATTTCATCGCAAGCCTTTTTTTTATTTGTTAATGTAGTAGCCACGGTGGTGAGTTCAACATCAAGCTATAAGAGAGTACATGAGATAACTTGGAGTCATAAATACAACATACTTTCTTAGTTTGAGAGTCTAGGGAGTTTTGCTCTAATATGAGTACTTTAGAACAAACTTGGATGTGTTCATGAAGACGAGCGGAAAATCTATAAAACTTGTAGGTTACTGCTATATCTCTGTCAAACCAACCTGAGGATAGGAGAACTGAGAGATTTGAGAGTGCTATCAATGGAAATATCTTTTTTACCGATAGCAGCGAGAAGAATTGGGAGGAACTTCGGGATATCCTGAATGGAAAAGTAGAATGAGTTGATAACAGTAGGAAAGTACCCTGAATCTTTTGTACATCTCATCTTCATCTATTGTGGTTTGTTTGACAGCGCCATCCTTTACAACAACTATTCCCTTACTCTTCTTTACACTACCTTATCAAGGAATTCAATAGCACACCATTATAATTTTACTACAAACCTTTATTCGGTAAAAAAGGAAAAGAGGATGAAGACGGGGCGGACGAGGAAGAGCTTTGTTCGTTCCCCATTCTTGGTTTTATAATTTGATTTAATTAAGATGATGTACTCTCAGAGTATGGTGAGGTCCCATGAAAATTCGGTCAATGCCGGTATCAGTCCAATGTCTCTCGAAATCAACTAGTGTATCCTTAAAAGGATTATGTGATTATATGTTGTTTCAACCTAACAACCTGCTTAGCAGTCCCAGGTATAGCGTCGGAGTCAGGATCAGGAAGATGATCTCGAGGAATTTCAACGTTCTCCTGAAAAAGGGGTTCAGAAAAACAAAAATAATTCGAAAAAAACTTTTGGAAGTCTATGGAATGTCCACTCCTTGTCGTAATAAAGAAACTGTTCGTCAAGAGAAGCCAGAGACGGTAGTGTGCTACTCATATCATGAGCAAACCCCTTCTAGTCTGTCTAATGTCAATTATTGAAAGATCATACAGCTTAGATAGATATTTGTGAACAGCGTTAAGAACCAGTAATGCTCATCAAATCAACGAAAAGTTAGAAATTTATAAAACGATCACAGATAGTAAAAATGAAATGTATTATGCAGACCCATTCTCAGTATTTTAACGGCTAAAACATCCTAAGACGATACGTAAAACGTAGATTATGCCTGGAAGATTGATAGTTACAAGCCTTCATGGCACCTTTCCACCTTTAAGTCTCCATCAAATCTCTGAACTAAAAAGTTATTTCCAGCGTCCTTTTTGTATCCGAATTGCTCGTAGAAAGTTATGAGAGAGTCTTTACACTCCAAACTGAGTTTGTATACCTCTAACTAGAAAAAAGAAATGCAAAAACAGGATATAACTGAACAACAAACTTTCTTGGCAAGGTCAACGAGGATTTCATTCAGTAACACTCCAAGTTTCTTTCCTCTCATTGACGAATCTACAACAACGTCTTCAACTCTTCCTCGACATCCAGCCTCGTGGATGAACTTCCATTCAACTACTAAAGTGGCGGCTCCTACTACTTTTTCAGTGCTAGAACAACCTTAGATGAGTATTCAGAAATTACAAACTTCAAATTCTCCAAAACAACGACGTAATAGGATTGGGGCTTTGTTCTCATTGTTTCGAACCTGCTCAAAAAATCGTCCTCGGATATTTGACCAACACTGGTCAGCTGAGCGAGAACTTCAAGGAAGCTGAACATTCAACCTTATCAAAACGAAAGTTACATTAGACACACCCATCATGGTAATCACTGGTTTTCAATGGGCGGATACGGATTCCATCGGGAACTTGACCTTTGAACTCTTTCAATAAAGCGGGAGAGAACAAGTAATCTATAAGAAGCCTCTTCGAAGAGAAAAGAAGTTGGCAAACCTGAAGTCTTTGGGGTAACTGAAGCAATTGTCATCGTTGATTCTGAAGCTTGAAAGCTGAACGTAACGAACGAATGAAAAAAACAGATAGGAGAATGGATTCACACCAATGAGAGCAACAAGACGGAATAAAAACTATTTTTAAAAAAAAATAAATTATATTATGCTACACGTAAAACTTTCTGTGTTAGATCCGTTATCAGAGAAGATTTCAATAAATTAGTTTCGAGCGTATTCAATCATAACCTATCTAGTAAGGCAACGCGGTGCTAGTATGTGCAATATTGTCATGGAACGGAAATGTAAAACTAAGGTACAAAAGGTCGAGATCAAGTATAAACTACGAAAATCAGACTTCAGTCGCTGGTCCCATATCTAATGAGACAGATAAGCCATCAGAGGTTTTTTCCGTGTCTTTGAACTCCAGAATGGGCGACATGTGCTTCAGGAACTCGTTATAATTTCTTTGCAGTTCGTTCTGAGATTCAGATAGTATTCGATGAAGTTCATAATAGAGCAAACCTGGTAAGCTTGTTGATCTGGCTGAATCAGTTGCTTGTTCAAAGCTAGAGCATCACAGCATTTTTTCGAAAGATCCTTGAAGCACAAACGCAGTTTGTTTTGAAATTTATCAACAGGTTTTCCTTTGTCATCCCTTGTCACTTCCCGTAAGAATATATTTGCAACCTGAGAGAAAATACTGTGTCTGTATGGGTTCGTTCAATTACTTGGATGGGTCCTTGATTAACTGTTGTCCCAATACATCCCTGTAGAACCATTTGAAGCATTTTCGCATCAGGTGGGTTTTGAGCGATAGCAGCAGATAGTTCTCTGAATTTCGAATTGAAAAAAGTCACGTGCCACTAATTAGAATAAAATCTCGCCACGTGATATGTGGGCGTTCATCTTCATTCAGCTCGTACAAACTACAGAGAGCGGTTGCTCCCTTTGCATGTGCACACGGTACTTTCATACCTTTTCCAATTTGAAAAAAAAGAATGTACCTAGTTTTCTTCTCAATATCTTCAATAGCCACCTGAATAGGAAGCAGTACTTTTTGCTCTCTTGAGATCACCCTGATCCTCGTTTTCAGGTAAGGGAAACTGTAAAACAAGCATGAAAGACTGATCAATTAAGAAAGAAAACCAATGTTGCGCCGTTAAAACTGTTCTTCGCTTGCACTGATCCTTCAAATCTCCATGAGCCCGACCGTCTCGAGTGAAAGGTGTCGCGTAACTGAACCTATTGATGTTGTGACTTCTCTCAAAATGTGTTGGTCTCCTTCTTCTTTCCCATTTATCGAAGTAAGGTTCAACATATGTGATTTGCAGGTACGCGTTGTTAGGTTGATGAGCGGAACGAGATACCTACAAAAGATTAATAGTACATCAATGCACAAGACGACGAACGTTATTCGAATCTTTTATCACTTCCACAACACCTTTGCCGAAACGTTCAGTGTAGAACAGCTCCAGGCGATTGCTAATTTCCGAGAGCTTTGTAAACGGTGGTTCCTTAAGCAAATTTCACCTTCTCTTTAGAATGTTTGAACAATCTCACCTTATATATGAATTCCTCACCATCCAAATCTCCAAATTTCGAACCATAAAATCCAACGCGGAAGTAAGTCCCAAAGCAACGTTTATCCGAACTAGATGGAATATTTAGATACAAACTGAACTAGAAGAGCAAACCCAGGTAGAGGAGACAACCAAGCATCGGAATTTTCTTCGACTATTGAAACAGAAGGTTCGATTCGAGATAAACAATCGCTTAACCGTGCATGTATTGAAGCTAAGCGCCTGAAGTCACGCCATTCTCGGAGAGTAGGTTCAATAACCTGGAAAGTTCCGGTAAATATTTTAATGAAAAATTTATTACTTTGAACAAGTCCGGGAGCAGTTCATACATTTGAGCCTTCTCATAATAAGATGCGCACTTATCAATCAACTGAACGAGCCCAATGGAAGTAAAATGTTTGGATTCACAAACACCATCAGTTTCAGGGCTAAAAATATAAACTGTCAAAAAAAATAAAATGCAACGATGAACCTAATGACATCATCGCTGACAGCACTTTCTTCGAGAATGTTGGCGCTTATAGAGTGAAAATCGACCGCCCCACTTGGCAAGTAACCAGCTGTAGTTGTCATCGCTGTAATATTTACAGTTTTCACACGCCGAGCGGTTGCATTTCGCTGTGTTCTCTTGGGACATCAAACGAAAGGTATACCTATATATTCAGCTGCTAAAGCGGAGGCGTGAAGGAGGCACTGCCCAGCTTCACACTGTAACCCTTTCTCAGTGTGTCTTGAAGCCATATTGAGAAGCCACGTAAGCCTATGAAATAAGAATGAATTCGACCCTGTTCATTTAAAACTCCTCACCTCAAATCGGGATTGTTTTGGTAGCCTTTCGCAACTCGATACATCAAATCCATAGTCATCTCATAATCATTAGCATACTCTTTCATTTTTACGGTATCTGATAGAATCATGTGCAGGTTGAAAATCAAATCCTTGACTTGTTCGGAGAAGCAAGCTTGACTTCTCATTATAGAATCCGACCCGCAATCAGTTTCAGCATAGATTAGAACAGTCTGTAATCAATACGTCTCTAGGTTCCACAACGGATGTCACAACCTTCAAACTTCGACGGAGGCAATCTTCGTTAAGCCACATGCCGGCTCTAGTTCCATTCGATACTAATGTAGAAAGAGCCATAGTTATTTGCATTTTGAGTCGTGCGAAACTGTTTCCGCTGTCAAAACTCTCTCTCATAAGCAGATATAGACTTGCAGCAGCCTAAGACATTTTTTCACTGGATGAGGAAAAGTCGAATCTCTCACCTGTGAACGAACTGGAGCAAGGCGAGAGGCACAGTGCTTTAAAAGTTGCAGACAAAGCTCAGCGCACTGCTCAGTTTCCTAATGTATAGATTTAGCGAAGATTTTAACTATCGGTACCAACCTGCTCAAAGATCATTTCTGGATATTTTAGGAATAAGGCTCTTAAACTAGCAAAAACATTCTCTAGAGCAACAACAGACTGATTGCAGCTGAGAATATGAATCTGAGAATACAGAACGATATTGAGTATATGGTGGGTTGTATACCATGCCACGAAAAACCATTGAAATGGAGAAGTAAAGATGATCATTTCCCGGCATTGAAACCACACGAATGATCGATTCATAAGCTTCCAAAACGCACAAAGTTATTTCTGAACTGAGCAAGCCTTCCATGATAACTTCGTTATGACAAGCTGGAACAAAAAATAAAAATATTATTTCTTCGAATTACCTGGACTAGATAATGCATCCACTTTCACAGCAACTCCTTTTCTCCATTTGACCTGGGATTTGCTTTCTGGAGTGCTTGCGATTTCACTGGTTGTTGAAGGAAGGTCAGTAGAAGACTGTAAATCGTATATAGCTTCAGATTAAGCTAACAACTAACAGTGGGTTTGAGCTCGAAACAATGGATAGAAAGGTCCAGTACTCCAATGAACTGAGCCAACTGCACTGGGGGCAAATCCCGTATCCATTGGCGTAACACTGATTCGTCCAAATGCTGTAGTACCCAACAGTAACACGATAAGAGCTTCAATATATCTCAATTATCCGAAAAAAAATACCACCAATACCTGTCGAGATAACTCCTGGTTGAATCCAACCTTTTTTTCTTTTTCTTGGGCTGAAGTAATGGTAGGTTGGTTCTGAGATCCTATGCCAGCTATAGCCAAAGCGACTTTCGGATCAACAGAACCATTTTCCATATTTGACTCCATCGATAGACGACTAAACAACAACGTTATTTCAGAGTTCTGAAACTGTTACCTTCTGTCGAAAGTTATCGGACGATTCATTGTATTGAAAAGCTGAGAAGCATTGTCCATAACAATATTGATCAGAGGAAAGTAGAGAGCAGCTACACGAGAAAGAACAGAAATATCAGACAACCGATTATCCGCTTCATGAGTGGCAATAAGGTTTCGGACCGTACCAATAGCTCTAGAATATACCAGCTTTATGAATTTTTCCCAAATAAATCAAACTTGGCATATAGTAACGTTGAGTTAGAGAACTCTAAAACAGAGCTCAAATCGGAGAGCACGATTCCTACTAGGAAATGGAATCTTCGAAACTCAGGGTTCAACTGATCAGAACCGTATCCAAATGAACCCATAGAATCGGTCCCAATCGACCGACTGCTTAAACTAGAAGCTCCAGGACTAGGAGGTTGAAGTTGCGTTGACGTTAACCCGACGGAGCTAGAAGATGTAGAAGTGGAGAGAGAGGTAGGCGCGAAGGGTAAGTTGAGAATAACGAAATGCTCATGTGAGCAGATGATTCTTATGAAATCAAGCTTTATAAGCATCAAAGTACTTGACAGTGAATCAGTAGTGTTCAAGATTTTCGAAGTCACATCCTAGACCATAAAGTCAGAAGCATAAGGAAGAATGATCACTCACCTGGACAAACTCTTTAACGAGTTTCATGATGAAAGTACGATCCATCAAAGAGAAGGCGTCTCTTAGAAAGAATGCCCAGCTATGAGCAAGTGAGAATGCTTGTCGAGCATCTTTCTGAAGTCTGTTGTTCATCTAGAAAACTTGTTGTACTCAGAATAATCAGTAAATGATACATCAGCCAGAACAGCATTCGATAAGGACTCCAGAAGTTTCAAATACTTTTCGGCGAACCTCGACCTTCTAACCAAATACAGACGGCCAGTATTTGACAGATACTCCGCCATTGATTTTAACTTAAAATGTCGAGAGTTATAACAATAGTGAACACGATTATCATACCATCAACTCGAGCAGGAACCAGGCGTTCAAGAAAGCCATTTCCCGAGCTTGACCATAACTCTGAACCCATAGGTCAGCTAGCTCTTCATGAAGTAACTTCCAATTCAATACGTTTGCTGACTCAACCAGAACTTTGTTATTTGAAGCACGCTCAACTCCTTCTGTATAGGATGATAAACCATTATAAAAAATAGAATTTTACCAATTATATTGAAAAGCTTTTGTGTCTCAGGGGAGTTCGTTCGATTTTTGTCACCAGGTTTCATTGCTTGTAATGACTTCTCTGAGGGCTCTCGAATAGATTCAAATGATTTTCTGCGGTAAAATAAGAACATACCTCTAGTTGATACCTTGAAGAAATGAACGTAAGAGGCAAGAAGTGAACTACGCCCATGGTTATCCAAACATGAATCCAGCAGAATCGTACAAATCTTGGCGAGGTGGCCTAAAGTTTCGAATGAAGCACTCGCAACTGCTTCTGAAAGTAATGATTAGCTTCATTAAACACTAGAAGATATACCGGAGAAGGGTGTGTCAGTGATCATAAGAACCAGCTTATCAAGAACATTGTAGAGAAAAGCAACAAGTGGCTCAGGTCTTGCTTTCAAAATTCCCTGAGATCAAAACGAACTCAGAGTTTAAAACAAAGAAAACAAACCCGGATCGAAGCTATCAGAGCTTCCTCAGTCAATGACACTGCGCGCTTGTTCGTACAAGTCAATGATGAAACAGCGACAAAAAACCTTTCGAGGTGTTCATCCTGAACATATGGATGCTTTTTTAATCTTAGAAACTAAACTTACCTGTGGATGAACTGATGATTCCGGTCTGAGGAAGACATTGAATAGTGGTTTATGACCATCTAACCATTTGATATTAGGTAGAGCTCCTTCAGGATCAAGATATCCATAGCTATTTGGAGGACGTTCGATGCATATGGGTAGATTGAAATCTCCGGAAGTTAGCTTTCCGTCTCGGTAGAGTGGAAGCCACTGAAAACAGATGAAGCTCTCCCACAATCTGATCAGTGGAACTCACTGAATAGCCGATAGGATATTCAAACTCCTCATCCTTTCCTCCAGCTTTGCACGAAATATGATAAAAGGTGAACAGCAGGTGAAAGCCATCATCAAGCTCAACAGGAATAGCAATTTTGACTTCGTCTGCCATTTGTGGAATTCTTAAAAAGTATAGTAACATCTTGGAAATAAGGAGTGATGCCTACTTGCTATGATAGATAACCGTTGTCTGTCCATGACTACTCAGCGAAGTTCCGGCATTATTAGGAAATACAACAAGCTGAGGAACTTCTTTATCATTCATCAACTCCACTCGAATCGAAATGTTTCGAGCAGTTCCTTGTCTACTCGAAAAATTGACATGCTTCGGATAAATGTAAAGGAGATTTCTGAAAGAGATGTTCATTTACTGTACACAACTTCGTTACTACTTGTAAGAGTTCAAAACTGCATAATTTCCTTTGCAGGAAAATTTCTGAACTTCCTTCAACAAGTCCCCTCCAGCTTCACTAAACGGAGCAACACGTAGAAACTCAGGAGATATTCTTCGAGAGATATCTTCACCAATACTTCCACCTAGAATAAGAAATGAGTAAACGTACTATTAGGTTAGCAAAAACCTGAGAGTTGGAGAACTAGATCAACTGGAAATGTTTTAAGCTTAGTCAGCTTGCCGCCTGCCTTTCTAGCTTCACTAAGAAGCTTGAACAAATCTTCTTCGGATATCTTATCATTTTCCTTTAAGAATTGAACTTTCAAAGAACACGAAAAGGAATACTCACATAACGGAAGAAGGAATTCAAAGACAAAGTGAAAGTCTGTAAGTTTGACAATGATGCATCACTTATCTTTCCACTTTGATCAGTCAGTGTTACACCTTCATCGCCATCTAAAAAAAGAAAGTAAAGTAGAAAAGATAGTAACGAACCTAAGTTTTTACGTTTCTGCAATGGAGTTCGCACCCGCGTGAACATTGTTGACGCTGATGTACCACTACCCATTCGACGGAATGTTGAAGTTGATGATATCGAAACACGATCAACACTCATGATGCTCATTGTATCACTCTCTGAAGAGGCCAAAGGTGCATCTCCTAAGAAGTTGAAGTTAGTATCTCAAACAGTTTCAATATACCTCCACTAAAAGAAGTACCGCAAGCAAAAGCTGAAGCAGTCATATCTGTCTTATCCAAAGACGACGCACTGTTAAGCACCTTTTGAACATCCACAACCATGAAGCCCATCGGCATTCTATATCTTCCTGGAACAAATTATAAGAAAGCATAATTAAAGAGAGGATATACCTAATCTGGAGCAATACTCTGTTGCTTGAAGCAAGAGCTTTTCCTTAGATTTTTCATCTTTTTGCGAACAGTAAGCATCAACAGCATCAGATACTTCACATGCATTGAGAACCTTTTCCAGCTGAAAGAAGGAAATCAAAAAAAAAACTTAAATGGAAACGATTTCAAAAATTGATAAAAGCGCGCGCCCAATGAACCGACTCTCATTTTATCTTCAAAGGACGCAGAGAGCGGTTGATAGAAAAAAAGTGGCCCACCTTAACGACTATAAATATGTCCGACACATTGCCATTGAAAAAGAAGGAAGCATGATTGCATCTTTAATAGAAACAAACTGATGAAGAAAGAAGAAATTGATAAGTTCTACCTGCCATGAGGTCCCGAATAAGTTGTACCATCCTTCAACATACTCCGAACTTGTTCTGAATTAACATCAAAGTAAAAGCTCTCAGTCAGTTTTCTTCTGTTTCTAGCATCATAAATAGCCATTGATCCAAACACAGGTTCAAATGTAGGCTCCATGCTTAACTGAAGTAAGAAAATCGTAAAAAACAGTGTCAGGTTATATCTCGTCACCTTCATAACTTTGATCAACAAATTGTGTCCCGAGTCTTTATCTTCGGGATAGGAGGGAGCAGACCGTCGCTCAATTACTTCGTCTTCCATTTGCATAGGCAATAAATTAACAATATTCATAGATCTGTTGGCTTTTCTTTTGTTTTCATTCTGTTGATCAAGCAGAGCATAACTCGTTTTCTGGGTGATTCCTTAAAAACATAAACGTACATCGAGGTAAGGTTGTTACTGACCAGCAATTATAGGATCAGGATGGCTCATGTGCAAACGAGGTTCACGCAATTCTCCTTCCAAGGATCCCATAGTTCCAGTAGATGCTGAGGAAGCGCAAGAAAGTCTTTTAATCAAGTTTTCCTAGAACAACAAAGCTCAACTCCTAGTTAGAGGAAGGGACGTTACCTGTGGATTACCATCTGCTAGCAAACTCGCACTTCTAGCAATTCGGTCAGAATGACCAGTTTCGAATTCGAAAATTGGCTTTGCACAAGTCCTCGCTATAATAGGACGCTCCATCATCATACGGATATATGCTTCGCCAGATCCGAACTGTTGATGCCTATAATAGTTAATTGATGGTTGTCAGCAAAAATTAATTGAGTTTCACCTTCTTTGCACCAGAGAAAACTTGCCATTGTACGAGAGTAATATATCCTTCACATGCGATTCAATTTTTTTCCTGCAAAGTAAAGAATCTCGTTTGTCTGCTTCATGAACTATACGTCGCTATATCATTGATGAACGGATAGTCCAAAGTTGAAATTTCGCGATCAACCAAACGAACGTCTATATCGTCAGAAGGAAATTCACATACTCTTTAAAAACATATATATGATTCTGAATTACACTATTCAACCAACTTTCTATGTGTAGTTTTCCGCTGTCCTAAAGCTTCTTCAATATCACATGGATCAACGACATCCAACAAAGACAACTGAAAGTATTCTCCTTTCACACGGTTCACTACAATCTGTTTACTGATAAGGATCCACTTGCTTTGTCCAATGACACAGAATGCACTAAGACACTCCCAGTCATTATGTGACGACGAACATCGGCAGCAGTCATTCTAAGAAATCAGATAATATGAAAAAACTTTAATCCTATCATACTTGCTCCTCTTTCCAACGAAAGCACGTTGGCTCGGTGTTACTGTACCCGACATCTTTGTTTGTTAATTCAGCTGTTGCAGATCATCCTTTCCCGGATTCCACTATGTACACTCTTTCAAAAATATAAAGTTTCTAATTCCCTAGCATTTATCGATATACATATTCAAATTGAGTTTGAGATATACACGAATGGAGATGAGTTCATTGCAGATTCAAATGAAAGCTATTATAAGAAAAGGAAATGACTTCAAACATATGTTCAACAAGGATTAGCTTATAGAACTGATTACTTATAATCTGAACAATCGTATCAACAATAACTTCTTTTAGTTAGCAGAACCATTGTATTTGATTTTTTTATGCAGCTTGTACGTAATTTGGCGTCTCCTCTAATGCAGCGAGCCTCCCTATTGCCGCCTACTGTTTCTCAACGTTAAGTTATAAACAGCGTTGTTCAATCTGAATATTATTGGTATCATCCTTTAATATTATTTAATGTTATTGTGAATGAAATAAATCATTTTAATAGAAGAAGACTGATTCATTGACAAGTAAACACAACATGCGTAGCTATGAAACTTCTTCCGTAGGTGAAAACAACCGTTCTGCATGCATGCATGATCGAAAATGAAAATCTTGAGAACGAAAGTTCAGAACTGATGGCCTTCATTCACATGAACTATGAATTGCCTGAGGCTTCCTAAGGAAATGTGTCATCGTTATAACTGTTCCAGTGTAACATTTACACCTAACCAGCTTTTCCTGACTACGCTAGGCTTGGTTACAGCGAGAGATGAGTCTTTACATAGGCTGTATAATATAAGGTCATAAGCGTTAATCTTTCATCGTTTAAAGACAAGCGAGTTCCTCGGCAAGTTAATGTGAGGTGATACGTAAAGAGCTGGTTTCTTAATCTTATCATTACACAAGTGCCTGTTTTATTATGATCCTCCTCTTGTCGCTAGCTGTGTTCCAGATACCATAAACATCTTTCATCTCTCGGCAGGGTATCTTTGGCTGTGCCAACCTTTGACCATATTGCTATAGCAGATGCTGTCAAGTCCTACTTAACATTTTTTCCACCGCCATAAGATTCGAATATAATTATTAATATATTGTAAATCCAGAAATACACATTCGTCCATTGCCAAAGCAGAATGATTCAGCTGGTAACTGGTTCTATTCCAAATAAGCTACTTTCTGGTAGACTTGTCTTTCATATTAACCATTTCGTTATCTCATTTTTCATAGTAACATCGTAGTTCTGCAAAAATATAACATTTGTTACTTTCGTTCATTATACTCACATTGGTTAATTGACAGTTGATGTGTCTTTCTTTTTTGTCGTTGTCCTAATGAAATATTTGGTTTGCTACATCGATATTCAAATGTTCTATTCATTTAAAGTTCACAAGCTGAATAATATTCTCGAGCGAAGAAACAAACTGACCATGTTTTGAAGGAAGTCTCAACGATAATCGGAATTTTCTGAATTTCTAAAAATAATTGTGCGATCTAATCATAAATGTGCATTGTTTTAACATTCTTTAAAATAGAAGTCCATCGTTATTTTGAGAACTTTCATCGTCGATGTTGAAATGTTGAAGACCAGCCTTGAAGTTGTACTAACATGAAAATTAGGTCTATACCTTAAATTCTATTTACCTGAATGACATCAGTGTTAAGATTGCACTTTCTTGAAATTTCAAAAACTTGGCCTACTCAAGATCAATTACTATATATATGTGAGTGTGGGAAAGAGTCCGAGAGTTTCCCTTCGATCTGCATATGCATCTTCCCAACAGAATGAATACAGAACCTGACCAAAACTTTATGTTTATAAATGATTTCTTCGCTGAACATTGTCTTCTCCTTTCTCTTCACTCAGTTCAAATGTGCGACAAACGATGGTTGTCGCTGATATGATGTTTTCATTCTTTTTGTCGCGTTCGTCATACATTTTGTTCGTACTTCAAGCCTCTTTCTAAACGTTCGAAACTATTCAGTTCTGCTGTCCAAGCCATCACTGAGATAACATGGACCACAACACCTTATTCAATATTCAAAGCTGGTTCCGTTCCAAGAGAGAAGCTGCGCAGGTACTTTTTCGTTGTATATTTGAGAAAAGAATGACGATAGATTAATCCAACATTGAAATGTTCTTTCTTCTTTTAATCATCTTGCTTTGTTTTCAGAGCCGTAAGGCTGTCTTGCTTCTCATGCTGTTCAATCTTCTTAACTGTTTGGCCATATCCTTCGATGCCTTTGAAAAACCTTCGTCACTATTTTTCACTTTGAATGGATTGAACATACTTTCTGTTCTTCTAGCTGTATATGGCATCTACAACAATAAAATTATATTCACTGTACCGGATGCTCTAATCAAAGTATGCTCTTTTCAATTTGTGATCTTCAATAGTTTTGCCATTTGTATAGGTATGCCTATGTTCCTCCTCGCTTTTTTATACCCTGCACTTGGCTGAGACTCGGAATTTCACATCTGAATATCATTTCGCCTGGCTTGTCGTTTCCTACATCATTCTTATGTGGGAGCTACAATCCATTATTCGCATATCTTTTGACATCATCAAACAGAGTGATTCGAAATCTACAAAGCCTCCTCCACCATATCACCAGGTACCCATTCAAAGAAAGACTGTCAAATGAAAAAAACGTGTCTTTAAAGGTTATTTCGGAAGAACAGCCACCATCGTATTCGGATGTGATGGAGAAAATTGAGAAAGGTGGCTCTCCTATCTCAGGAATTCATATAGTCTAAAGGAACCCTGTAATGCTAAAGGACAAGAATACAAAAATTGTATTGCTAACTACTAAACTTTCATATGGGTCGTTTCGGGTTTACGTTTCGCAGATGTCTGTAACCTACAAGTTGTCAAACTGATCTCATTGTTATACTTAATATTACCATTGTGGAATCTTAACTAATTTAATAAAATGATTGTTTGGTCTTTGAATACCCATGGTTGTCTCCTATCAAGTCATATTTTGTCCGTTCATGTTAATGAAACATGATAATGACATCTCCCGTCTATAAAAAAGACATTGAAGAAACACATCACTGAGAGTACATAGGTGATGGCGTCAAGACCTGCGGACTCTGTTCGCGATCTTTATAGGAAAGACATGGAGAAAACCAAACATTTAGTTCAAAGAACAGAGCAATATAGAATTCTTTCTTTAAAAATATGTACATTATCAGTTTTGAACAATCATTATTGCAATAATGGATATAACTAAATACAAAATCACTCGTAATGAACAGATCTTCGTAGCTGGTGATTACTAAATCTTAGAGAGCTGTAATCTAATTCTGCTTTTGAAAATATTTACAACTTTGTAAAAATATATAATAAAACTTTGAAGTATTTATAAACTCTACACACCCAACTCAATCACTCCATTGGTGTTGTCTGAACACACTCATCTGTCTGCTGAATTGATTTAGGTTATCTTCCAATGACTCATAACACTTACCGTTTTTGCGCTTTCTGTGAAAACGTTACAACCTCCTTCACCCACAGCAACCAAGGCGTTGGCCATAGCGGGAACACAAATCTAAGATGAGAAACGTTTCCAGTTTTTTTTTGCTTACATTCGTACCAAATATATAACTGCACCAATGTGACTTCGCATTTTTTTGTTTGGATGATTAGGATACCAACGATAAACTATTCTTCCTGTGGTTCCTGGAACTGGTGGACAGTACCATTGTTTATGACAGGCCATCTAAAGTGTTAATTCACAGGTTTGCAGATGCTGCAAAAACACAAACTTGTCTCATTTCTTCACTTGGCCACTCCACTAGAGGATGGCCAGTAGATTTTAACGGTTCAGTGAGATATTTGAAAATCTTAAACAAACAGTGAATGTTATTCCTGATGGTTTGCTTACATGTTCAATGTCTGTGATTTCTCCCCACAAAGGGTTGCCCTCTTCATCCTCTTGAGTATTCAGATCTCTTGACTCACTAGAAGACCCCTCGTCCTGAGCTGGAGGATTCTCTGTGCTTTGCTGGAATGAAACAGCATAGAATGAAAATTGCAATTAGGATTGATACCCTCTTAGAGGTTGAAGAACCCGCCGGATCGCTTATTGACGTTTTCTTCAGAGCAATAGGAGTTTCACAGTGAGGCCTCCTTGCTATGGCAACTCTTGCAGACCCATCAGATAACATATGTACTACAGAATTTTCCGGCTGCATCTAAGCAATAATAATTAAAATGATAAGACTTTCGAAATTCTTACGTGTGTTGACAACTGGCTAGTCCTATCATCGGGCTCTCTAGCACTGGGTTGAGGAGCAGCAGCAGGTGGAGGACAACCACCTTGGTGAAATGAGCTCGTAGATGGTCCCAAATGGGAACGGAGAGAAGTCCATCTACGATGAATAAACTTGCCGATTTCCTTCAAATGAGAAGCATAAAGTAATAGTAGAAAATAAGAAAAACCTCTACTGTTATAGGCGGTCCAACAATCTTATTGATTTGAGGATGAGAATCCACAAAGGAAGTTGTAAGTGGGGAAACGTATATGGGATAACCAACTGGTTGATCAGCAGAGCTGTTGATCATATTTCTGAAGAGAATCAGTGATCAGAAAATGTTCAAAACTGCCAAACCTCAAAACTTGTCGAGCATTCTGAATACTTCCTCGTTCTGGATTCCTATTTCTCAGGAAAATTAGCTCCTGCTGCTGACCTGCCCAGAACGCACGAACACACTCACGGTTCAGCTTTATGACTCTGGAAACGACATGTGTATTGGCTTTAAAATATTAGAAAAAACCTCATGTTTTGATGCATCTTGTTGAGCATGATTATTTTATAATCGTCCTGCCCGTCATCATACATATGCCGCAAAGCAAGAAGAGAAGGGGTGTTACTCAATATAGCTCTACGCCAAGCAGGATCTTGCTGAAATTACGTATGCACTTTGCATCGATCAACAACTCACTTCATGAGATATGAACAGACTAGCTTGATGTTCAGATATACGGTCGAAAAGAGACTCATTATTATCCAAATCATCGATAGCAGCAAAGTGATCCTTAAAGATAGGAATGACTGGTTAGAAAAACACTTCTAGAAAACCTGGTGAAGTTTTAGAGCCATTTTCACGGCTGGTGAGATTACTAAACGTAGCAAGTCCATATCAGCAAATACCCATTCATCTTGCGATTGTATACTACAAGAAGAAATAGTATCAAATGTGATCAATGGAGATACATACCGAAAATCTCCTTTGAAAAGAGCATGCAAGCCATACAGGAAAGACTCGGCAGCAGTAGAATGTCGATTATGTGCAGCGGTACCCAGAGTCCTCCTACCGACGAGCGATAGTATGTAACACAAAGCTACAACTTCTTCAAACGGTCTGAACAGGTATAACTTCAATTGTGACTCATATCGCCATGACATACGGTGTTTCTTCTTCCTCGCTCGTTGTTTTTCTCGATAAGCAATACTTCATCCATTCAGAATACCATTCCATAAATGAAGCTTTGGATATTCCCTTAAAATAAAATAATGAGATCATAGAAACAATTGACGAGGCAAACCCCTTCGTGACAGTCATAATCTTCATCGTTAACGGCACCAAACATATTATCTACATCAATGAACTTCGTCTTAACAACTGTCTCAACGGTTTTCCGCTGGAAAGAGAGAACTATCTGAAGTTGAGAACAAGCTCTCTTACCACTGTTTCATTTTTCAGCCATTCTGATAACTTTTCAGAACTTATTGCGTGGAATATTATGCATTTAACGTAGAGAGAAACCAGTAATCTTCTGAGCTCATGAACTTGGAGCAGATTTACCGCAGAGTTATCCGTGATTGAGTAACCATCAACAACATATTTGGCTGCTACCACCTTTTAATGCCGAACTAAGTACTGGAAAGGAAATTCAAACAAACCTCCCAGGCTAACCATCGCAATCCCCAAGCAGTGTTTAAGGATAAAAAGCCTGGCAATGAGCCCGGAGAGCAACAACAGAATCCTGTTCCTTCTGTTTGGTCTTCTGTTATTGCTTCAACCTAGACATAGCGGTAGTTAACAAAGAAGCACTAGAAAATTCTACCTCTCGTTGGTGGCAGTAGGTGCCTCGGAATTCGAGTCCTCTCAATTGGAAAGTTATAAACCCATTGCCTACTTCTACGATATGGACCAAGCAGTTCAAATAAAACCTATATCCCTATTGATGTACACAGGGAAATAAAAAGCATTGTACTCACCCAGCTAAAATGAAACAATCTCCAGGGTGAACACTAGTTGCCCATCTGCCCATAGCCAAATCGCCTGCCAAGCTCTTTTGTAAACTTCTGGTTAAGTGTTCATAAAACACAGCATTCAAGTTACTATCATCCAGCATTGGTCCTCTATCTATTTGAGCCGCTGAAAAGAATGAGTGAGCTCAACAAATTGAGATACGCTTACATAATCTTATATTAGATGCATCACTTCGTTTGGTGTTATAATCCCGTTCCCAAAACTTCACAGGTCGCACATAAGACGACAAAAAGAATGAGGAACCTGAAATAAGCAGTGATATTGAACATAAAATATGAACGAACCTAAGAAAGGATTGAGAGGAGCACTGACTATACTGGATACAATAGTCTGAATCCACAGCAATGCGGAATGAGGAACAGAGAAAGGCTGTGCAAACGCATGGAATGCTGATCCCCAACTGATTTGCCAAGGAGCAACATAAGCCATGATGAAGTTGATTTTCAAATACAGCTCCAGCCATTTCGGATACAGAATAACTGATATGTAAAACGTAACAGCAAACAGAGCAGATGGAGAGAGCTGCAATAAAACATTAAATTATGATATGATATGTCAGATAAACCTTTTCAAAAATTATAGGAACATGAGAAGCCCAATCATATCTGGTTATGATAAGAGAAAGAATCAAAGGAACATAGAGGAGCTGAGGATGTGAAAACCCTCCTCTCAGCAACCGTAAGCAAATCAGAGGAGTTAAGTATGCTCCAAGTGGCAAACTCCAGGCACAATCACACATGAGACAAACAATGAGCAATGGATAAAGCTGAAAAAAAGGTTGATTAAGTACAAGATGTGCGATGAAAAAGTTACAATGTTTCGTTCCAGCGCCTGCAACCAAACATATACCCGTTCGAAGGACATCAAACGTGCTTCATTCACACATTCAAAGAGACTGAACTCGCTTGATTTTAAAATTGGTTTGGCAACCTATAATATCACTATAATTAATTTAATAGCATGAGACTTTACCAGTTTCCAAGGAGTGTGTGTTCTCAGTTGAGGATAGACGTAATGATTCAAGATACTTGTCAGTGAGCAAATTATGGCAATAGTATGCTTAAACAATGATATAATTTTAAAAATAAGAATCAAACTCACAAAGAAATATGGACGAGTTACAGTAAAAACAGAGGAAGAGTGTAGAGCGAACACTGCGCATGATATGAAAATGGCAAAAAGTAGATCGTGGCGAGCTCGAACCGTAACAGAATCGAATATTTCGTGTGGAATATGCACTCCCAAACTTCGAGCTTCATCTTAATCCGTTGTTTCGTTGAAGGAAACTTCAATATCACAACAAACCTTCTGTCGTTTCAGTATCACTCTCGTTGTTATTATACCCACAAACTCGCTTAGCAAGATTGCATACAGCTTTCCAGAACGATTTGAAGATTACTACTGAGAGTTCGATGTTTGAAGAGAATCTGGAAATTTGACACAATGATGAGGAAAATTGAGAAATTTTTACCTGCTCAATATATATGAAAAGCCAACAGCTAATGCTAGGAATGTTGAAAACCCGGGGTTTTGAGTAGTGTTAGGATTTGTTTCTTTAGCGAGCATTATGCTTCAAAAAAACCGATTAACGTTTAAAAAGTAAGTGAAACATACATTCCAACTAAAAAAAACCAACAGAACACACTTTTGAAGATCTGGATAAGTGTGGAAAGAACACCGAAGGAGGCTGTTCCACCGAAGAAATGCATTTCAATTTGTTCCAGCACATGATGAACAAGAGTGCTAACCTGCACGATTCAACAGTATAAACTTGCTTTGAATATTAGTTATGTACGAACCTGTGGCAACCATCCTAACGTACAAGCAATTGGTAGTAGTAACAAACAACTAGACACTAAATCTCGCACGCCCAGGAGAATGGAGGCATCAGTTCCATCGAAAAGCCTAATTAACTATAGCACACTTAAAACCTAATTCTTTACCTGTACGGATTCCAATTCCATGCCACCGTATCCTCAAAATCTTCTGCAACATACGCATTCACAGTCAGAAGTATTATGCACAATATGGAAAAGTATATCGGCCGGCTATATGCTACAAGCCAGTTGAAACCATGAATCGGAGACGCAGCGTCAGGCTGTACACTTTTTAAAAGAGAAAACTGTAAAAAGAAGCAACGTGAATAATTGAAAACTAACACTTACATGAGCTCCGGCTACACCAAATGCAAAAAAGAACAAACTGAGGTCATAATAGATACCCGAGTTCAGTACCAAAGAAGCGAGTACAGAAACCATGCTTGCCAATAGTACATCGCATACACACGAAACAACGCTTCGATTACGATCGAACAGTGCAGCTACTGCTAGACGATCAAGCTGGAACATTTTGTGGAATAACATTGAAGAATTCGAAACGTACATTCACTTTTATGCATTTATTTGATATCGGGAACATCTTCATCTGATAATAACTCTTTTTCCCAGGTTGCTTCCTTGTTTCGTTTTCTCAAAAGATAAGTATTTGTTGAAAGAGAATGCCTCAATACCTTCAAAAGCAGATATCATGTCCAAGCAAAAAATTCGTTCTTGCATTTCAAGCATGCGAGTCTATAAAAAAATATATATGCATGAGGTAATAACTGGTAAAAGTACATGAAGTGGTCCACTGACAGATCGTCTTTGATCATAATTAAAACTAGTGCTATCACGGCTATCTGAGTCAGAACGCCTTCCATCTAATAACTCCATGATTTGGTCCAAATCACCTAGACGTCTTTCTTCTGGAACCCGAACAGCGGAACGAAATCGAGAAGCCACATTAACAAAAGAAACAACTTGTCTAAAAACAAAATAATAAAATGGGCACAACTGATTAATAACCTGCGAGGAGCACCGGTTCTAGTTGGAAGAATAACGCTGGCCGGTAGAGAAGGTATATAAGTGTAGCTTTCATTACTAGACGAAGACAAAGCACGTTCTCTCCTAGAAAAGAAAAATGAGGTGTTGGTATTGCATTGTTAACGAAGTGTTCAATCAATTCGAATGCAACGGCTCTGTGGTCTGAAAAAAAAAACAAACCTCGTTGTTTGAACTTTTGTAAGCGAAGTCGATGGATGGTTATCTTCGTCTTCTTCACTGCTAGCATAAGTGGATTCGTGAAGAACCTTAATGGAAAAATGTCTCAATAAGATGATTTCAAAAATTACATCTAATCTGGGACGAACAGTACTAGCGGCCTCCGTAAGTCGTTCTTTTTGAATGGTCTCCCACACGGTAGAGCTCGAACCCAGAGCATGGGCTGTACCGACTCCTAAAAAACAGTTATAAAGATATATGAAGAAAAAATAAAGGAAACCATGCTCGTCAAATGTATAAGTCCACCAATTTCCTTCAGCATCTTGGAAGGAGTGTACAGCGCCTTGGGAAGTATCTTCATGTCCTGAGGCGACATGAGTTCCCGATCTGCAAGCTAGCTCAGCGAGAGCTGACACAGCTGATGATGCAGAACGTGAACGGCTAGAATAACGAAAGGATGAAAGGGTAGGTATCTATTGCAAACTTCTGATTTCGGAATTGTTGTTGTCTAGGGAACATTCTCGCAAGTTTACTCAGTTGATCTGTTTGAATGGCACCAATACCGCTCCCAGGAGGTTCCACCAGATGAAAAAGCATTTGTGTCAATTCAGATTGTAAGAAACTAGGATCTACAAAATTTCAAGTTATGGGAGAAAAAACATCACGCAACCATGCTCATCTTCCGACTTCACCAGTGCTCCATCCGATTTTTCACCTTCGTTCAATGATACTCGAACAGGCAGCCAAGCGGCACTAGATGTAGATGGCCTATCAGTCAAACAATCCTTAACATTCTCATGAATTTCTTAGATCAAGTTCTATTTTACCATTTGTTGGTCTACGTGACAAACTAGATTAATGGGTGTTCCTGGGCGTTGAATCATACTTTTCATACAATCTTTGCTCGTTGATGGTTTGTCAGAGCACTAAAGAATACTTCATGTTTTCAGTATAGATTATATGACAAACGTCGTTAGAATCCTTTGTTTCCGTAAACCGAAGGAAAGTTTCACTAACTTCCGACAGCTCAACATCAGCCTCATTACCTTCATCTGTAAATTTTGCATTTAACTTTCACTCAATAATACTATTTCACCTTTTTTCTCGGTATCGGTCTTCGTCTTATCTTGGGAACTGTAGACTTTGGATACGGAAGCAGAACACTAAGAGTAAATGAGTAAAGCTCTAATCGATATGAACTTGTTATCATACCTCACTCGCCCCTAAGTTACCATCAGACATTCTTCTGACATGAGAAGATGATGTAGAGTTCAGAATCGGTTCAGAAAACCTCCTTCTGAGATCAGTAGCACGATTTTTAGATGAACTTGTATCCACCACAGATCTGTATACACATTAAAATTTTTCGATTTATAAATTGATTTTACCGTGCTTTCTCTGTTTTGAAAACTACTTTGGGTACTGATCCGGAAGGTTTAACAGTTTCTTCGCGAATGGGAGGCTAAATTAGTAAAGTTGAAAAGTCTTGTAGTACGACTTGACATACTCTTTCATCGAAAAACGTGTAATCGTTTTCTTGAACTCTCGTGTAAGGCCTACGATAAGTCGGTCTTTGAGACGTCACTTCAGAAGCTTGTGTAGAACACCCTGGTTGATCAGTGTTACGATTCGTATTCATTTCTGCTAATTCAATAACTTCTTTTGAGCCTGGATGAACAGGATCGATGAGGAATGGAAATAGTTTGGATATATACCTTCATCTGTTTGTTTATTAGTAATCACAGGCTCGGTAGTATCAAAAATTACGTGTAAATAAGTTACTAGCACCTATAACTCACAATAGTGTGAAAGAAAAGAATGCTCACTAACCTTCAATATTGTAAATAAAGCAAAAATGAAAGAAGTGTAGACAAAAACCGCCGTAAAAGATTCTTTCCCATTTAACACGATGCCAACAATTAACGGTAAAATAAAAAGTAAAAGCCATAAATACAAATGAATTGTATTACAAAATATAGAATGACTTGGTTCATAATACCTGGAAAGAAAACGTAAAGTAGTTTTCACAACACAACTTACCATCCGCCAGTTAGAGAAGCCCATACTCCTTGCCTAAGTATTTCAGCTATATGAGTACTGACTGTCATACTTGGGAAACATCAACAGTCATGGAGCTTCTAAAAAGATAACTGTTGATCAAATATCAATAAACGATATACAGAAGAAAAGGTGCGAAAAAGCGATGAAAATATTAATTAATAAAGAAAATCCGAGATGGTGCAATTGCCCCACAGAACCTCTCGCGATTCAAATGCAATAGTTCGCCCCGCCTACTTGGGATTGTACTTTCGACTAAGTTTTTTTTGCATAAAATAGAAAATTAGTTTTATAATCAAGGAACGCACCCAAAGGACTATAAGGAATAGAACCAACATCCATCAAATTTTGAAATTTGTTCGCGTCCTTTGAATCAATAATTGCGTTCTGACGTATTTCTAGTTGCACGTGAGTTTCGCGTTCGCTATTTATGCTAATTTCACGCGTCTTCTTTTTGAATTCGGAAAGAGCACGCCTCGAAGCGTCGAGAGTGTTTACAAATGAAAAATAAGTTGTTTTCTTTGGAGGTCGACATATAATTACGGACAGTATCTGATAGAAATCCATCAACGTTGGAGCTTAGCAACTGAATTAGAACTTATTCTTCTAAATATCAACCACAGTGTTTGTTCGCGAGCAGGATAATCTTGTTTCTTCTTACATCAGCACTAAATTGAAAGGAAGAAGAAGCCAGCAACTCAATGAGATCTGATTAATCTAATCATGCAAAGAGCGACCGACCGCTAGTGTGCGAATAATGAAAATGAAATGATTTAATCTCTTTTAAAGCATATCTTGTGCATGCACGGAATGTACGATAAGCTTGTCAACCGTCTTTTTCCCTTTCACATATTCAGTATGTATGCTGTTTACAGAAGGCGGAGCTAACACTAGTTCTTCTCCCTGTTCCTCTCTTCACCATGTTGAAACTTTGCTACGTTTTATAGCAGAGACAATGCCATCAGCGGCATGCCACACCCGCCCTCATAACTATATCATTCATTCAACATTTAACTAACAGCCATTCATATTCCTTTTGAATTTTTTATTTTCCCTCGTTGGCAACTTGTTTATATTTGTCTTTGAAGATTATCATGGCTGATCCCAACGCTACTGCCCCAGTGCCTTCAAGTGATGAAAAGAACTTGGTTGTTTCTTTCATCCAATTCATCCGTCATAAGGTTTCAGCTAACGAATGCAACTCTGATCAAGTTGAAGCTCTTGAAGGTAATCTTGAACATCCGCGTTTTTTTCTATCTCTGTTCTCAGTTGCCGTACAATGCTTGGAATCTGCCTTTGGATTGAGTGATGCAAACTACGCTTTCCAACCTTCCAAACCTCTTCTTGACATTTTTGTTGGAGCTGAAGGATTACCAACAGTTCGTTAATTTTAGTCTCAAGGTGAAAATTATATTTCTCATTTCAGGGAGAAACTGCTTTGCCAACACCTACTGAATCTGAAATCGTTCAAGCAAACAAGTTGAAGGAAGAGGTATTTGCTTATCTTTTCTTCCTCGCACAGTCTATGTCTTGTAGGGTAATGAGCTCATGAAGGCTTCCAAATTTGATGCTGCTGTCAATAAGTATAACGAAGCTATCAAGCTCAATCGTGACCCCGTCTACTTCTGCAACAGGTTAGATTCTTATTCGTTTGTACCTTACGAACATTTCATAGAGCTGCTGCTTTCTGCCGACTAGAACAATACGATCTTGCTATCCAAGATTGCCGCACTGCTTTAGCTTTGGATCCTAACTACAGTAAGGCTTACGGAAGAATGGGGTAAGCTCGCAACTGATCCTTATCTAAATCTTACTTTCATCTATTTCAGATTGGCTTTATCTTGCCAGAATCGTTATGAACAAGCTGTTGAAGCCTATAAGAAAGCTTTAGAGTTGGACCCCAATCAAGAGAGTTATCAAAACAATTTGAAAATTGCTGAAGACAAGGTCAACGAATTGGAAGGTGCACGAGGAGCCCAACAACCTGTAACCATATCCTACCAGAATATTTAGTACTCATTTTATTCAGAACCCATTCGCTAACCTTCTTGGAGCTGCTGGAGGAGGAGGACCAGGAGGTATGGATATTGCTTCTCTTCTTGGAAGCCCACAAATGATGAATATGGCTCAAACCTTGATGTCTGACCCATCTATCCAGAATATGATGTCTCAAATGGTATCATCTGGTCAAGGCTTCGGTAATATTTTCCAAGCTGGACAACAGGTAGGCGGTAATTATAGAGACATCGTTGATTTTTAAATTCTAAAGCTTGCTCAACAAATGCAACAGAGTAATCCAGAGTTTGTGGAACAACTTCGCCGACAGTTTGAAGGTCATGGCCCAAGTAAGTAATTCATGCGGTGCGGTCAAACAGATTTGTTTCAGATCAAGAAGATCAGGACCAGAACCCTCCAAACCCACCTCAATAGATTGGTTGCAATTCGGTGTTTTTGTTGTTGTTCCAACTGTATGAAGCTTAAAACAAAATTAAAACTGTTTGTTTAGATTATTTCTTTATAATAAAATATGAGGTAAATGTCTTTAATAAGCATGGAAAACAAAGAATTGAATAGACTCGGAAACCGTTTCTGGAAGATGAAGGAGTTACGAGTGTCCTCCCAAAAAAGAAATTTTCACATATAATTTGATTTTGGTGAGGAATCAATAGGAATTAGAAGTTTTGGATGGGAAACTAGCAGATGACACGCTGTATGCAGGAATCGCGCAAGCACTGCAATGCAGTTTCAGTGAACTTAGGTCGTCCTTAAGGAATTCCGGTTTATAACTTTCTGTACTTAATGATACCTGAGTAATCAGCATATGATATCCATTCTAAATCAGGACAAAACTGAGCAAGTTGGTATACTGACTTGTCTGTGCAAGCAGTTCCTCGAATTCGAACTTCACGTAGAGGACAGCGCCTATCAATCGATTTCAATAATGATAAAACCAAACGACTCACTTCGCTAAGTTACAAATTCCTTTATCTGTGACCCATCGGCATCCATTGAAGTTCACTGTTTGCAACCTTCGACAGTTATCACCCAAAAGACTGATGAATCGATCATCGATTGAACTCATATGCGACGTTTCCAAATCCTAAAAGTTTCTGTTTTCTATGTTCAATGAAGCTATTCAAACCACGAGATTTTTTGCTCCTTTCGCAATAGCAAACAAAATCCTATAGGTAATTCGCATACGGCATATCTTCAAGGACTGGAGAGTAGAGCCTCTAGACTTGCTTCCACCTAAAATAAAAAAGTATGCGAGCTCATAATATTTTCACGTAGCGACACGTATTTGATTGTCATTTTGTTTTTTGCATTGGTGAGGTGCGGTTGTGTTCGCTGTCAGTTTAACTCGAAAAACTCGAAAACGAGAACAGAAATGTTACTTTTCAGTTTTACCTGCAAAATATCTTTGGAGAATGTTTGTGTTAAGATGGTTCACGGCTAAAGCCAGATGAGTCATATTCGGAGTGTTATCCAGTATTAGTCGTAAGGCTTCATCAAAAAGGCGACTTACAGATACCTTTAGGATTATATATGAAGAAGCTTTACAATCAACGCTTTACCTGAAGAATTGTAATCTTAGGTCCTAAGAAAGGCATGATATATGATAATAAGTTATTAGCATTGTCTATAGACGCCTGAATGGAAACAGATTTCGCAGAAAATGTGAAAGAAAACCTACAATGCTGCCATCTTGTACAGTTAACTGTAAGTTGATAGACTCTAAGTAAGGCTGCGTTTCAAGGCACTCCACTATTTCAGCAGGATTTTCATTCCCGCTTAAGGAGATTCGAAGAGAACACACTGTAGGAGGTAGTAGAGGGAATGATGAGAAATAGTTTCCTGTAAACAAACGTTTCAGAGAGTCAAAATATGCTTTTCTTACCATATAAGTCAACGTCTCTTAAGTTGATTCCATCAATCTTACATTGCTCTGGTTGAATATGATCACCTTCATAATTCTGAAACCAAAACAATTAAGAGCAGAAGTAATTGAACAAACATCGTTGAAAAAACGAGCAATTGAAAGCTGGCTCAAGTTGGGACACAATAACGACAGGTGATTGAGAGAAGCTCCTGGATGTAAGAGACTTGAAGGGAAGTCCATTTGAAGGACCTGGAAGATTATTGTTTTGAAAAAAATTTATTTTTTCCTGGAAACAGAAATTATCTGAAGTGCCAAAGAGTCAATCGATTGACGATCAAGTGATGAATGAGTTTACTTCAGTTATTGTGTCGCAAATGACGAAACTCGCAGCGATAGTAATAAGAATATTACCTGAAGACGGTCTCCCACATGTTCAGCAATGTAATATAAGGCGGTGTCGTCTAAAGATGAGCAGTGGTTCAAGTATAACGATTGGATGTTTTGATGTCGAATGAGAACATCTCGCAATCCGATGCTTGTAAACTGAATGGAATGTGAGAGCAGACAAAACAAATTATAAACCTTTCCACATCCACTTAAATCTAATGTATGAAGATTGCGAGCATTTAACTCTTTCAAACTTTCATCTGTCAGATGCATAGAGCGAAGTTCAACAACTCGTAACTGCTGCTGAGACATAGTAGCCCATTGAATTCCCTGCAAGAAATGAAAAATCCAAAATATTTTGATGAAAAGCGAACTTGATCTGTAACTTTTGTACATTCCACAAGAGTGATTTTGGTCAATCGTTTATTTAAAACGGTTAATGCCCTCAACATGTTGTCTGTGAGATCATGTGTAAGAAAGAATGTTAGCTCTGAGAGATTCGTTCCAAAATATGGGGAGCATATGAGACGATCACAATCTGATGTGGAAAGCTGTAACATATTCCTTCAAATTGAAACAACATTATGAATTAACCTGGTCATGACTGGCGAAAAACTGTAGGAGTCGCTCTTTACATTCAGCTGGCATATAAGCCAGATCGTCACTCAGCTCATTTTGACATAGCGATGACAAACAAATATTGAATAGACTTCTCACCATTAAGAAAGTACAGCTAGAAACATGAGAATAGGTAGAACTTTGAAATCTGCTACAGGGGCGAGTGGTCGACTGAAATAAAGTTTGAGAATGGTTGCTGTATGAAGAAAACCGTTGCGACGAACAACAATCTTTTTAAACTGAAAACACCTTTTGAAAATTACTTGAGAGGATAGAGCAAACAGGAACAGTTTTCCCAAGATTTTAATTAAAACTCAAAACGAAAGATCTTTTTCATCAGAAAAAAGAGAGAAAAACGTTTTTGCAGAATCAAAAACTTCAAGGTTTTGTGCGGAAATCAAATCTATGCGAGCTGTTCTCATCTGCGGATATTACACAAGAACTACGAGACAGCAGGCAGGAGTCATCGGAAAGAAAAGTTGAGAGAAGCCCAATAAACCACGTGATCATCCGTGACGATATGAAACGAAAGGATTGAAGAGTGGAGAGAAATCAAGAGCAAAACTCTTGAGAGCAATAACAACATGAGGAAACGAAAAAAATTGAGTGCAGACAAACGGAGAAAGGTGAAAGAACATATAAACTTTGGAGTAGAATCAGTAAAACCATGCTGCAGGGAGCTTGGACCTTTGGACACAAGAAACTCTACCAAGCACACGCTTAACTCTCATTAGCATAATATGCGCGTGAACTTACCGAAACTCATTCATATTTTCACAGCTGCACCGAGCGGTTGCATTCAAATTTCTGCTTTCCCATGATCATTTCTGTGAATGTGTCTGAAAACTGCGCAGATAATAACTGACAACTACAATGTAAGATAGAAGAGAAGAACAGAATGCTTACAGTTTATTGATATAGAAATATATATAATTATTAACAATGAAAAATCTCTTTGTATATGTAGATCATGAACTAGAAATATCGATTTAGAAGAACAAGTCTTTCTGCTTTACAACAAAACCACACAAAAGCTCAATTGATAATGGTCAATGAAAAAAATAAAATTAATACCCGAAATATTTGTGAAATATTTCTTTTTTATTGCCAGGGTTGCCAGACTGACTCGGGTTTTAAACTTCTGAGCTTTGCATGTTTACGAGGTAAGTGAGGAGTGCTATTGTAACATGCAAGTCCAGCTGGACTTGTTTCAGGTGAGCTAAATTCCATCTCATCAAGGTTTGAAGATGTTGAAGACGAAGTTATCGGAGAACAGTTTAGTGAGTCGTTCTGAATTTCAGTACTGATCATACGATCAGGGGTTACGTTGTTATTAGTATTGGGCGAAGTATTGATCAAACTGATGGACATGAAATCTCTGGGAAAAAAACTTCGTAAGGACGACGAGCAAACAGAAATTCAAACCTCAAGTTATTCTCAAGTTGCTTATTCTCATTTTGTAATTTATAAATCATCATAGATTGCTGTCGCAGAGTTTCTTCCAACTTAATTATATTTTCTGAAATAGAAAAATGAACAAAGAACCCACAATGACGACTTACGCTTAGCAGAGTAAACATAGTTTACAGTCTGATCAAGGATGTCAGCTTTCTCCAATTTATAAGGATTATTGGGAATGTTATCTAGTAGAAACTGTTTCAAACGATTTATCTGAAGATTCTCCCTCTCTCGTCTTTGACGTTCCTTTTGAGATTTCTGAGCCTGAACATGCAAACTGAGTTGTACAATGTAAAATGTAAACGTACTTTCACGGAATCTTCAAAAGTCATATTAGAATTGACATTGTTGGCAAACATAGTTGAAGCTGAAAAAAGAAGAATCATGTTTAAACTACTGAAAACATTGTAAAGTCAAGATCATAGAAAAGAGAAGACGACCATATTTGGTAGAGGAGCCCATGAATATGATTCCAAATACTCAGATACCAACAGATTGGCTCAAAATAGGCGGAGCAACCTAAGTTCAGGTTGGACCTGGGAAAATGTGAATATGGACAAGGCCAATTTGCCAGAAGCACAAGATAAACCTGAGAAGGGAATCATCCTTATTGCCAAGTTTAGAGAAGTAAGAGAGAATGATGAGTGTTTAAAGATAAGAAAACGAAAAAATGAACTGTTATCATAACATGAACATGGAAAAATCCAGAAAACAAATATGGAAAGTTTGCGATTTTCAATGAAAGTGTGTCACTACAAGGAGTTTCGATAGATTTTTGAATGATCTGGTTGGAGGTAGAGGGAGCGAGGGTGAGATGATTACAAACCATTTAAGGCCGGAAGCAAATTGTACTTTGTACTGCCAAATTGGATTTTTTGAATTTTTCGTTATTGATTGCTATTAATAAAGTTTTATCAGTTTCTCAAAGAGCATAGTATAAGGAAGAAAGCTGGATGAAAGAGAGGAATCTGACCGCAGGTAGAGTTCTCCTCGTTGTAGACCTGTGAGCAAAGGTGTGAACATGATGGGATTTTCTACAATCCGGTGGATGTGAAGACCATGATGGGAAAGTTATGTTCGGTGAATATGACCCCGTCTTTATGTAAAACTCCCCTGACAATAACCAGCTGATTATGTGAAATAGTTAATAGCATACACGATGTTGCTCACATTGGTTTGCAAGGCTCACAACCCCTGTTTGGCATTTGTCCAAATGTTAACATAGTTAATTGATTAAGAAAAACATTAACAACTGTTGTAGCCATAGGTCATTCTACGAACTCTAAACATTCCATTTGATGACATTATCACGATTTGATGTGAGTGATTATGAACACGGTAATACGTGAGCTTTGACTCCCCCTATCAATGATATCTGACAAGACGTTTGTGAAAACATTCACACATATTGCTGAATATTGTAAATTAGGCTGACCTTCGAAGAACAAGTGTATATAGCTGTTGGATATTTGTAATGAGAGAGGGAGACAAGAAATTCTCCTTTTAAGGCTCATTGTTATACTTTTCCTGTATTCGGATATTCTCAGCCAGTTATATGAGAATTACATCTGTTTTTCACATACATTCATAATATTAACACCTTTATTCAAGACAATCTTCGAATACCGAAAATGGAAGAAATTACAGAATAATCGGCGATTTTCAACAGAACTTTGTCTTGTCCATGAACTCTTGGGCCTCGAAAAAACATTCAAATTATTAAAAAAAAAGTTTCTATGTACATGAAAGACTTCTTTGTGAAAGAACTTTGAACGGAAAATCCGACCTGCACAGGTTGGAATTTCCTTTTGAGACTTATTAGTCTCTGAATTTTAAAAAAAAATAATATATATACACACATTGCGAGCGTTTGACGTTTGGAAATAAAGGAACGAAAGGCTGGTAAGATGTATCGGAAGATTTGTGATCGACCATTCGATTCTTCTTCATTCCATCATGTGCGGATTGAATGGCCAAACTGATCTACGCCAAAGTGCTAGAAGAGCTTAGCAACATGTTTTCCTTGAAAATTAAAATGGGACAGAATGAAGGGGGGGCACCCTCTTCCATGCAATGGATGGGAAGAAGAGTTGAAGGGTCCTGTACACATCACCGGGGCTGCAATGCCGACCGGCTGAACCGATACGACGACGTAAAAAATATACAAATATCTATAAAATATGCATTAAACTCAATGTAAACCATGACAAACATACATTCGAAGGCTTGGGACTCACGAAGCAGACACAGATTCGTTGAAATTCAAGACGACATCCAGTATTTTTTCCATTTTTACTTGATTGAAAACTCTCTTAAACACATTCCGAATGTGAAAATACGATCTTACAATATGAATTTCACATTTTGGTGTAATCTGCGTTCCCAAGAAAGAGATAGACTCATGAAGAATAAATCTAAAATTATATAATATTTGAATTTAAATGAAAATTATACGAATAGAAATGAATGTCCAGGTGGAAAAATCAAATACATAATGAAAGATGAAATTGCCTCCAGCGATATGCACTAGTTGAAAGTGAAGAGATAAAAGACTGCGCAAACTAAGATGACAAAGAGAAATGAAATGAGAAGAAAAGGCAAAGCACAACCGTTCTGTACGTTTCTTTTTGACGAATTAATGCCCGCGCGTCACGTCTACTTCTCACGCATTGAACTCATTTGCATAAAGTTTTACTACATAACGTAAGAACTAATGATGAACAAAACATTCTTACTAAACGAAATACGAAAATACTGTATAGGAACGAAAACTGGGAGCTCTTTTGGTATTTTGAGCTTTTTTGAGTTCTTCAGGATTCGTATAGCGCTCACATGCATCTACCACGGAGTAGATTCCAAACAATCGCCCGCCCTGCTGGAGCTGGACAGCAGACGAGAGAGCATATGAAACAGCTAGAGATTGGGCAGCCAGCCGGTCTGGCATTTTGCAAATGTCCGAACAACTACCCTCACTCCGCCTTTTTCTCTATAAGTCTATCTCTCCTTACTTCTCGCAATCTATATATCTCTTTCAATCAGAGACTAGACTGCTGAAACTGGAGTTTTGCAATTTTATGGAACGAAATTAAAGTCTGGTATAATGTGGTCAGCAATAGAAATAATATGAGAGGAAAATAAATGTAAAGAAGAGGGAAAATCGTAATGTTTCCTTTTGAAATGATATTTGAAAAGAAAAATCGTTAGAGAAGAGAAAATGAGGAAGAATAAGCGGGATATGTGTATGACGATAGAGATATAGCAAAGTAGTAATGTAAACTCGTTATAGCCTCTCAAACATATCTTAAAATTATAAAAAGAGAAAAGCAATTGAGTACGAGTCTGTTGGGCTTTCTGGCCAGACATTACGAAATGCTCTCGCTATTGCACAACCAGGCTGCCGCTAAAACATGGCGAATAGCTGGACACGATAACGGCCATAAGCTGGAAATATAATGACCATTCAGGCGCAGACATAGCATACATTAATAGAGAAAACTAGTTATAGAGAGAGCAGAGACACAACGAATACACAGAGTAGTCACACAACAATGAGAGCACCAGAGATTGGCTATCGGTCAGAACGTTAGTTACGCAATGGCTGGCTCGTATGCTCTATGCTCAGTGTATTTGTCTGCTCGTCGTGTACTCTCTCATTTTGACTTAGTCACTAATAAGGCGAATAAGTCGAGCGTAATATTCTGAAATCCAGAGAGTGATACCTATCTCTCATATTTTCACACTATTCCTTCATTTCCCATACTCTCTCATGTATGACTTTAGAAGTCTCATATTATAACATGCTTTTATAATTATTCGTTCATTACTATGCTTCGTAAAGGAAGTCAATATTATATATATGAAGCGTTTCGCTTGAATTAAAATTATTAAATAATCCGACGAAATTACTTTGTGAGCTGCTTAGGTGTTAAGGATTCGTGTTTCGCATTGCCATATATAGCTCACATATGAGAATATATATATATGAAGCGGAAGTTAGCGTGCAGAAATAGTAATGAAAAACGGAATTTGAATATGACTAGCTCAATGGAAATGATTATTCATAGATTCTGTTTCCTTAATCAAATAATTTGTAGAGAATATTAAATTTGAATTTATGATTTCATCTCAAAAAGATGATGAATGTTTCAGACAGCGATGATGATGATAGTGTAGATGATAGTAAACAAAGAAAGCACGATGAACAGATTATAAACAGTTCTTTGTGTCTTCTACAGATTGAGAAATAATAGCTTCAAGCCAAACAAACATTCAATTGAAACATTTAAAGGAATTATTATCCTTCTCAATTTCTTGGATAACTGAAACACACACAAGTCTTCCATTAGAAGTCCCATAAGAAGTGAATCACTGTAACAATCGATGTATATCACACACATATAAACTACTTAAACGAACTAACGCTTTGGATAAAATTTTTTTATTCTCGCCTACGTACTCACACTAATGTTAAATTTCTTGACATCCGCTGAGAGACCTAGTGTTCTTCTGCTCCGTATCCCATCTTGGGTACTATTTTTAAGTATCATAATTCATAGATTGGGGGGTTTAAAAAAGTTATGAATTATGATTCTTCAGGGGTGAGAAGAGAGAGAGCGAAGGTGAGGTTTACAAGTGACTACTCTTAGACTCCGAAAAAACCTGAAGCCTCTGACCAATCTAGGTCTAGAAATTCTGTGAAGATTATTATCAATTTCGACTTCTTCATCTCTCATCTTCCCTGAAAGAGTGTCACATATAATAGAAACCTCAGAAGTTTTTAAAATCTAACTCCTTCACAGAGTTTGCACACCAAGATTGGTCGGAGGCTTCAAGTTTTTTCAGTGACTGAGATCAGTCATTTAATAACCTCAAAAATATGTTTTAAAAAAATTGAAATACTGAAGAATGAGGGATTGTGGAGAAATACTTTGACCAATTTTCCGAAAATTCTGTTTTTGCTTCAGTGTCAACACTTCATCTAGTACTCCTCATCCCCTGAAAATGTGAAGACAGTCTAAACCTGAGTTGTTCCTTATTCATTCAGAAGTTGCAATAGAGATGTTTGTCCGTAAACTTTCAAACTTACGTCTACAATTCAAAAAAAATGAAAAATTGATTAAGAGTATCGAAGTAGGATAGACACAGCCGGTTCACAACCAATCTCGGGTAATAATGAAATGATGTGGTTCTCACGTACAATTCACGTAAGAAATTATCATAAATTGAATGAGAAAGTACTATGTTACAGTATTCGCACTTTCTTATAAACAGAGATTTTATCTTTCATCGTTATCCAATAGAATTCGTTACTTCCATTCCTGACAATCTTTATGGAAATGAAAAGAAGCTTGTTTCAATGAACACATTTAATAAACGTTTTATTAGTAAAAAGTGTATGAGAAAGGTAAATACATGAGATGCCTTGATAAGGATAGCCTGGGAACGCTTCCGTAAAAAATGTGAACATGCTAGAACGGAAGGAACATAAAATATATAAAACCATATGCAAATATAACAGTGCTTGTACACGTATTTGAGATCTGAACCTATTCAATCATAAGCAATCTTATAACCATAGCTCTTTGCGACTTCCAATGATTTGAACTGGAAAATTGGAATTGAAGAAGTTATGTTTTAAAATAAATATATTATTAGTAGACTCTCTAAAAGAGATGAACCATTCAAGTTTCTACTTCGACTAGAAGCTCTTAATAGCAGAGAAGGAGGAAGTCTCTTTCATAAATAAGGTTGCCACACTGTCTTTCGTGGAGAAGGTCTGATGGGTGAATCTAGTTTTGACGGCAATTCAGAATGGCAAGGTGAAACATTCCTCCGATCATTAGGAGATCCTATTGGCTCAGATGGAGACGACGTTGGCGTTAAAGGAGTCCATTTATTTATTGAAGAAAATGCGCTTCCGTTGCCGTTCCCACACCCATTGGGTGGGGTTGCCCCTCTCAATAAAGATGGATTCGATTGGAGCATAGAATTTCTGCAAAAGAACGAATTACTTATGCGAAACGGAAGTCAGCACTAACCTAAGATGGGTGACAAGTCCTAGGTGAAACTGTTGAGCACGGGTATCAGACTGAGGAGGCATCATCATAGCTAAATAGGTAAAGACAGCTCTCGAGCATTGTGTGAATCCTTCTTCTACTCCTTCTCCTCTTCCTTTTTCATAAGCTTCTTGAGCTTCTAGAACAAATTACTGTCAGATTTATTATGCAGACCCAGACTCACTCATTACGTCTTGAGGAATACCACGCTGTTGTTGGAGTTGCCTTATACAAACGACAGTTCTTTCAAGAATATCAGCTTTCTCTAGTTTCGTAACACTGAAAGCAGGAGTGGTTTGAGGACGATAAATTGAGTTATTGTACCGATCGTGAGGAGCGAATTGAAGCAAAAAATCTTTGAGAATGTTCAAGGAGTCGTTGATACGTTGTCTTCTCATCTTTTCCATCATAGGCTTTTTAATTTTTCTATCCCGTGTACTATGTAGAATATGATCGGTTGGGTAACTTGAGCGTGAAGCTGTTGGTAAGCAAGACATTCTGAAACAAGGAAGAATGAAACCTCAAAGCAAAAACAAAAAAATTTCTAGTAGATCACGTCAACGGAAACGGATTCGCGGAAGAAGCGAGAAGAAATAACTTGCTAAAGTTCTTAAAACAATGTAAAAGAGGAAAACGTTAGAAATAAGGAAAATGCAGACATTCATACCGTATTCTTCGGTAGCTGTCTCCATATTTGGCAACAACAGAAGTTCAGCTCAGCCAAGTTGGCTTCTGATTCTTATCTTAATGAGACTATTAAGATACTTCGTTTGGTACGGTTCCCTCGAAAACGCAACGTTCATAAGATTTATGTCGCACTTCCACTATTTTCTGTTTAGGGAAAGAAAGCTAGAAGGAACCGTCCACAGGTTGTCTCTATTTGACATTTCTTATGCTTAAGCAGAGAATTCAGACAGCAAGGAAAAAATTTTATGTTTCAAATAGACGCAAAGGACATTTACGGTTGCGAAAAAACAATTGATGTTTTGGAAGAATGCAAATTGAATAGAGTGAAAAGAGACGAAAGACAAAGCCTTAAAAAGACAAAAAAAGGTTTTAGATGGTAGGAGCATATATTCATCTTTTCAAAGATGATTGCTAACAGCGGCTGATCTCAACTAGCACGTGTCTTGCTATGAACAGTGTTAGCATTTCCTTCGCCTAATTGGGTAATTACGTGTCACCGAGGCGAAGCACAAATCCTCTTAACATTCTTCTTCTTCCTTTCGGCTTCGGCAAAATAACTTTCTCATGACCTCTCACACACGAAGCTTATCAGCATAGTGGCATGCGACTCTTTTTAAGTCAAATAACTGTAATCCTCTGGCACACTTAGTGTACTCTACAAAGACGATCAAAACATCAGTGAACGACTTAAGAAACATCAATAAGTTCTTCGTATTCTTCGAAGCATTAGGATAAGGAAAGAAAAAGAGAAAAAAAAAACAAAATTCAATAGATAAAAGCTAAGGAGAATGATGAATCAAAACTGGCGAAAAAGAAAACATTTCATCCACCTACTCAAAATTTTTATATTTTACTTACAGAACGGAGCTATTTCGATAAATGTGTCTTGAAACGAAGAATGTCAACTTCTTTTCAGAAGCATATGCACTATCCTCCACTTTATGAACAGAATTATTTAATGTGATTGAACGAGGTTTGACCGACTTGTCGGAAGTGGTCAAATAGCAAAGGATTTGATGGGTGGGACGAGGTGATGGCATCAAGTCAGATGGACAACCACTGTTCTTCTACAGCTGGTAATGAGAAGATATGAAGTGAGAAAAGAAGATTGTAGAATAACTTGAAAGAAAATATGAACAGAGAGAAGAGATGGAGAGATCTTAGCTAACTGAAAGCAGAGGTGCTGTGTGATGTCGTTGAATGGTTGTAATGGTTAGCAGAGAAACAAGCGGCTCATCAAAGAGCTTGTCTCGACCCTCCTATTAACAGGCAATATGCTGTTCGGTGACAAATGCGGAATGAAGAAGAAGATGAGCAGCAAAATGACCACGAGAAGCTCACTAGCTGCTTGAAAGTAAGTTGAGTATGTGCTAAACATAATTTGCTAGGCTGACCGGAATCACATGGCTGCCGCCACATCCGCACACGCAACATCCTCTCACACATTGCTCCCTTACATAATTAACAACTCAAGACATTCATTCATAAAACTCTAAGATAGAAATTTGAAATAATACTAGAGATACGAAGAAATGACACTCACGTGTGAGAGATACTAACTGTCGAGTGTGTAAATGCCAACTGCAACAGCGATTAAAGGGGCGGAACAGTATCACTCTAAGATGGAGTTGATATCATTCTTAAATACGGTAGAAAAATGCTAAAGAAAGGAGTAATTTTTTGAAATTATTCTTTTTCGAACGCTGTAAGAATCAAAGTGCAAAAGTCGTAATATAAGTTCATTTATAACCCCCTCCTATGTTTTATTTCTCATTATGAAAGGGCTCTCGTTTATTCGATAACTTGCGAAATCAATGGCGCGAACACTTCGTGTTCCAAGAAATCGCGAGCATTCACGGAAACCATTTTATGCTGAATTCACAATTGAAACATCGTTGAAACTTAAAAAAATTGAGTCTCAAGGTAAGATCCTATTCTTAGTTACTAAACCAACATATTATAAGATGTGATTAACGATAGCGCGACAAATCTGTTTAGGAACTCTTTAGCGGGAATATAATTACTAGGTAGATCGTCATGGCCATCGCAACGATCAAACACGATATCCGGTAAGCTCGGGCGGATGGAGTGACATAATAAACCCAGATATCTATGAGTTACCGCAAAAAGTTTGAGTTACTATTTAGAAATAAAAATTGGCGAGAAAATTAAAATAAGAGAAATACGTGGTTATGAATAAAAGCTAATGCAGATCAAGCGGAAATGCGACCGATCTTCTCTAACAGAAATGAAATTGAATTTTGGACGCTCTTCCGGCTCACGGAACTTTCCACGTAAACCACGCGGCTTCCGCATGGTGAGTATGCTAATTTTGGATACCAATTGGATTCTGGGAGCGTTTGATGTTTTAACTCGAACAAGAACCTTATAAACTGAGATTACTTTCAAATGAAAACAAAACGGCTTTTATGAGTAGAGCGGCTAGGTTTAGTGGCCAAGGCTATGTATGGTATGTACGCAACTAGTGATAAAATCAACCTCGTAAAACTAATTAGTTGTCTTGTGCAGAGCGTCTTGGTCGTAAAAACGCGCGAATACGAGATGTGAGTTGCGAGTTTATGAGAATTCACAACCGGCTTCCTAGTTGTTGCATTGGAGACGTGAACAACTTGGCGACTCTAAAAATATCAGTAAACCTTTATGACGAGTAGAAAAATCATTGATAATTAAGATATAGTTTACTGAGAATTGAGAACGTTCAACTAGTTTGCAGAATCTCTAACGGTGGCACGTGACTTCTTGAATATCCCTTCTCATTCAAGCTGTTTCAACTATGCTAATGAATCCTGAAGCTTAACTAATGAAGACGAATCTGAAATACTTCCGGGACTAGGCTCACAGTTAAACAGAATTTCTCAAATACATAATTGGCTATATTGACATTCGGTCGAGTAGTTCACTAAATTTCCCGAGATTCAAGGAAAATGTGAAAGCCGTGAATACCCAATCCATCACCTAAATGACCGTGTACACACCATCAACCACATCATCTCATATCCTTGTCCTCAATTATTCGTTTCATACCGTAGCCCCAAGCATACTAGACTGACTTCAACGAACCTTTTATCTTTCCGATGAAACTAAATTTACTGCCGATCAGAAACACATTAATCAGACGCGTGTTGCGAATCGGTTGCCAAAATATAGCTTAAACCCTGAGAAATCGAACACAATCAGGCAAGGAGTTTCTTAATGAATCGTTTCATTGCAAGTGTTCTGCTCCCATTATCGATTGAGTTTCCATTCGAAGAACCAGTATATAACTTTGATTATCCAGCGGTTTCTAAGTTTTTAAGTTTCAATAACAAGTAAATCAGTTGCTAAGTCGGTTTTCTTACGCAAAGACGGGAAACCTAAGTTATGATAAGAGACGTTTCGTTGAAAACATTAGTCGTGCTAACACTAAAGCAAAAAAAAAACTTTTCTTTGACATATTCTCAGATTCTATTATAAATCATTATTACTATGGCCGGCTGTAGAGCTTCTCTTCAAATACTCGAACAGTTTTTTAAAACTGCCGGAGCAGGAAAGACGTTTTCCAAATTCTCGGGCTTGGTAAATCAATAATTCTTCTAAGTGTTCAACATAGAATTCAGGTGAGACCAGTCTATGCGGACAATGGACATGTGAAGATCGAGTTTGATGTCACCAATGAATTAACGAATGAAATGGTGTGTAATATAGCCTCAACCACATAAAATAATTGTTTGAGGGAACACTTCACGGCGGATGTTCAGCAACTCTGATTGATATCGCTACTACTGCCGCTTGCATGTTGACAAGCAAAGCTGCACCTGGCGTCTCAGTTAACTTGGATGTCAAGTAACATTTACAACTACCGCCTGTGTCCTATTTATACTTTTGAAGTTACATGAGTGCTGCTAAACTAGGAGATACAGTTGTTCTTGAAGCTAAAGTTCTTCGTATTGGTAACACTTTGGCATATACAGAGGTATTGATAACACAATTTCTAGTATGCAGAATGAGTAAATTACAGGGAACCTTATTCTTGAAAAATTCGGAGAAGCTTGTCGCTAAAGGAATGCACACAAAAGCTTTTCCATGAATAAATTTTTAAACCTGAACCGTAGTTAGAGCATATTTGTATTGGTTCCCTCCTCTATATTTCTCTTATTCACATTATTTGGAAACATCAATGCTAGATAGTTAGTAATGGCCAACAAGTATATGTCTGTACTAGAGGGCATCATAGGTAGATGTAAGAATTATGACACTTTCATGAAATCTTTCGGCAAGGTTAGCAAACGCTCGTTTCCCATAATGATCCTTGTTTCAGGTTAGAGCAGTAGTTGCCGAAGAGGGTAAAGCTAAAATTGAATTCGATGTAACTGAAGAACTTACTAACAATCATGTAGGATCTTATTGAAAGATATCTAATCTTTCTACTTGATTCAGGGTACTCTTCATGGTGGATGTGCTATGACCATCGTTGACATATGTACCACAACTCTATGCGCAATGACACCTAGAGGAGTGACTGGAGTCAGTGTAAATCTTAATATGAAGTATGTGTGTTTCCAAATCTTCAAAGAGAAACAATGATTACAGTTATCTTACGCCTGCTAAATTAGGAGAGACTGTTGTAGTTGATGCTCGTATCTTACGCATGGGCAACACCATTGCTTACACTGAAGTTGGTCTTGAAAATTAAACCGAATTATCATAACTTTTCAATAGGCTGAGCTTTATCTCAAAACCAGTGGTAAAATGGTTGCTAAGGGACTTCACACCATGGCCTTGCCAAAGCCCAAAAAGTGAAAGATAGAATTAACATTTATTTATATAGGTTTCTTTATTTCTTGTTTTTCGGTGCAAGCTCCAACCCTTTTATGAATTTTTTGTCAATGCCATATTTAGTTTGTAGCAAATTTCCAACGAAAGCGACCTATGAAAGAAGAAATACATTGAGTGGGAATTCGAACGTACTTGATTTCCCTGGACACTGACTTGTGGTCCTTCACATAGCACCGCGGTATTGGTTATTGTAGCTCGAGAAGCTATACCAATTTGAATCTCATGACAGAACGTCTTGGGATCTATACCAAACACCGCAATGTTATTGATAATAGTTACTTTTCTATTTCCTGCTCTGGTCTCTACCTGCACAACACAGAATGACGACAACTTATTATTGATACAAACCTTGAAATCAATGTGAGGTTGACCAGTTTTTCGGACAACTTCCTTGCCGGATGGATAGCGAATGACGAACGTTTTCGTCATTTTTGACTGGGGTGAAGTAAGCAATCACTATATACTTGTATGCTTACCACAACAATTTGGAATAAAGCATTCCATTCGATCTCATTTGAGTTCTTGCCTGTGATATCAGCTAATAATGGATCTAGCTTTACCGTTTTTTCCAAGTTCAGTTCCTGAATTAAACCAATATAAAGAGAACAGTTCCGATTATGTACCTCTTTCTTAACGTAAGCTGTGACAAGGCTCCTCACTGTAGTAGCATCCAAAAGCTGACCTTTCGTTACCTTACAAACTTCTTTGAGTAGTGGCAATACCGGTGCAGTGACCTGAAAAGCATGATGAAGAGCCAAACAAGGAATTTAGAGCCCACAGCATAATAGTCACATATCGCTGGTGGGCCTGTTGCACTACCATCCTTCTCATCCTCTATAATTTCATCAACAGCTTCAAACTTTTTTATGAGTGGATGAGCCCAATTGATCTTAATATTATTTTATTACAGGATATAATTATTCTCCTACTTCCGATATGGAACCTTCCCCTTTATTTTTTTTCTCAACTTTAACTAAAATCCCGTTCTCATCTTTGTTGATCTGAAAATAGAAGTGGGGAAGTTCACATAAAACGACCTGCCTCCTCTATAAAAGTTCCGAACTTTTTATATTTTGTCTTTTTGATATCAATATTCTTATCTTCAGGTAGGCAGGAAAGTACACACTCAGCATAAAACTGCAAACATTAATTAGAATATTTGAAAACGAATACTTTACGTGAAAGTTCACGTGCGTCAAATCTTCATTTGAATGAAATCAACGTTTGCATGCGGCTGTGTTATTGTAGACTCACAGGACACAGGACACAAACAGTTTTCAAAGTTCAAAACGGTACAAACCTGTCCAACGTCGATCGGGAGTTTATCTTTTTTTAAGCGATGTTTAATACCAGCAAGGAAACAACGGAGCAACTAAACAAATTTCAAGCAATGTATGACTTGCATTCGTACCGTAGTCTCCATTTCTTCACGTAATTCTGAGATATCCACTGGTTTGTCTAATAGAACATGATGAGAGAAGCTTAACACAGTATTCTGACCTTCTTCTAAACTTAACCCTTCTACAGACACTTCAACATCAGGTGTTTCTTCTGCCAATTTAGTAAAATCTGCTAGAGTGACTATTGGTGGTTGTTTAACTACGCCACCATGCTCCCTAGAAAATTATAAATAAATAGAAAATAGTGTTCTACTGACCATAGATGATCTTGGAAGCAATGAAGAGGTCTGATTGCTTTTCCGTTCATACCACCGTAAATCTCATCGGAAGATAAAATAGCTAGTCCAACGTAAAGTGGACCCTTTACATTTCCATCTTCAAAAACAGATATGGCAACGGGGTCGCCTTTATTGAAAGTAGCGAGAGGTCCAATAGTCGTGAGTACACCTGAAGTCGTAACTCTGACCATTCGATATTACTAGCTCACTAACCTGGAGCCATAAGGTCAGCTCCATTATCCAGGTGATATAAAGTTTGAGCATATATCAGAATATTAGCATAAGCTCTAGGATTATCCCATACATAATGGAGTGTGGGGAACAGTACAACATCTCCCTCTAAATGGAAGAACTTGGGTAAGCGATCAAAGCTGTAGATGTAGAGCACAGAGTCCGTAGTTGTGACTATTTTAACATAGGTGATACTAGATTTAGAGTCTAATGTAGAACTTATGCGTTCGGGTAATCGTGCGAAGAACTTTCTCCTTAACAAATACTCCAGTATCAATATCTCATCATGAACAAACCTCTCTGAGTTCTTTAAGCTTAGTGTTTTCTTCACTGCGAAAGACTTTTTGAACATCACTGGTTTGTCTGTAATACAGACCTGTTAAGTATTAATGCTCTCCAACAATGTAAACAACTACAGAGAATTCAGTCTTTTAGTTAGAGCTTTTTCTTTTTTCATAAAGAAAATGCATTTCTTCCCAACGATTTTACATTTGAACAACGCCCGCTGTTTACAAAAGTTTTGCGTAGCCGAAGTTTGACGGCTCTCAAACTCAAAGAAAGCTAATTTAAATTATTATCTTTTAACTGGTACTATTTCAGAAATTTACCAATATGGGTAACCAATATGTTAAGCCACACAAGGAGGGTAACTCACCTTACACGAGATCAGGAGTTCCCCCTCCTGTGATCGCAAAGAAGGCCGGTTCTGATAAACCAAGCCACAGGTTTAAATGAATAACATATCGTTGATTCAGTTTGTTTTCTTTAGAATAAATGAGCCGATGTCCTTGGAGCTTCATATGGCAGACGAACGAGTTCGTGCTGCTGGACTTTCCCCAGCCGAACGTGCATGGCGTGCTAAATGGGTTATGGTTTGTGGCAATAGCATTGATATTTTGAAACAAAATTTCTCTTAGGATCAACATCTTCATCCAGATGAACCTATTGTAGTAGATGCTGTTCATCGTCAGTTGAATCCAGTTAGAGTCTTCTATAGATATCCTTGGGATAAGCTCTACCTCCATTTCCTTAAGGTTTGCATTACTATTAACTGTGTTATATTCATATTCTTAGCCAACGTTCGGTGTCTATTATGGAACTGCCATGCGAGTCACTGTACCAAAGGTCCTTATGGCTTTCCTCACTTTACAAGCAGCTTACTATTATTGGAAGTATGAAGTCAAGGTTCGTTCTATTTATTATGCCATTTTCGGATTACAATAATTTAGGATTGGACTCATCTTAGAGGTCTTGAAACCATGCCACAGAAGGAAGTTCTGATCAATGCTGATTCTATTGAGAACAGATATCCAGGCTTGACCGCTCAAGCTGTACCTCATCCAGCCAAATACGACTATTATGGGTAAGATTATTAGCCCTGTTTCCGATGCCTTATATTCAAATATTTGTAGGCCAACGTTTGAGAAGAGAACTGCTTTATTGGATGTTGGGCAATCCTCACGCCCTTGGTAAAAGTTAGCGTTATGTAGATAAATAGGAAAATGCTTATGGGCGCTTTTCATCATTAGTGTTATTTCTTATGGGTTCAATTGCCTGAAGAATAAATTTTTATTACTGTTCTCGGATGACTCGAAGAGACATTTGCTTGTTTCCATATCTTTATCAGTTTTCTTCCTTTTTATTTTTAATTTCGCTGTTTAGTCAACATGGAGCTGTTCATCTCACGGATAAGTTGTTTCATAATGTAAGTTATATTTCATCTTTGGAGAACAAAAGGGCTTCCTTCTCATCCATCTGTTATGTTAATGTTGGTTTGAACACCTGCTCCTAGTCTAGCATGGAAGTACCCTAATTTGGTATTGATGTTTGTGACTGGCAGGTCAATCGTTGCCAGGCTATTCTTAAGCTATAATATATCTATTCTCATGAATATTCTTTGTTTATCTTTTCAATTCTCATAGAACTTTTTCAGTTTGATATTAAGTTGAAACTTGATTCAATATGGATAGTTCGATCACTACCGCTGTGAAAAAAGTGAGTTCAACGTCTAACACCACTCTTATGATGCTATTCAGAATTTGGGTATTTCCGAAATAGAAAATATTCTAACCAGAGCAGTTTATCAAGTTCTCAACAAAAATAATCCACATTCCGATGTTTATAACAATTTGGAGAGAACACATGTAAGTGCACAGTTTCTTTTAGCAATTAAAAGATTATTTAGAATATTCAACCTGATCCTCGGAATCAATTAAGATTAATAGCCGAACGTCATTGCAAGAGAGTGGAACGTATGTAAGTAATTTGAATATCGATTTGCTGTGTTCTGACCGTTGCGCAGATTTTCATTTTTTCATTAAAACCGATGCGAAGCGGTTGTGTTGAATGTTTCTATTTCCAGGTATGACAAGAAGCTGCATGAACGAAGAGAAATGGATAGGATTCACACAGACAACAAAATAAAACAAATACGAGAAGAATATGAAGATGAATTGAAAGAATATAAGAAAAGAGTATGCTCATCTATGAGTAGTCAATGAAATGATTGTTTTCCAGCTTGAAAAAGAAAAAAATATACTTGAACAGACTGTTAGAGACAGGGAACGTGATCTTCAACAAAGAAGTGATATCCGTCTTATGGTTTGCTTCAAACATTGACTTTTCTTGATACCTGATTTGTAGGCAAAAGAAAATGATTTTGAAATCAGGTGGAAGTTTCTGGAGAACCGAGGGACTGAGTTGAACCTGTTGAAAGAACAATTGGAAATAGCCAGTGAAGGATTTAAAAAGTTATTCAAAGCTTCGTATGTAATTATATGATTTTAATTTAAGAAAGATGAAAGCGGAATTAGAGTCGATACGAATCGAGTGGGAAAAGTTATCAGCAATGAAATCTGATTTGGAAGGAACTAGGTTGGTTAATTCCATGATCTCTTTTCAATCTTAATCTCTTGTAGTTCTCCCATTTCCAACGTCCAAATACCTATATTCAAAGAGAGAATAATTGAACTTGAAAAGCATTGTGAAGATTTGAAAAACCAATTGTCTTCCAAAGAAGCCGAAGGGTTTATTCTCAAGCAAAAGCTAGAGATGAAGGTTTAGTTTTTCTCTCATGGAAAGCTTATATGTTGTCGTTCAGGGTGAACATGGCAATCACACTGCAGATATTGAGAGGTTGATCATGGAAAACAGAGAACTGAAAAAAGAGATACAGAAATATACAGTAGGTGAAGCTATTGTTCCGTTCGTACTCTCTCGAGTTTCAGAAGTTGTACGAAGGAGTTGAAGTAGATCTGAAGAAAAATATTGTTCAATCTAAATTGACCACTGAAGCTTTACAATTCAAAGTGAACGAACAGAAAATGATCATTGGATTATTGGTTTGTTCAAATTGATACAACATTAGTTCTTTGTTTTTGATTAACAGAATGAAAAGGTGAAATCACTTTCTCTCGAAAAACACAGCCATAACCGAAGTTTTATTGCGAGTCCACTCCAAACTGGGAAAAAAAATAGGAGACACAGGCATGTGAACAGGTGAGATACTTTTTTTCTCCATTTCCCATGTGAATTTTCAGTTCTTTTGATTCTGATATCAGTGAGTTCAGTGTAGGCGGAACTGCTGATAGCAATGAAATAGAAAAAATAAAGAAAAGAATTCAAAATTTGGATAACATCGCTAAGGTATGAGCCTCTATATCAGAACGGATTGATATTTGATTTGAAGGAACTAGATATGTCTGTGGAACATTATACTTTGAAGAGGGTAGGAATAGTTGGAAGCCACGAGTCCTTACTTGTTTCTCATGTAAGTGGATACTAACTGATCTGAAACAATCCATGTTCTCAGGATGGATATGATGATTATTGTCGCCAATCGTCTTCTCAGACATCGCCCGAAAAAGCGCGTTTCCCAACCGCAAAACAACCTGTGGTGGAGAAGGAAGTAAAAGAAGAAAAGATCAAAATTGATGAACCGAAGAAGAATGTTACACCTCCACCAGTGAACACGCAAGAAGATGATTATTATTCTGGCATTGATCCCGTCATGGCTCAGTACATGAGGCTTGTAGGAGAGAAGAGAAATGAGGATGAAGCGAAAGTATACAGTTTCTAATTATTAATCCAATTCAATCTCTATTCAGAACACCATTGAGAAGGAATCAAGACAACATAATTCGTTAGAGCCCGAAGAAGTGAGGCAAGCTGATGAAGTCGTAGGATTAGAATATAACAATGACCTGGATAACGATATCGACTGGTGATGACGGATGTTTTTCATGTAACGACACTCCTGTATTAATAAGTTTGTAGTTTAATGTGTTATTTCATTTTAGCATTGAGTGAAATGAAAATTCTCCTACGTGTTTCGTAAAAACGTCACTATGTTCTCTCGAGGTGTATCTGTTCTTCTTTGTTAGCCATCGTGTTTTTAACGGTTCAGTTGCAGATGGTACATGATGTCGTACTGTAGACTATCTGTACTACCTAAATGTCTTGTTTACGCCGCTATTTTATATATTTGTGCTTCTATATTTTTAACATGTAAGTTTGGCTTATTTCCGTTTTAATAAACTCGTTTGCATACCATTGCCACGTTCTTTCAGTTTTCCATAGTGAACACAACGTGTTTACCCCCAAACGATATACTTTTCCGGAAATTCCTCATTTATGGCAGGACTACTGCCAGTACTTAGAACACAATGTTGAGGGCATTGAAGCCGATTTCGATAATAAGACTTATAGATTACGTGGATTAGGGATAGTGTTTAGACATGGAGAAAGGTATACTAAGTTCGAGATTCACTATCTTTTATGTTACTTTTCAGATCCCCATTAGTGGTACACGATGAATCTACTGTCTGCAAACCATATTTGGAAGCTGACCGCAATCTCTATGAAGAGTATGTGAAGAAGATTGAATCCGATGATATTAAAACTTTCATCAAAGCTGACAAAAAATTCGCAGATTTTCCCAGATTTCCCGACAGGTATAACCGTGCTTCAAGATATTCTCAGTACAAGACCTTTCCAGATCTGAATGCAGAGGTGGTGAATTAACAGCAGAAGGCGCTCTCCAACATGTAAGGTTAGGGAAATATATGCAAAGTAAATATGGGTCTTCCGCTTTGTTTGATCCAGGTTTTGGAAAGCATTTTCTAACAATCAATAATTATCTTTTTCAGACTTCCATTTGAATGTATCTATAACATCTTCGCAATACCATAGAACTTATCAATCAGCTCTAGCATTCAGTTTGTCTTTCTTGTACCCTCATCGATACAACTTTCCAATAATCTATATCAAAGTAAGGATGTCATATTTATTGTTGTATTTGATCATTTCTTTGCTTAGGCAAGCGACTTTACTAATCAGTGTACTCATGAAGCATGTGCGTGTCCTGGAATACAGAATAAGCGAAAACAGTATGAGAAGGTAATGTTCTCTCAGAGCTTCATCATCACCCTTCCGTTTACAGGAGTACACTAAGGTGTTCAGCTCCTCAGCTCCAGCTTATATGAGAGATACAACGTATAACCTGCGACAACTGAACTCTTTCCAACATGTGAACGAACCTTACGAGGTTTTGGATGTATCTCTTGGAAGGTAAGAGTTTGCATAACCAACTTGACAATCAGATGTTTTTAGCTACATATGTCGTCGACTCCCATTGCCTTGTCCCAATGACAATGTTTGTTTGAGTTACAGTTTTCTAAATGAGGTAAATTCCTTGTGCTAAATGAGTGGTTCTATTGCTCTTAAGGTTCTCAATTACACATCTAGTCGAGGCAGTTATATGTTTTCGCCTGAAATCAGTCCTCTCGCTTATGAGCTTCAAGTCATTGATTCTCATGGAGTACTATTCCATATGAGAGATATGATACTGCGTTTGAAGCAATTCCCTCACACTAATATGTTGAAAGCAAGTTGAAAGTCGTAAAACTGCTTCCGACGGGAGTCATTGCAGATATTCTCTGGTCATGATGTGACAATAGCTCCAATTTTACGAGTATTAGGCGTACCCTTTCTGGACCCTCCACACTATGCCTCTCGAATAGCATTTGAGGTTTGCTGTTAAGCAGTGTAGCTCAGCTTAATATTGTTTGCAGGTTTTGGAACATGTTAGGACAAAAAAATTATTTTTACGAGTCATTTATAATGGGGAAGATGTTACGAACAAAATTACCTTTTGCACAGATTTGTTTGATGGGCTGTGCTCTGTAGAGTATTTAGAAGATTTCGTCAAAAAGGAAATACCTCAGCTACTCAAAGCGAAATCCGTGTCAGAGTTTTGTATCAGAAAAAGAGAATAGTATAGTCAATGAATTAAAAATGATTTAAATGAATGTTTCATCTATGTCTTCTATGATTATCTGTTCTGAACAGTAATATATATGGGAGGTTATACATTTTATGTACAAAAATTGGTTTGAGATATGGAAGAATGCCGGAATGAACCTGGTCCGAGTTCTTCCAGAGCTGGTCAGCTTACGTGTTTAAAAATCAGTAGAACATACCTTTTCAGAAACATCTTTGGGTAATGTAATCCAAATTTTCGAAGAAATAGATGAAGACATATTTATAACGGAAGAGATCGAGGTACCCACGAGCCCTGCTACGAGTAGACAGGGGTGGTTTGATAAGATCAAGAAGTTAGCATTTGTCATAAACGGTTTTACACTGGAAATTTTAAGAGCAGGAAGTGCCATTACGGAGTCTATAAAGCCTTCTTCATCGAAAGAAGGTATCAAAACCCGGTTATGGTCTTCATGGAATAATTTCAAATATTCTGGTATGTATGAACGAGTTACGGAATGAAATTAGTTGAATAGGAAAATGGATGTCAGATAGAACTAGAGAGTACGAAGCGGATTCGGAAATTGTTCTTCTAGGCAGTATGTACTTCATAGAAGGTTTGTGCAGATCAAAAAAGCTCATTATATCGAAGCTTAGAAGACGATGAAAACATTGGGTTCGATGAGTTTGTACTGCATTACTACTCACGCATTTGGATTACTTATAGAACTCATATGAAAGCAATATGCGGAACAACAGTAAGATAAATCAAAAACCAACGCAGATAGGATTGTTTTTAGTATACTACGGATTGCGGTTGGGGTTGTATGATACGAACGACCCAAATGATGGTGGCACAGTCTATCTTAGTGGGAATGCTTGGCAGAGGTTTGAATAATTATTGTAAAGCTAATCCGGCTAATCAGATTGGAGATCTCCTAAGCTGAAACAGAGAATGGGATTACTGTCAAAAACAAGCGAGGAAGATGACCAATCTGATGAAATACTGTTACAGATAACCAAGTTATTCGAGGTGAGTCGATCAAGTGGTTCATACACAGTTTATGTTAGGATTGTCCCTCCTCTCCGTTGGGATTTCATCGCCTGATGTGTTTAGCTTTCGAAAACATAGGTCAGCAAGCTATAGGTCGTTGGTATACTCCATCAGAAAGTGTTTCTTTGATGAGGTGAGTCTATCTAGGAAGAATGAATATTATTGAGTCATAATTTGCATTGCTACAGCGAAAACAACCGGTCACTATAGCAAAAAAATATAAAAATGATTTCACGGGAAATATCTACGTGGCGGCGTTTGTTCCACGTAGCGAGTACGTGAACGTGATTATTTACGTGATCTTTACAGAAAAGCGATAAGTACATCGACATCTCCTCTGATCAGCGATATCGGCATTCTGCTGTGTGTAGATGGATTATTGAGTTTGAGTGATGTCGAGATTGTCAGTAAGACATGGACCAAGAAAATATTGATTATAATAACTGTTCGATTAGGAACCAGTGAGCCAAACAAGGTAAGCATGATAAGCTAAAAGCTTCAAAACATGTGAACTGATTCAGATATATATGAAGCATATTCAACAACTACTTAAAACTCCATCTTGTGTTGGAATTGTAGGAGGGAAGCCTAAGCACTCCTTATATTTTTTAGGATACTATAAAGAGGTTTTGAAGATTGCCGACTAAACTCAAACCAGATATTTTCAGCAACTCATTTATCTCGACCCGCATGTAGCTAGGGATTACATACCATTACCGGACACTTTGACGAATGAAAAGCAAAACAGCCCCATATTCCAATTTCATTGTAAATATTTGTCAATGACTCCTTATGTGGATATTGATCCGAGCTGTGCCATCGGGTTTTTCATTCAATCTCATCAGGAATTCACAGATATGGTTGAGACTCTTGAAGCGGTAAGCGTTATCTCCCGAATATTTATATGAGTCAATTCAGAGTGGAGTCATTGATTTGGATGTGAAGAAAACGGAGAGCTCAGTTAAGCAAGACCCACTCTTCGCAGTTTTGCTATCTGACAACCCTAAATACCGTTTTTACGAGCCAGCATCATCTTCGGATAACTTAGGAGAAGATGAAGATTATGTAAATCTATAATATACGTTTTATCCATAATATCTTAACGGGTTTATTCTCATTTTAGACTTATTAACTTTATACAGCAAAAGAAGCATAGTCTCTCTTAAGTAATGGAGTGTTTTCATTCTCCTCTCTATCACAGATAGAATCCATAACCTCAATCGTTTTTGATTGTCCCAAATCTGTAATTAATCCGAATAATATAAAATATTAGACTATTCTCATACATTGTTTGTGGAACTCCAGTTTATCTGTCTTGATAAACAGAGCTCGAGAGAGAGGTGACCGTTGTCCATCCTTGAATATTGCTGTAGCGCTGAACATGTAGAACCAATCGAAGCGCAAATCCGGAAAAACAACCTATAATCATTTCAGGATTAATTGATGAATCATTCTATATTGTCCTACCTTGCGACCATTGACAGGGATCTTATCCCACTCCGCGAGGGATGCGTTTGGATTCTCAGTGAAATACACAACATAACTCTAAACAGTGTTTGGTTTAACCACTTTCTAATGAAGCATACCTTAACGTCTCCAGTTCTTTTATACGGTGGTTCCCAGCTCAACTCAATCGTGTTAGCTTTGAGTTTTTGAGCTATAATATGCTGTGGACTCAGTTGGGGTTCTAAGTTTAAAAATACTAATCAGAACAAGCTCATGGAACCTCACCTGTATATTGCACGAGGAATACTGGTTTACTTTCTCCATGCTTGTTGACAGCAGTGATACGGAATTGATAGAGTGAGCAAGAATCCACACTCATGATTTCAACAAAGTGTGTTTTAACTCCTCTCAGCTCGCGGACTTTAGCATCTTCATTATGCCTGCAAAAGGTAAGCAATAGAATATAATCTAGAGGTTGACTCACTTTAGACGATAGCGGATGTTATAGGTGAGATTGGTGTCAGAAGAAAAGGCTGGAGCCCATGCTAACCGTACGGAATAAGCAGATGTACTCACAACCTGACAGTCTGACGGAGGATCAGGTGGTAAGCGAGCGAACATGAACTTGTCATTAGGTACTAAACAGTTTTTATAGAAAATATTTAGAGAATGTTGTACTTACAGACATGACTTCCTCTTCTTTTATCTTTTTTCTTTTTGGATTTCTTCCGGGCTAACTCACTATAATCTTTATGAGCGAAAATCATTCCTCTGGCTAGTTGGGCAAGTAGAGATGCCATTGCTTGACGTCGACGTCTGATTAATCACAAATCATGGAAATGGAAGATCATTCAACGAACCTGGCTTTCGCCTCTCGGATAAGATAGAAGGGATTGTTACTCTTAAGCTTACGACCCAAGTAATGAATCTCTTTTAGGTACATCCTGCCAACAACATCCATGAACATGGTTGACAGCACAACACCTCCTGCAGAACGCTATAGGCAAAGTAAATATCATATGGCATACCTAAAACAACGGCCAATGTAACCCAAATATTTTGTGGCGATGGTCGAAAATCTCCAAAACCTGAAAATGGCTCTTATTTATTCCTCCGAGGTTTGCTAAGGCCTACCAACTGTGAGAATACTGATGAAAGTGAAGTACATACTCTCCACATACGTCCATGACTCTTTCCTCTGTATAATGTATGATGCTAACAACCCGTAGAAGAAGACGAACATGAAAACAACAACAGGCGGAAAGCGTACAAGCTTTACTCGGTCGAGAATTTCCTAGAAATGTTTGATTGAATAGTCTTTATGATACTAGTATGTACTTGTTCACTCTCATCATCAGCGAACATCGGCGCGTTTGGATCTGTTCCTTTCTTTCTTGCCTGCCACCTCATCCAACTTTTCCAAATTTCGTAGTGTATAAGGAAAACAGATTCAGAAATGAACTTAGCGACATTAGCAACTGTCACTAGAGTTAAGGGAATGCCTAATAAAAATATATAAGTTCTGGTAGTAAGAATGCCACACCTATCAAGCAATAGACTACTCCAAACAGTCGCCCCGAGAGAGTACTTGGAGCAACATATCCATAACCAATTGATGTTAACATAGTTGTAGTGAAAAAAACAGAGTTTGCAAAATCCCATGTTGGAGCTTCCTGTTGAGAAACATGTTAGAATGTGATTTCCCAGGTTACAAACTTCATCATAACCGTGACGAGCAGCTCTATGGGCAGCGAATACAGTGTCAGCCAAATGATCGAAATCAGTTTTTGTAGACAATTTCACATTTTCCGTTAATTCGTCTAGACTCTACAATAAAGTATTTCTGAGAACAATCTTTTTTTCGGAGAATAATATTATCATTAATAAACTTTTGGCGTGAAGTATGCTATAATGATAGTGTCATACTGTGCATTTTGAATTTCCCACAAGTTTATTTTCACGCGTTATCAAGATGGGTGCGGTTGTCTCTGATGCTCTCAGGTATTTTTTTTCAAAAACCATTTTTACTTGTTGAACTTACTTCTTCTGTCTTTCTATCTTGAACCATATTCCAAATCTGATCCATATATTTATTAGAAACGCGCTCTATATTCTGCATTTGCTCTTGCTTGACTTTCTAAAACGATCTTTCAATTCTCTTATCTATCATGGATTGTACTTTGAAATGTTCCCCTTCGAGCTTTTGAAATAGCAAAGCTCCACATATGATGTACAGCACGCATGTTACAACTAACATCAAATGTGGGGAGAAGAAGCGAGCCATGATTACGTTGAACACGGGTCTGAAATCTCAGTTGTAAATGAAATCTGAATGGCTTTAAGAATTTCTAAATCACTCACCTCATCGTTGAATTAGTTTGGAGGATTAATGAAATTTGATCGTTTTTTCACTTTAGAAAGACTCAAATGAGTCAGGTGGGCAAATTTGTTACATTCGATAACCTCTCACGCATGTTCAAGTTTCACATATGAAAGTATAATTAAACTCACTTTTATGTTTGATTCAGCTTCTCCGCGTATGCAGTGTAAAGTTCTGCAGACCATTTGTGGTTGTTCCAGCATTAACCAAATATTGATGCTTTTTTTCCCTGGAGAGCTATTTCAAGAAACGAAGTGTCTAAGGGTAGCTGCATCTCTTTAAATCATGGTCCCAACTGAGTTTGTATCATCGGAGAAAGTATTAGGGCTTGTTCAGGAGTTTCCCTTGATAAGTGTAAATTTACTGTAACACTCATTATATGTGCTCATTAAATCTGAAAGGCATGAGGCCATGATTCAGATGCTATTGAAATTCTTTTGTGCGCTTCTGCTCAACCTTTGTCTATTGTTTCAGAAAATAGACTAATTGAGCCCTTCAAATCACAATTCTTTAATAAGTCTGCTCAATACTTAAAGCCGCAAAGAAATGAAACGATATAGTGACTGGGAGCAGTTTAATGAGGATGTTTGACCTGATGTAACTGTCGGCAACTGCTTGAGACGGGTGCAAGAGACTCTCATATTGCATTGTGTGATGTGGAGGGCATGAGCGTAGAAGTACCGGAAAGGACTATGTGCCAGATGGAACGTTCGAAGCCTGTGTCTATCCTTCATCACAGTGGCTCTTGATGTCCTAGCATGTCTGCGTCTCATTATAATGCTGTTATATATGAAGAAGTCAGATGTTCTGATCATCTCTCATTTGCGCTCTCTATTACGCTGCGTTAGGAACTGTCCCATTAGGAGTAGCGGTAACTGCTCTCAGTAACCACCCAGCTCTTCCTTCTTCTTCAAGCCGACCTCATTCATACATTAGCGGAATAGCTTTTTGCGTAACGTGACGGCTACAATCTCAAACGCCTATTAAGGCTAGTTGACTGGATGGACTGAAACCTATCAGCTGGGCTCAAAGACCTTGTAAATAGCTGTCTTGACTCTCAATACTTGTCGGCTTTTCATTATATAGCTGCTTAATGGATTTTCGTCTGTCTTGTTCATCCTCCTTAATTTTCCCATTTTCTTATGACCTGTGAAGAAGACATTTATCTCAGTGAATGCTCCGAAAGGAAGATCAATGCTTTTAACAGAGGAATAGTTATTAATGATGTGCCGTTCCATTTCCTGTGTTACAGGTTTTATGGCGAGAAATTAATTAGTATATTAAGCATATATGGGATTGTAGTAATTATGGTTTTGATCGTTCCGTCCCGAGCCTTGTCTTAGCAGCTGACAGTAATCTCCCGCATGTGTGATTTTTTAAAGAAATTTATCGTGTGATGATCCGAAATTGAAATAGAGAGATCTATCCGAAAAGAACATGATGTCTTTGTTTGATCAGAAGATGATATGGCTACATCCGTAAGAAGCATTCCTTTTAGCTTCCTTTGATGATGCTCCCGGAGAACAGATTGAGTACACAAAAGATATCTAAGGATATAGACTAGTATGTGCAAGATGAGACAGAGTAATCTTCAGGCAACCGGATCACTAGAATCTTCCTTCATATCGGCTTTTTCGTTTTTATTCTTCAAAACAGAAATAGGATCTTAAAAGCAAGTAAGATCAAGCGATCATAAACCCTTTTACATAGAGGAAAGGAAGACTTAAGACAAAGGATCTTTCTCGGAGGAAAAGGTTACGGTATGCTCGGTTGCGCAACTTGCAAATGAGAATTAACGCTTGCTCTATTTTATGTTCTGAACTATTAACATTTCGGCATAGTTTATAGAGCCGTTCGTTAAAGAGCTTGAGGATAACTACTTGATGTATGTTACTAATTTCGGCATTATGCTAACGCAAATTACCCATTGAACAGTTATTTGCATACGAAGAAGCTTATTAGCTATTCCGGTAAAAAGCTGTGCAGCTCATGAAATCTTCTATGCAATGTTCAAATCAGCTGTTTCGCTGTTAAATGCTTCACGGGAAAAAGGGCAGGAGAACGAGAGAAAAGGATGTTGGAACTACTGGAAGACGGGAAAACGCCATTCCGGAATGAAAGATCAGTTCAATGCCATTGCCTTTCTGGTTATTTTAGTTTACTTCTCTCTAGTTTGTTAATGTTTATTTGTCTGTCTCATTGCTCACACTTCTCATTTTTTCCTTCCTGTCGGCATTTTATATCAACGTTGACAGCTCATCAGGAGGCCAAGAACCTTTACAAGTTTATTTACATCTGATGCTTTCACCCTCATGTACGGTCATCGGCCTCCTTCTGGTTATGTTTAGTTTTACACCTTTTGCTTCCACGCATTTTTTTGCTTTCTCTTGTTGAATAGCCGACTACCGCATGGTGTGACCGGAACTCAGGTCATTCCATGGATATTGCTTGAAATGTAAGGTTTCGATGCTTTTGCAATTCAACGTTAGAATAATGAGCTTGTTGTCGTAATCACAGACAATCTACACACCAGTATTCCTTAATTAGGGGAAGTAAGCGTAACGTGGTTAAATAAGGGATTGTTACTGCATATGCTATACCATTGCTCCGTGATGCTCAGCTAATATAATTATTATGGGAAGCATTATCATTCTGATTAAGCCCAGCTTGAGTTTCATTCTTTCTTTTTTCAATAGAATATGAGAACAATTGAAGAAAAAAGTAGAGTTTCAATCACAAGTTGAATATATGATGCAATTAAAACACTAATTTGGACCGTAGTAACTATTATAATAAGCATTCATCATCTGCTTTTCTTTTCCAGTTGTTTTCTAATGAGAGAATACTTTTGTCTTCAGTTCTCCTTTGCTGGTTATTCAACTTCTATTAATGCAAAGGTTCATACAAGGTCATTAAGGATTTTTTATGTTCATTGGAAAAACAGCTGTTCCTTGAAGAAAGCTTCCCTTTGAATTCTTCATATCATCGTTTGGTTATCATGAATTTCTTTCCTCCATGATTTTCTGGCCAAATAAAACTCGACGATCTCTGCAGAGGAATTCAATTATGCAAGCGATTGCATCAGAAGGCTCTATTCGAAACCTCTTATGTCACTGATCTTTCTAAACCTGAAATCCGTGTTGATATGTTATAGTACCGGATTTCCTCATTTTTATTTTTCATTATTATTTTTAACTCAATTTTCATTGTTCAGGTCTAAACCATCTGTCAGCAGTTATGTTGATGCCATGCTTCCTCCTATTGGTTGGCTCCGCCTCATAGTTGCTCACGCTCCGCCCTCCTAGGGGTTGGTCTTGGTTATGGTGAGTCTTCTAGTATTAAGCAGCGATTTTCACTCAAAAGGGAAGGAAACGGATCCGGAATGGACGTCAAGACGGAAAACGCCGCCACAGTCGCTAGCACTGCCGTTGCTGTAAAAGCTGCCGAAGCAGTTTCCTTTCCATTCCTACAGGTTAGTATGTTTCTTTAACGTTCGTATCTTTATCATCTGCCGAACCATGTGAAATTTCGTTGAAAAAAACCCGTTTCAACCTTTCTTTTTTTGGAATTTTCGCAGTTGGAGCTCACGGAAAATTTTCTGAGTTTCCATATTTTCAGAACAGTGTTCCTAATGGAAATTTACCAAGAGGGCTTTCCTTTTACGAACCCAACAGCGCTTCGATGGCTCAAGCTTCAAAGAGTACCGGAGCAGGTTAGTTTTTGAGATTCTACATTTACAAAGCTCTAGTTTACTCTCGTTATTTTTGAAATGAGCTTGCTCAGAACGGTCGCATTCTCACTCCTATAGCAAATTCTACTTTCAGATGTATTTTCTGGAATGAATTTGTCTATGCAGGCGTTTAACAACACTACTGCCACAGCATCAAGTGCTGCCGTTGCCTCTCATATCAAGGAAGAACCTAACTCTGTAATATTATCACACGGATTTCAAGATGACAAAGATCCATTCCAGCTCCAAGCACCTCATTTCAATATGCCATGTTTCAACTATAATTTGAAACATGTTATACCTACATGCAATCCAAGCACTTTTTCTACCCAAGGTTGGTGTTTTTCATGTTTATGGGGGCTTAGCAATGCTTAATTCTATTTTGCTTTTTTGTTTTCAACTACTGTGCATAGTTTGAGATTCAAAACTGTTAAAAATAATTTATTTTCGTTTGTTTGGTGCGTAAATCGCTCGTCGGAGCAGCCGTGTTCACTATATTTCCTGCTCTATATCCGAACGTTCTGTATTTTCGGATGGGTTACGGTAGTGAAGGCGTTTAGCTTGTATTCGACGAAGATGTCGATTTCCACCGAGAAAAACAACGGTCAGGATCTTGGTTGTCTTCCTGTTTTGGCGCTTAGAGACTTTCTATCGTTCATATCTCTCTCTCTCTCTCTTGTGCCATCCTTTTCATTCTATATGATTCTTTCGCGAAGTTTGAGGAAAAGCGCCACTAAAATTCGAAAATCAGTTCTGCGAGCAACAACTCAATTTATGATTTCCTTTCATCACAATGTAACCTTTGTTTGACTTCCTAAAACCAGCTGTGGCAAACATATTTTGAAGAGTCTGTTGATTATTTTTTCGAAAGAGAAGTAACTTTTTTTGATTCCGAGGTTTTTCCAAGTTTCTTTGCTAGGGGGGTGTGCATTAAGGTTTCACTACCTTTCTGTTCTAAGCTTTCTTCAACCGCAAAACGAGCTTGATCTAAACGAGAATAAAGGAGAATAATTTATTCTCAGCCATCTATGCGTTTCCTCTACTTGATAGCTTAATCGTTCTTGAACAACTCTGCCTACGATACAAGGCACGGAAAAGAGTTGTTTTAAGTAGTCTCTTTCTACATGTCTAGAATGTCTTGAAAATTTTAGAAAGTAGGGAATAAAGAGAATATATACCTATTATCTCGCTCATTAAGTGCAGCGAAGTCTGCACTAGCATGTAGCAGTTACCGTATTTCTTATTATGGCAGATTACCGAATAACGTTTAATAACTTTTCAATCGTTCACTTTATTATTCGTGCCGCTTTGTAATTGGGCAGATTCTCTCAAGGAACTCAAGCTTACTCGAAAATAGAAAAAATAGAGAAAATATACTCGTTGATCGTTATTTTCTCTTTCTTGAATCCTGATTCAATAAAAGTTTAACAACCGTGATTGACCGTATTAGTGAATTGAGTTGAGGACCTTGTCTTTCTCTTTGACTCAATTGACTAAACCCTACTATCAATTCAGGGTGCTCTCGTTTTGTTCAAAAGTTTCCGAGCTTTGTGTAAAAAAATTCATCCAAATAATGTCACGCTATGTCTATGCAATTAGCCATCTTCTTCACTTGCATAGTCAGATGATGCGAAGCAGTCTAATAGGAGATTGTTTAAAAGACAAACAAACGACAACTAAGATCATCATCTTGGTTCTTATTCTCTATTCATGGTAATTGAGCCCAGAATGTTTCTCCAATTGAAAGCTTTGTTATTTTTAACAACTGAGTTGATTCAACATGTCTTTAGGATATCATGAACGAACGAAAAACAAGGGGATTCTAGTTATTGGAGTTGAATTTACGTTTGAGTTCATGTGAGACGACAGTTTTCTCTCTCTAATAGGCCTACGTTCGAGCAATTTTACTTTTTTTTACTAATGGACTTCACCAATTATGTAGCAGTAACAGCTTACAGCTGCTTAGGTACATTCTTCAGTTAGCAACAGTGATTATATGCTTCCATAAATGCTCATTCATTTTCTTCTCTTTCTCTCACCTAACTCTTGGTCTGGTTTAGTATTTCTAAACAACAGGTGAGCAAGATGAGACAGGAAGTTAGTAAAGAATTAAGCTTGTACCTCAATGCTGTCTCGAATCATTTTGTACATCTGGACACTCTACAAATCATCGAGACAATGAAAGGGCTAGAGAGCATGAAGAAAAAAGAGGTCGCTTAAGACATTGGCTACCACCTGTAAATGACCTTAACCAGTCATCGGTGAAAAGAAATTAGTCACAGTAGTATGTTAAATACGTACTGTCATTGTTGAGGTCAGTTGGTGATTGAGTTCAATTAAATTAGTACGAAATGAAGCATAGACTAACTTCATTAAGCTTTTTAGTTCACAAGAATTCTGAGAGTAACAAAATGGTATTCATTCTTGTATTCTACGCAACTGTTAAAATGAAATCAAAAGACCGATTGTCTCTCAATCTTCCCTAATTCTATTGAGCAATTAGCGTGTCATCACATAAGGAGGAGCACTCAATCAGTGCCCTTCTTGACTTCATAAATAGCCGTTGCGTCAAGAGACATGCCACATAAAGCTTAGTTCTTTAGTTCTCTCAAATCAGAAGAACAAGAGACTTCTAACGACATAGTGTCTTCCTAATATAGTATGCAATTATTTCAAGTAAGATTGTCATTAGCCTTCTGACTTTCCGTTGCCACTCTTCATCTCTATCTTCTCTCTCTCTATCTCTATACAATCAGTGCGTGTCCTGAATGCTCCGTCGAAGAAGTTCGCGGAGCTTATCTTTGACGCGTCTTTACATCCGGACTATTCGAAGACAATCAAATTTCGGGTTTCGCTCCCATCAATGATTTCCTTTGAGCAATTGTGAGATTCTTCAAAATATGAATCTCGATTAAGACTTCATTCGTGTATTGGGTTACTTAATTCTATTCTTTGCAGATCCTTATCAAACCCTTTGCTCGACCAGTAGACAATTGGCGCACTCAGGTATGGCAGGAAGACATTTTTAATTTCAATCTGTTGTTTAGGAAGTGGTCAGACTCAGCTTTGGCAGTTCCTATTAGAGCTTCTATCCGATGCTCGTCATCAAGAAGTGATCACTTGGGAAGGCACCCAGGGAGAGTTTAAGCTCGTTGATCCAGATGAGGTTGCCAGGTAATAGCTTATTAAAAATTTAAAATAGTAGTCGCAAAGTGGCGTACTGTAGCTCAAACGCAATGTGCAATTTCCGATGGAAAATTAATTTTTTTCGAACGGAAATTATTTCGGCAAGCTGTTTTGCAGCTTTTGTGTGATGAGCTCTAATACAAAAGCAGTCCGATCATAGAATTGAATTAAAATTTTTAGGAAATGGGGAGAACGCAAATCCAAACCCAACATGAATTACGACAAGATGTCACGTGCTTTGAGATATTACTATGATAAGAACATCATGGCTAAAGTTCATGGAAAGAGATATGCTTACAAATTCGACTTCCAAGGTAGGTATTCTATTAATAGACATAGATGGCTTCCCGATTGTATCGGTCAGGCTAATTTAAGAATTATATTACGTAACATTCAGCAATTGCATCTTTTCAGGGATCGCTGCCGCCATTCAACCACAGACTCCGAGCTCAACGTCAACCGATTATCTGGCAGTGAACCGATTACCTCAAGAATTCATGCAAGGGCCTTGGAGTAATTACCGCTCTCTTATCCAGCCAGGTTTCCAAGTACGCTTTTCAATATATCATCAGACTTCTGCTACATGCATCAAATGATTAAGTTTCCTGATATGTGATATTTCAGCCTGGAACAACTCTGTTTACGCCTTCAAGCATGGGGTATGGTAGTTTCTCTACTACTAACAACACATCACTTCCCACAAGAAATTTCCCTCTGTACGGCTCCAACATGAGTAATTATTCAAAATGCGCGTAATGCGAGATTTTCTTACTTCTAACAAGATTTTTTCCTCTTTTAGTTTTTGATATATCTGCGACAAGAGATGTCCTCTATAATGAGCGGATTGCAGAGTGAAAACAGAACTTCTTTAAGTTCATGTACTTCAATAAAGCAAAAATACCTAGTCAATCTCGCGCATATTTCATAAAATGTAGATCTCGATACAACGGGAGTTTCTAGCATCTGTAACACAAATCTTATTCATTTTGTACACTCATATAATTATATTTCTCCGATTCCATTGTATATACATGACTCTTCTCTGGCTTATTAGCTTTGCAATCAGTTGGACTACTAACGTGATAGCATTTTCTTTTTTCATAATAATAGTACGATCTCTAATAAATCTTTGACAATTTGCTGAATTTAAATATTGGAAGGTTCGATTCACCTGATTTTGCTCTATGATACTAGCTGTAGACTAATTCTCACGTCACGTTTTTCACGTGATTACGTTGTACCGTGGGAAGCGTATTCTCATTAGTTTCTTCGCGACGGACTGATCGGTTGATGAATTAATTGCTAAACGCCGCTGCTGTTATGTCTGGTAAATGTTCTGTCAACTTTAATATACTTATTCGGACTTATTAAAATTCGTCAAAATGTAATTACAACAGGCATAGCTTCCGCCTTCACTTATCATTTGTATCTTAGAAAGTGTTTCATAGCTCTAGCATGTGCTAGTTGTCCTCTATATTTTGTTTTTCTTCAGACACTTGCAAAACCAAAATCAAAAAACCAACAAAAGGTGTCCTGTTTAGTTTCTCGGCATATTTTCTTCTCAGGCATTGCCATTGATGAGATGAATTGCGTATAATCAAGGAAATCTGCAGCACTCATTCTCTTAGATTATTTCACAAATATTGTTTCTTTTCTTTCATTTAGCCATAGAATTTCTGTGAAGTCGAAGCTTTCACTTTCAGATCAAACGAATGCAAGCTTGTAACTCCACTACAGGATGCTCCACTACCACAGCGATGACAATCGAAGAGGAGATGAACCCTTACTTGAATGCCTCTCTTGTAGCAATTGTGAGTGATCTATATCTCCATTCATCCATTTATCGGAATTTCAGATTGCCATACCGGGATTCCTGTTCAACTTGCTATCGTTCTTTGTGTTCTTCACTCATCCAGCTTTCAGGTAAGTCCCTAGTTAGTTAGTATAGTCCTAAAAGAGCTTTAGAAATTCCTTCGGAAGGCTAACTACTCTGAATGTTGCCGCAAACTGTTTCCTCCTCTTATTTTTTGTATTTTGGTCAATTCCTCTAATATTGTAGTTCGTTAGTGAGTTATTAAACAAAGCTATTTCCATTGCAGCTCGAGTCTTGATCAAAAATTACATTTGTTGAACGAACGCCTTGGCCAGCTCTCCTTGTTCTTCGCCGAAATTACTTATAATTCAGGAGTGGTTTTATCCATAAATCGGTTTGTGGTCAACCAGTCGGCTGGTTCAAAAAACCTTCCCTAACTCTAACTCTTGTTAGACTCGTTGCAATTTCGCTGCCCGTTTTTTATCGCAAATACTTCACCATGCGAATAACGTACATTATCATTGGCGTCATTCTTGCTCTATCTTTCTTGTATTGGCTTGTATATTTTATTCGTAAGTTTTTATGAGAAAGTCATCTTTGACCGATCTTTCACCTCTTACCTCATATTCCCCGTCTTATGTGATTTCCAATGTTCCTCACAATCTAATTGCTTTCAGAACTCTTACCATAATAAGAAATCACTTTTCAGCTGGCTGTTCATTCTATTTTGATGTCGACGCCAATGTTTGGATGTTCTCGGATACTAAATGTGGAATCTTACTAGGAGATGTTATAGATCTCAAATACAATTTGGGTCTTCTAAGCATAAGCATAGTGTGTGACTTTGTCACTATGCTGTTCTTCCGAGGAGCTAACATGGTAATTTCTCTACAAGTATTATCCCACACCTCTCTTTTTTTCTAGAGAATGAAAAAACTTGTGGCCGATGAGAAAAAAGCTCGACAACGAACTCGCAAAGAAATCATATTTTTTTTACAAGTACTTTTGAAATTATTCTCTTCAACTCGATTTATCATTGCAGTCTTTCTCGCAAACTTGTGGATACGTTCTTATGTTTGTATCTTTTCACATCATAAGTGCATCCGTCCAAGTGAAATTCCATGTATTTCTCTCAACCACTATTGCTTGGGCCAGTGCTCATGCTTTCGGAGGGTATGCAAAAACTCCAACTACCTTTCTCAGCTTTTAAAATCAGATTCATCATCGCTGTTTTCAACAAAGAAATACGACTGCATCTGTCTGGGAAAGGGGGAAGAAGGAGTCTACTTAGCACGACAATACTGATGACTACGCCACACAATGGCAAGGTATCGACAACGGGAGCCAGGCAATCGAGGGACAATTTTTGAATCCCTTTCGACATAGGTATATAGGGTATGATGTGTTCTCTCTCTCTTTGCTATTTCGACCCTTCGCTATAGTTTTGAAACATTTCTTGACCACCGCAGTAAGCTTCACTAGTCTGTTCTTTAAAAGTAGAGGAATTTTTTGGATTTCTTTCGGTCATTTCACATGGGAAAAGCTTCCATCCAGTTCCGGCGATGCTTAATTCATCATTATCAGCGAAAACTTCTTGTTTTTCAACCCGTATTCTCAACCGAATTGATTCCTTAATCTGGTTCATTATATTAATTCTCCATATTTCGGATTGGAAATACATGAGACTTCAAGAGATGAATTGCAATCACTCAGCCCCCTCCAATTGCGCACAAAAACGTCTGTTACTCAATGATCAAATCATATTTCCCATATAGCGGAATCAGAACTTTCCAGAATCATGGTGGTTAAGTGCTTGTGTACGTAGTTGATCTTGGAAATTTTCTATTTCAAGTTGGAAATATAATTAAGTAGGAACTCATTCACGGTCAACACTTAACTATCCAAATGGGAATGTTTTGATTGTCTCCCAAAATTGTCTCTCATAATTATCTTTAAAGGTTTTCTTGTTTCTTTTTCTCTCCATACCCTGTGAGTAAACATACCTTTGAAAGTGGGCAAGTGATAGATTGGCAGGTGGGTCTCCAATACCATGCGTAAGACGATGTCATCAACTTCTCTTCATAAAAATTAGAAAATGAAAGGAATCTGTGACAGACAAAGGCAGAAGGCGTTCTCATCACAACTGCAACGTCATAGGTGTCAGTTTGTTCCTTCACAATACCGCGCCAAAGACTTGGATGGTGAGAGTTGGTGGACTGCTTGATGCTTCACCAACACTTTTCCATCTAGTTCACGCGTTTTGTATAGTTCTTCTGCCCATTCTGACTGTTTTTTTTCCGCATCTTCCATTACGCTTAATAGTTGACCTTCAATGCCATTTTTGAGCGACATCTCGCTTCCTTCATCGTCTTCAAGACCGAACTTGTTTAGTAGTTTTCCTTTTCAAGCACACTAAACTGTTTGCGACTTCCGATTGCAGTGTTCACAGTTGAAACAAACTTATTCGATACTAGAACTTCTTTTTTCAGATTTTTTGCTTTGCTCTTGGCTGTCTTGTGAAACTGTTACCTTCCCACATGCAATATCGGATAAATCCTTAAATGATGAAAGTTGTATGTGTTGTTGTAATTCTTCTAACAACAGTATATACTTCACCTGTTAACGAGAACAAACACGAATCAAATGCACGACCAGTTCGTGAGACATCATCGACAGATGAAATCACAGAACAGGATAAGGTATGTTGCAAAATAATGAAAGTTCGAATTCAAACTTAATTTTCAGCAAGCCTGTGCTGAATTGCGTTTAGAGTATGTTAAAGTATGTGCAATGGCTGGTCAGCACTTACCTGATGAAAAAGAAAGAGAGTTTTGCGCTGCATTCGAGAACATTTGCTTCCGGATTCCCAACTCAGAACCTGACCAAGCCACTATGCCGTAAGTTCTTTTTATCTTATCATCATACTTGTTTTAAATTACGTAAAAAAAATAACTACCAAACTAGCTGTAGAATAATACAGTTTGTGCGATTCACCATGTTGCCTGAGAAGATGACACAACCACTCACCGCGCATGCTCCGTCAAAATGAAAAGCTGTATCGCCCTTTCACGTGACTTGTCATTATTCAAAAATATGCTAATTTGTAACGGCGCTTTGAAACTAGCTGCAACCAATTGAATGGAAAAGCTTGTCATTTGCTTCGATACATTTCAGCAAGGCTCTGATAAAGGAACTAACTCCAATGACGTCTTCTAAACTTTCCCATGATCTTGAAACCTTTCCGTGAGTCACAACAGCTTCTCCTGACATAAGCACGCCAAATATCTTGAAATTGCTACTTTTCCTCTCAGTACTCATAGTTATTTCCAGATCCAAAACGACAACAACTACAACCGCAAAACCGAAACCCAAAATAGACATCGAAGCATTCTGTCGTGATTTCAAAAACCGTTATCTTTTCGTTTGTCCAGATCCATTCCGGTTCGGCCAAAAGGCATGAAGAATCTTTTATTAGCAAAGAGCTTATTTGCCAAATTTCAGGCCGTTGTTTTCTGCCCTATTTACTCAGAACGATGCCATGTTCCACTGCCAGATAGACCAGTAGTTCCAACAAGAAAACCTCCAAAAAGCCGACGAGGTGGATCAGCTGTTGAACGATTATGCAGAAGCTATCGGTATGACATAGATCTATCATGATTCTGTAAAATGTCTTTTTGCAGAGGATTTGCTGATTCCTACTGTAATAACTCACTCCTACTATCTCAACCACAATATCGCGAAGGTTGTGAAAAATATTGGAGATTCTGTACCCATCGTGGGTAACTAAGATCACAACAAAGACTATCCCAACGGCTTTACTTGATATTTTGTCGAATTGTTTTTTTGTAGAAATTCTCAGAGAAATTGTTGTATCCATGATATAAAGATAATCTTGTTATCTTCATTCAATCGATTTCAAATGATTTATGATGATGGCTTTCCTCCACTGCAGTTTCATTCAGGAATCCTACGTATCAATCAGAAGAAAAAATGAAATTGCCGCGGTGGGTTTACCTTTTACTAGTGGTCGTTCAGTGCATCTACGCTCAAGGTCCAATTGCTCCAAGGCACTATTATGGAGCTCATCAGGTTTCTTATTTCTATTTAGCAAATTTTTATGCGTTGTAGGGTAATATTCGATCAGGGGTTGTTCCATTCTGGGGTGGCGCTCCAGTTGTCAACCAAGGAACACTAGCTCCACACGTTTGTGGATTCAATGCTTATACAAGGTATGCAAACGTTCCTTTTTCGTATCTGATCTGACTGATTAGAAAGTGCATGGATCCAGAAAATAATTGTCCAGGAAGATGCATGAACTTCCGATATACTTACAACGTCTTGTATGACTGCAGATGTTTAGCATTATGATAAGAACATTTTTAATTTGAAGTGAATTGTTTATGTAATTATTTAATTGATGGTAGTGAGGGGCTTTTGATTGACACGGGGGATCTGCTCATCTTGAGCTTTTTCTTCATATTTCTCTTCTTGTGGTTTTTCTTCTCGAGACTCTCCATCCATTTCTCCTTCAGCTTCGGCATCATCAGCTACAACTTCTGTGTCCATGCTTTCCAAATCAACAACACCGTCATTGTTTTCATCTTCTTCATCATCCTATTAACGAGTGAATTTTAACAGTAAAGTCGGGCTCTTCGTACCTCATCATCAGCATCCTCTCCTTCTTCATTATCTTCCAAAGGCATGAGATCTTCTTCATCTACCTGTTCTTCTTCCTCTTCTACTTGAGGTGGGACTTCTTCAACGTCTTGATCATCCCACTTGATGGGGAAAGAGGTTACTCGTATGTCTTCGGATTGGACGGTTCTTTTAAGCTTAAAAAATGTGTCTTCGAAACCTCTATTTTGTATACTTCACTAACCTTTTCAACAACTGGTTTACTAGGAGGATTCTCTTTGAGCTCAACTTCTTCCTCGGGGTATTCATTAGAAACAAACCATCCTAGATTTAAGAACTCCTGAATAAATATATTAATATGGCAATGCACTAACAGCACGTACTTGTTCGTTATATCTACATTTGAGGAGTAGAACTGACACACCAACAATATCATTTACAGGGATTTTCTCGGGGTTAGGGGCATCAGCCTAAAGAGAACCAAATAGTCATTATTGGCACGGCCAAAAAAATCAACGAACCGTGAAGTTGAACTTGTGCTTGCCTTCTTCAGTTGGACCGACAAGAACAGAATCGAGGATTTGATCGTAGTCTGTTGATTCTCCTGATCCTACGTAGACTAATTCCCACTCAAGATCTTTAAAAATGAAAATCAATAGTATCAGACAATTAAATTGATTTCTTACCGTGCGGCAATCGTTGAAATGCTTCAAAGGTTATCTCAAGCGTAAATCGGTCAGTAAATTTTCCGGGATTATCGAGGGTAATAACGGAGCAGACATTGACACGAGATCCCATTATGATACGGTTAAATTTCTAAAGTAAAAATTCAGGAAATAATAAATTATTATGTTAATAATTTAACAGAGCGCACAGCTGAAGGATAAATCCATGTGAAATTTAAAGGTCTAACGTTTCCCGCTTCTTGAAATTAAAGGTCTAAAAAGTGGTAACGGGTATACACTTTGTTTTGTCATCTTCCACGAGCTATAACGTTCTTTTTAATTTTTGTAATTCATTGAATCTCGAGAATTTGAATAATATAACTGAATAATTATGTATATACTGAATTTAGATAATGTCTAACAACCGTGACGCCATAAAGGTTGAGCCTATCAAGGCCGGCAACCAATCTGAAATAGAAGAGATGGCTCACTTGGCCGCTCAGGTTTGAGCATAGTTTCAACTTGTTTTACATGAACTCTTTAGGGTGGAGATGGAAGATTGTTCAAAATGGAAATTGATTATACAACACAGGTTGATGAAGCCATTCCCACAGCTGATTCCTTAGCTTCCGTAAGTCGTTAAGCATTGCTAACTGTGATGATGAAAACAATCAGGCTGGAAAAATTGTTGAAGCCTTGGAATCATTGAGTAATTTGGAAAAATTGACTCGTTTGGGATCTGATATGAAGAGTAATGCCCGTATAGTTCAGCATATGGTACGAAAACTTGTTGATAATCTCATTTTCTTGTTCTCTCTTCAGGTCAAGATGTGTTTTGATGGAAAGAAGTGGGATCTTCTAAATGAAACTATTCTCACTCTCTCAAAGAAGAGAATGATCATCAAAGTGGCTATCGCTAAGATGGTGATTCCGTTTTTTTTTCTTTGTGAACTTCGAGCTTGTTAGGTAAAAGATGCTTGCACTATGGTTGAGAAGCTCCCAACCGAGGATTTAAAAATGAAACTCATTGATACTCTGCGAACTGTCACCGCCGGAAAGGTTCAGTTTAATTTTCTCAATGAACTTGTAAGTCATCATGACTGGTTTTCAGATCTATGTTGAAGTTGAAAGAGCGCGCTTAACTTCATTGGTCGTAAAAAAATTGGAAGCTGAAGGCAAAGTTGATGAAGCTGCTACCATGCTTTTGGAGCTTCAGGTAGAAACCTACGGTTCTATGGAAGTTAAGGAGAAGGTAATTAACATATATAAAGCGTTTTCATTCCTGTAATTCTAGGTCGAGTTCTTGTTGGAGCAAATGAGAATTTCTGTCGCCAGAAGCGATTACGTTCGTGCTGGAATCATATCCAAGAAGATCAGCATCAAGTTCTTCAATAGCGAATTACCTGAGGTATTTTTCTATTGTTGTTTGTTTGTCAAATATAAATTTGTTGTAGGTTCAAGATTTGAAGCTTAAATATTATAACCTGATGATTACGATCGGCTTACAAGAATCTCAATATTTGGAAGTTTGCAGACATTACAGGTATTGATCATACTGTTTTCCTTTTCTCATTATTTTTGTGTTTAAGAGCAATCTTCGATACTCCTATTATCAAGGCTGATCCAGAAAAGGCCAGAGCTGTAAGTCACTAGTAATTATATACTTGATGAGCATATTTTGTAAGGCCTTGAAATGCGCTGTGGTTTACTGTCTGCTCTCTCCTCATAGTAATGAGCAATGGGACCTTTTGCATAGAATTCACATTCAAAGAGATCTCGAGCCCGTTGTTGAATACAAGGTTGGTTTATTCTAATGAATGTCTTTCACTATAGTTGTCCAACTCCAGGCTCTTCTGGATCTCTTCGTCAATCAAGAATTGATCTCTTGGGCTGGAAACATTGTTGCTCAATATGAAAAGCTGTTGAAAAAAGGAACACCTACGTCACCAGCTACACCTGTGAGTTTCTTCCTGATCTGTTCTCACCCTTTTCATCAATTTTCAGGTGTTTGATTCTAGTTCAAAAGATGGCGAGAAACGTTGGGAAGATTTCCACCTCCGTGTCGGAGAGCATGTGAATTTCCTGGTTTATTTGATTTTATGAATGTTTTATTTTCAGAATATGAGAATGGTCGCTAAGTATTATTCAGAGATCACCTTCGAACGACTCAGCGAACTATTAGATTTCCCACTCGATGTATGTTCAAAAGTGTAAACAGGACTAATGTTTAATTATAGAAAATGGAGTCCTTCCTCTGTAACCTCATCGTTACCGGACAGATACCAGATGCTAAAATTCATAGACCCAGCCGAATTGTCAACCTTCGCGCCAGAAAAGCTCCAATTGAGGAATTGGACCAGTGGGCTAGCAGTGTTCATAAGTTAACCGAAACTCTTAATAAGGTATGTTGGTGATCAATTTGCTGGATGTAATGTTTATATCTTAGGTGTCTCATCTCATCCTGAAAGAACAAATGGTTCACAAAAATCTTGATATAAGTCAATATTAACTCGAACGAAATACTGATCTGTTTTGTCTTGAACGGTGTGTATTTATAAGAAATGTTAAAATACTGGTCTGTACTTGATAACTTATTGTTCTCTTTCATAAACATAATTATAATCCTATGATCGTTCTTTATGACGCAAGCTTGTGTTGAGTATATTCAGAAGCTATTGATAGGAAACTAAGTAGCCAGCCTAGTTATAAAACTGACATAAAAACCGTTATCGACTTCGAAAGCTATAATATAAGTAGATAATGAGCCGAGGAGGTTCTGTAGGGTTGGTTCACACAAGATGTATGGAGGTAGGTTTCGAAGAAGGAATCTATTAGTTGAATTAGTTCCTCACAACTTCCGTTCTGCAGCAATCTCTTTCAGGTAGTGAAGATGAGTTCGAAGTTAGAAGCAGGATAATCAGTAACCACCTGAAGGTTCTCGTATCATGTTACTAAGTTTAATGGCTCAATTTTTAGGATCGTGATAATTGTATTGTTTTAAAAATAGATACTCATAACAGCACTGTAAAGAATTTAAATCCGTTTGGATTCCACTTTGAATTGGACAAAGAGAAGTATCAAAAAAGGAAAAAGCAGCTTCGAAAAGAACGTAGGTACCGTGTTTTCTATATCCTCAATCTGTTTCGTTACCCTTCCTGTTTGCGTCAAGCAGTTGGTTGTTTCTCAATTTTGAAATTTAGCATACGTACGGCGTCATTTTTATTTTTGAGACGTTCGCGCACGGTTGTGTTCTTTTGCTCTCCAATTTCTTCTTCTCTCTTTTTCTCCTCTTTCTATGTATTTTTATACTTCCAATTATGAAACAACTTTGAAGTTCTATGAAGATCCAGAAATCGATTGAAAACAGTTATTTCCAGGTTTCACTAGGTTATTCTCTCTAATAGCCCATTATCATCACAAGTATGGAGTACGTCACATATTACTTGTTGCATTACTAATAGGTTATGTATGTGTTGGAGGAGCCATCTTCAACTCACTTGAAGCGCCTAAAGAACTAGAGGTATTCGTTTTTTAATTTTTGTATTCTTTTTTCCGAACTTCTGTACTCATCTTTGAATGGATTGTAAACATTTACAGCCGCGATCAACGTATCGCTCTTTTAAAAGTGATATTTCTATAAAAATTCATACATTCTGAACTCTAGAAATGCTCATTTGAAACGTTTCAAAATAACTTTTAAGGACCTCAGAGATTCTGTTGAGGAAATGTCAGAAATAATGATAGAAGAAGTGTATGAAATAAATAATATCACAGCAACTTACAACGGAACGGAAAGAGATGAACATCTTCTTCGTTTACTAAGGGTTTGTATAGTCGGGGTGAGCAAGTAATAGTTACTTCTTATAGAGGTTTTATAAAACGATGTTGGAAGCCGAAGGAAAGTTCCACGGGAGTGTCTGGCATAAAGCCGAAAACTTAGAGTTACGTCTCACGTGGCATTTCTCAAGTTCTTGTTTCTATTGTATGACATTGTTCACTACTATCGGTTATGGTTGGTGCTTTTGTCCGGAAGTTCGTAAAACGAAATATCATTTTAGGATCGATATCTCCTCAGACGGTATGGGGAAGAGTTATAACAGTCATCTATGCTTGTATCGGGATTCCTCTGATGCTTGTTGTTCTGGGAGACATAGGAGAATGGTTCCAGAAGTTTCTGACGAAGGGGTACTTATTGCTATTGATGAAATACAGGTGATTAATAGATATAAATGTTGTATAAACTATTAGATAGAAAAATGAGGAAACTTAAAGATCTAACAAGAGATGAAATTGAAGATGTCTTCCTACCTATGTGGCTAGCTCTGCCTCTTGTTGCTTCTTACGTTATAGCCTGTGCTCTATTCATTCGAATGTTTGATCACAATGAAGGCCAATTACCAGGTATTAGTTGTATTTTAAAAACTTATCAGCTGTGTGTAACTGCGAAGATTAATGACTCTTGATTACGTGTGAAAATGATAAAAGAGTTGTGTTAAAAGCAACCGGTCATAGCGTCAGTGAAGATGAAAATGACTGAGCTGATGAAGACCTGCGAACAAATTGTTTCAGGTATTGGCTTTGGTGAAGCTTTCTACTTCACGTTCATCAGTTTGACCACGATTGGGTTAGGAGATTTGATGCCTTACAACATACAGGTTAGACATTCCTTTCTTTATGACAAAATAGAATTGGAAACTGTGAACAGAGCGTGTGACAGTTCGTATTGAAAATGCTATTAACTGGCTTCAGTTCACTTTGACAATTATCATTTTCTGAGTGTTTATGCAAGATTTGAAAGGTGTGAAAATCAGTTATGATCGTCTTATGATAGCCGAAAGTTGCTAAAATCAAACAACCATCTGTTTGAGTTGAAAAATGAACTTGATCAAGTCATTATTGTTGGGAGAGTCTTCAAGGAATGGATAGTTCTCTCAGTCGACACTGCTTCATTCATTTCTTACTTCTGATGTAAACATAATTCGTTATTTTAGTATTCCCCCATCTTATCATCTGCTTTCTTACTTGGTCTTGCACTTGTCAGTATTGTGAACACATCCATATATGCTCAATTGTATGATGTATTCTATAACTCAATCAGGAATATGGAAGAGAACTTAGACGCGATACACAAGAAAAAGCAAATTGTAGGCGAAGGATACAAAATCTTTCAGGTAAAATAGAAAAGTCATGAAGATCCCTTTCTTGCATTCCCTATCTGCCTCTTATCTTCTCTTCTTATTCATCATATTGTGATTTGTTTTTCACATTTTGTTTCTAGGATATGGAGCCAAGCGTTCGTCTGTTAGTATGTTCCTTCCCTCATGTTGGAAATAATATAAGAGAGGGAGTACTAGAAGGAATCCTCAAAACAGAAGGGTCATCTGGCAAGAAAGAAAAGAAAGTCACGGTATGTTTTCTTGATATTCCACGCTTCCGCATTTGCTTTCTTTCAGTACTCTTCTGTTGTACGGAAACGCACCATATCCTACACTGGCGATGAAAAAGAGGAGAAGTCTAAAGGATCTACTGGAAGAATGCGTGCTCCAACTCTGGGTGCATTCGGAGGACGCGAATTGGCTAAATTCAGGTTTGACTCTGGAGCCACTCTTTTGCAAGTAAATATTGCGTCTTTCTAGAAAAGAAAGACAAGTGACTCGCCGATCTTCTGATGCTACTGCCCCCTCTGTTTCTATTATTCAAAGACGTGGCTCTGATGCAGGAAATCGAGATGCACCGTTTGACTGGAAGACGCCAATTAAGTCGAAGAAAGCTGTCTCGAAACCAGAACCTAATGAAGACAAAGAAACTGAAGTAATCACTGATGAGATAACAAAGCTTTCGGTTACTCAAACTGATGAAACAAAAACTCCAACACAGGATTTATCAAACTATTATGATGACGAGCCAAGCAACGTCCAAGGCGACACATACACGAATGACGAGAATGTTCATGAATGCACAGGTATCTACAGAACATGTTTAAACAATTCAAAATCTATTTCTAGACAACAAAGAAGAATCAGAAGAAGATGTCAGGAAGTCATCAGAAAGTTCAAGGAATAGCTCCGATGATGAAGGCTCTGATGATGAACCTCCAGCCAATCGACCTGCACCATTACTAGAAATGCCAGTTCTGAAACCATCTTCGGGCGATTCTGATGACTCGGACGACGACTCGGATGATGAACCTTTACCACCAACAAGCAAATTTGCTAACCTCAAGAGAGGATCCTATTTCGTGCCTCGTCAACAATCAGATTCAGATGATGACGATAACAAGCCGAATGTAGAATATATTCCGTAATTATAAAATAAATTGAAATTCACTCAATCTCATCTGTTGAGTTGCAGTACAAAGAGTTTTATTAGCTTAAATTGGTATTCGTCCAGAGATTACTGTCACTTATGACTCCGTTTAGGTTCAACATAAGATGTTTGTACCAAAAAGAAATCTTGATCGGTAGTTTGTAGTTTGGCTTCCGAGCTACCGCTCGATTCCTTAACATCATTGATCAGTCATTATATCAAAAGATTATCCCGCCTCATGAGCTCTTTTTCCTTTCTTTTCTTTTTTTGTGTCGTCTTTCTGGTTTTCTGTCGTTATTGAAGATTGCGCTTCCTTCTCCTCTCCCAAAAATAGCATAATTTCGCCTGGGGCAATCAAATTGGCTTGCTGGGGTTGTTCAGAAGTTCTGTTTTCTAGATAAGTATTTTATGTAAAAAATTAATGAAAAGACGGCTCACCCATCGTTTGATACATCTCCGCTTGTTCGCTTTTATATTTGTTGCGATTTCGTTTTCGTCTCGCTTCTGCATTGATCCAAACATAGCGTTTGAACTCAAAAACAACTTCATTGCCAATATTTTCGGAATTATCGGGTTTCGCTACCATTTGAACGTTTAACTGAAGTAAGTATTATAACAATGAGTTTTATATAGAGTAGGCGATCGCTAATTTAGTTTTGGATGGAAAAGCTTTTAGAGTCTTCGAAAAGAATCAATATGGACATGCGGAATGTTCGCTTCTCACTCCTTGCAACAATGGTTCAAAGCTTAATGTTCCATGACAACCATAAAAAAATTAAACTTTGCACACTAATCTACACTTTCTGATGATTTATGAGTTAAGAATTCACACGTGTTCGCATCTTTTTGTTCCTTAAGAAATGAGAACGCAAGACTTTCGTTTTTTCACATTCGTAATATGAAATTATATGCTGATTAATACGGAAAGTGAGAATCGGTCTTATTCAAAACATTTTGGAATGAAAACATTGACGAGTTTGTATACAAAAGTTGAATGTTTGATAATTTTGAATGCGACCGCTCGTTGCGATGAAAGGTTTAAAAATAACAAAAACGTGGAAGCATTCACGTAATCGAGTAGACGCCGCCACTGCATAATGTTCTTGGAGGAAGAACGATATGGTTTTGAAAAGCCTTTTTCGGTTTTAAACTAGCCGCACGCCCTCCGGCTTCAGTTTCAATTGATTTTCGTTATAACTTCACCCAAGAACTCTTGTTTCGAAAACTCAAATGACATCATTCCATTATGTATATTGTGCTTAAGCAGAGAGCTACGTGATTCTTATGACTTCTGAAAGCAAGACCTCATACGCAAATTTGCGCACAACTAATTTGCTCAGAAGGCTCAGGCACGGCTCTCATGTGTAGATGTTTCTTGAATTATAAGCAGACCTCTTATGGCATGTAGAAGTTCTCATGATAAAGGGGGATGTTGATCTAACCGCTGTTTCTATCTTCCTCAATCACTTTTCTCTGATCAAGTGTCGTTTTCATCGTTGATTGCTTGAAGATTTGATGATACTAATGGTTTTCTTCCGTTCCAGAAGTTAGAAATGATTATGACAAATGAAGCCGAGAAAGGAATGGTTCCTGTTGATCCTTCTGTAGGGGCCGTTTCAACAAACATCAAAAGTGTGGAAGAAAAAGAAGCAGCAAGATTGCTCAATCCATCATCGAATGCTGCAGAAAGAAAACTAAAGCCAGTAAGCGTCTATTTCTTTTTTCTTGACTACTATTGAATGAATCTGCCCATGACCATTCGTTCGAAACTTTTGTACAAAACTTCTTTTCATTCCATTACAATCGCTGATTAGTATTCTGACAATGAATAAGAAGCGTTCAGAAATCGTAGAAGCACCGAAAGCCAATTCCTTATGCCCCGCGTCTTCTTCACCCTTCTCTCTCTCTCTCTGAAGTTATTGTTCGGGTGAACTGTCAAAAACAGTTCTTTCCTTTGCAACACTCATTTCACAGAAACGTTGGACTAGAATGACCAACAAGATGCTCTTGCCCACCCGCGTTATCACACATTTCTCTCGCAATCCGTCAGTTTACGCACCCTTCATGCTCTTAATTTCCTTTTTTAAATTTATTCGTACAGCTCCGTTCTTCGTCATAGTCATCATTCACTCATCCTCTTCATGCGATCTTTGACCTTCAAAACTGATTGTGTTTGACAGAAAGTTATATTTCATATTATTGCGGTGAATGAAATATACTATACTCCGCACGCCCTTGAAAACAACAGGTAAATTCATGGGTACCTCCACTACAAGTTGTCCAAAAGAGGCAATTCAGTCAGTAGCATCTTATACATTTCCGTTGTATATTTGTTAAGACTCGTCTAGATTGATTGACGCTCTTGTTATTTTGATATGAGTACTAGATAATTATCACGTTTCTCTTGTCACTGGACGTTCAAAAAGACGTTGAGCTGAACAAATACTTGCCTTATAATCTTCTTAAATTATCTTTTTTTCTGTATGTTTTCTTACGCATCTTTCCAACCAACGCATATTAGCTATTTCTTCAGTTCCAACTCAAAGGCTCCTCTTCAAGCTCTCCCTGTGAAAGAGCTAGAGGACGCGTCACTTCGGTCAGCTGTTCACTTTTTTCTTCATTTCCTTCTTCTCCCTTCTCATCATATCCGTTTTCTTTTGTCATTTCATTCGGTTTTTTTTAGAAAATTGAAAGCTTTGTATGTTTGACCTAGCTTTCGGGGTCATCTTACTCTGATAAAAGCTGAAACAATCACGTGGCATTTCCGTCACGATGTCGTTTATTTGCGCAGCTTTTCCCGAAAATTACGAGGAAAATGTGTTGTCTGTCATCCGAAATGTCTTTTTGTTGTCCTTTTTACTTTTTTCTTTTTGTGTTGTGCGCGGAAGAAACGTTGAAAGCCACGCCGACCATGCACCATGTCTTCGGGAATGCCATCATCTTCTCATCTTTGATAATTTTGTTCGTCATGACCTGTTGTTCCTTACTCGCTTTATGAAATTAAAAAAAACTCTTCTCTCTAGAAATGAAATCGGAGAATCAAGAAGTCTCAGTGCCGCTGCGCTCGGAACAGAGGCAGGAGGTTAACTTTCATTTTTTTCCACCCAAAACTTCATATTTAACAAATCTGATAAACAAAGAGGGAACTTTTCAGTCCCATTAAACTCTTTCGATGCTATCTTAATCTATGACTGTTGTAGGGACGATTAACAGGCGTCTTAGCCTTTTCTGTATTTGCTGTGACACTTTCATCGTTTCAATTTGGATATCATATAGGATGTGTGAACGCCCCTGGAGGAGTTAGTTCTCTCTTCCCATTCTTATCAAAACATTTTGTTGTAGCTCATCACAGAATGGATCATCCAATCTCATTCGAACACCTTCAACCAAACTATTACTAACAATGAAGCTGATATGGCATGGTACCTTGAGAGATCTTTTCAATCTACCCAATTGATACTTCAGGTCTGTCGCTGTAGCTATTTTCGCTGTTGGTGGTATGGCTGGTGGTCTTCTTTCCGGATGGCTCGCTGACAAAGTAACACAATTTTGAAAAAAAACCTCAAGCAATCGTACAAATAAAGGTTGGAAGAAAAGGAGGCTTGTTGTACAACAACTTGTTCGCATTCATTGCTGCTGCATTGATGGGCTTATCCAAGTCTGTTGGAGCATATCCAATGATCATTCTCGGAAGACTCTTCATCGGTTTCAACTGCGGTAATTTCTATGAAAATTCTCTGCTCTGAGCATTTGTTTAGGTTTATCCTCTGGATTGGTTCCAATGTACCTGACGGAAGTGTCCCCCATCAATCTCCGAGGAATGCTTGGATCTTTCCATCAGCTATTCCTCACCATTGCTATCCTTGTTTCACAGGTAATAATGAGTACCCGTTGGTATACTTGACTCATGACTTCAGATTTTCGGACTTCCATCTCTTCTCGGTTCCGATGAGTACTGGCCTATGATTTTCGCTTTCACCATTGTGCCTGCTATTCTCCAATTGGCTACTCTCGTTTTCTGTCCAGAATCTCCCAAGTATACCTTAGCCGTTAAAGGAGATGAACCCAGGGCAGAATCCGACTTGAAGAAGCTCAGAGGATCTGATGATGTGAGTCATTATTTTTTGAAATTCCTATTAGTGTATACAGGTTTCCGCTGAGTTAGACAGCATGAAAGAAGAAGTAGCTTCTGCTAATACTTCTGAGAAACCTTCAATGGCTTCAATGTTCTCTTCTTCTCTTCGTTGGCCTATGACAATCGCCATCATGATGATGCTTGCTCAACAACTTTCTGGTATTTATTTATTGTGTTTACCAACTTATCAAATCATCATCTAAGGTATCAACGTCGCCATGTTCTATTCCACCATCATCTTCAAAGGAGCTGGACTTTCTACAGAACAAGCCGTATATGCTACCATTGGAATGGGAGCCGTTAACGTACTGATGACCATCGTTTCTGTGTGGCTGGTAGATCTTTCTGATTTGTTTTGATTGCAATATTATTCATTGTTCAGGTTGACCATCCTAAGTTCGGACGTCGTTCTCTTCTTCTCATTGGTCTGATCGGTATGTGGTTCTGTACAATCTTCATTGTCGGAGCTCTTACCCTTAACGGATCAACTGATGCTACCGGGGCTGTTCAACACCCATGGGCAAGTTATGCTGCTATCGTTGGAGTTCTACTGTTCGTCGTCTCCTTCGCTTGTGGACCAGGTAAATTTCAAGATTAGATTTTCCTGTGTTTCATCACTGCATATTATAGGAAGTATCCCATGGTTCTTCGTATCCGAGATTTTCGCTTCTTCTGTAAGAGGTAATGCCAACTCAATCGCCGTCATGGTTAATTGGTTGGCCAATTTGGTTGTTGGACTTACCTTCCTTCCAATCAACGTAAGTCTGCTTTCGCTTTTCGAACACTCAATCATGTTTTCCAGAATGTTTTACATCAATTCTCGTTCTTCGTTTTTACTTTCTTCCTCTCTATTTCAATTTTCTTCACATGGAGGTAACGGAAGCTTTTCAAAGCGATTAAACTTTGTTTTTCAGATTCGTTCCTGAGACTAAAGGCAAGACTGTTGAAGAAATTACAGCCGAGTTCGAAAATAATCGTCGATAGGTAGAGAAATAGGTTTCAATAAGCAGTATTTTGTAATTCTCACAGCTAGCACATGTTAATTCCTCTAAAGAATATTCAATAATAACACTTTTTTTTGCGATAGGGCGAGCTTTAACCTGTTTCATCGCCGTCACCGTTTTGTGACTCTCTTGCTCTGATTTGATAATTTTTAATATTTTCCTAACATTTTTAAGAATTTTTATTAAACAAATAAAATATTGTTTTTTTATTTACAGTATTCCTATTGCAAAGAAACGAGAAAGCCAATGAGTACCCGAATTCAACACCGTGCGACAAGTATGAGAAGCATAGTTAAGATCATAATCAAGTTCAAGTTGTACAAGAGAAGAGAGAAAATCGTTTGAATGTTAAAGAAGGGTTTGAAATTTAAATTCTATTCAATCTGCACTACTTTGTACCAGTGTTTGTTTGCTCTGTCCTAATATGGTCGGTGTCTCAGAACCAGATTGCCTTCGCCTCGGGCATAACGACATCTTACTAATTGCTCTCCAGCTTCGAAAAGTTACCTGAACGACAAGAGATCTATGAGAGAAAAGGATAAGAAGAACTAGCCTCGAGTGCAATCGCAGCCGCAGCAGACTCAAACAGCCCATAAATGCTCGCGTAAAAGTACGAAGTGATAAGTTCGGGTGTTAGTAAGATGATTAGAGATACTAAAAATGATTTATAGCGTGCAATTGTGAATAATCCGTACCCGCTCCTAGAACAATAATCCGAACTATTTTCGCTATAATATATGGCAAAAAGAATGTTGGCCGTCGTTGACAGAGTGCTCGAGAGTGAGCCAGATAGAGGGTGATAGTTAAAATGATTCCAGAAATGAGGAAGAAGATGAATATTAAAAATGACAGAAATAGCCACCCTGAACGGCAGATGGTTGATAATGTTTGTAAATGACACTCTTACGTTCAGGAACTTTTCGTAGATAAGCATGAAGGAACACATTGGAGCTAATGAGGAGAGGAGCGAAAATCCAAGCGAATTCCTTCAAAGGGATTATCTTTCTACATAGGTAACAACTGATATACCTGAAGATATATAATAACAAATACTGTGTGCAAACTATTCACCGTCGAGTCTGTCATCGCATTTCGTACAATCCTGAATAATTTGATTTAGTATTGTGATAAGTAAGGAAGGAACAATAGCAAAGAATGGATGCATAAGGGTTCGCAACAGGGTAAGGATAAGTAGATTTGGGTTGTTTAATTAGAATTTTAGGAAGTTTCGAGTTACACGTATTCACGTTCACGTGAATACGTGGAATGAAATCATTCTTAAGCATGCAAAGCAGATGAACGGTTGTCTTTGATAGATGTAAGTTTTTTTTTTATTTTTGTATGTGACAGGGAGCGAAGGATGAATGTTTGTGTATGTGCGATGATTTTCAAAGAGTCTGAGATGTTTTCGTGGTAATGAAGCAATGAAGTTGAAGATGGAAGACTAAACAGTTGTTTGAGGAAAGCCGGAAGAATTGAAGCAAATTATTCGTAACGTCATGTTTCATTAAAAACATGAAAGTTTGTTGGAATGAATAGTAACATGAAAACGATTTATGGCAGAATATTTCATCATGTGATTATAAATGATAGGTAATTATCTCCGAATATACTGTCATCGCTATTGATTTTACACAAATTTACAGTTTTTTCTCGTTCTGAAGCTCGTTGGCAATGGCTCCGCTCCAGGAAATGCGATTCTGACTCATGTTCAGACGCTCTTTTGAGGTTGGAACATGCAGAACACATAACTTGATGCTCAGGGCAATGAGGTGGAAATATAAATGTGAATTTTAAAAACTATACGAAGAAGTGACATTGCTTGATGAAAGAGTATGGGAAATTCAAAAGGTAAGTTTGGAGTTTCTCATGAATATCCATGAATCTATGCAGTTTCAGATGGAAAACACACGGGAGGCTTGTTATTTTTCCCGTGAAACAAGGTATTAGAAGCCCTTTATTGGAAATGAGGAAATCTGAATCTCATATAACCAGGAAGTTGTTATCTCTTAATGAAATCTCCTTTAATACTTGTGCAGGTAATCGCAACAGTAAACGTGACACAACCGTTCAACACAGATGACTGATGATAAATGATTTTATGTGAAAATGACGGAAACGTCAGTAGGAATTCGTTAGTGAAGCTTGAGAGTAGGGGAGGAGAATGTGAAAGTGATTGAAGAGACATTTTGTAGGATATCATGAAGCGCACAGGACAACAATCAAAGAGCAGAGAAAGAGACCAACAGATTCTGTAGATATGAGCTTTAATGGCTTAAATGAGGTAATTACGGATTTAATGCACAACTTTGATTGAAGCAGACAAAAAGAAAACATAAAAAGAAATGATCGCTTTCTCTCATCTGAGTTTATATTATTTTTTTGTTAATGGAGAAGGCGGATCAGTGGAGGAAGATGTAACATCATGTTGGCTCACATGTACGGTAGTTGTTTAGTAACGCACTAACGTGTGTAGGCGTCTTGCGAGACGATGGCAGGCAATTCGGCTGGTCATGATGTTAACTGAAGATATTCTTCTCATAGCACACGCACACATACACACTAAAGCTGGGCATCGATACAACTTTGACGTTGATCGAGAAAGTTATATCATCTTTGATGTATCGACTATTCAAAAAGTCGATACTCGATATAGTATCGACTATATCGCCCAGCTTTAATACACACACAAAGACTCACACACACAATCTCTCTATTGTATTTTGATGTTTGTGGAATAGTTAGGTTAGGAACAGTTGCGGGAATGTTGCTTTCGATCAATGACACTCAGACGAAAATGCTTGAGATTGAGCAGAAAAAACTGTTTCTATGTAAATATCATTGATGATCAGATTAATTTCATTATAGTTAAAAAGCGTTATCTCTGATATGAGAAGAGATAAAAGTGAGAAAGAGAGCATGAACAATGACGCGAGTTGGGGACTTTGAAAGGGAAAAAAAGAATGAGAAAGTTCAGAAATAATCGGAGATTGAGACTGTTAGACGGGAACCATCAGGAAGTATCATGGAAAAGGAAAGAGAGAAGGAAGAGAAGGAGAGAGTAATTATCTGTGGTGATTTCTTCTACATTTTAAGAAATCTTTTGATAGGGGAATGCCATGCTGTATTTAGAGTTCCATTTCTCTATGTCTGATTCTCGAGTGTGACTTCCATGTTAGTTTCTTTTGTATTTATTTTTTTATTTGAATAATCTAAAAGGTTGTCATATCAAGTTCCAAATTATCTTTCTCATCCTGTTTTCCGTTGTTTCTAAAGTATAATGTTTGAGGTCGAGAGTACGGCACGCTTCATTGGGAGCACGAAGTACAACGTCTGGACGAGAGTAAGATATGCTTCGCGACAATTTTCTGTTTAAATAGTTATTCTAGACAATTTCCTTCCTCTAATCTTGATGTTGATTCGTTTGTGAATGTTGGCTGGCAAAATAACAATGACCGAGAGAAACGGAGTTGCAAAGGTTCTGTTACTCTTATCTATTTCCGTGTCCTTTCACAAAGAAAAAAAGTGTCAGGATATCTAATGGGCTCCTGAGCAATCTCGGAGTCATTCGTTTATTCAATTGATCATGTCTTTTACAGAACGTTTGAATGATTTCTTGTCATCCATACCTCGAAGGGTGTGGTGTATTGTTGTGTCAATATTCGTATTAGTTCTGATTCTAGTAGCTATAGGGATTATTCTTTTACTAGCTTTTCATGTCTTTCCTACTCACAAGAACAGTCCATCTCATGTAAGTATCATATCATTTTCCATTTGTTCACATCAATAAGTTTAGAATCAAATTTCAACGCCACGGTTCATCTTCACGACAATCAGTCCACCCGTTAACTATCCATTGGGCTATGTAGTAGGAACTGTCAGCCATTTTTATGAAACGAATTCCAATGAAACCAAAATCATTCCCGACTATCGAGGATACAAGTACCGTGACAGGTTTCTTTTTTTATTCTTTCTCATCATTCGAACATGCGACTTATAGAATTATTGCTTATACCAATAACTCGATCTTCATCATTGAATCCAACAATATCACCAAGTTGACTAGCAACATGCTTTTTCAAAACGATTGTAAGGATTGTCAACTATTCGCTTTAACTGACGATTGCCTCAAAAATCAAAAATGCCAAACTGAATCATCCATCTTCTGCTGTTCTGGTTGCTCTAATCAAGTGAGTGTGTTAATCATTCATAATCTTTTCAATCGAATCAATCGATAATCGTAAATCTTATTTATGTTGTTTTATGTGCCCACGGGCACAATTAGCATATTCAAGTCGTGCGTGTAGCAATGTTACTAGTGCATTCTCTTATTTTTCATTTTCAATAACACGCCAACGCGATGCGGTTGCCTGTTTATTTTACTTCGAATTACTCAGTACTTTCATTGCAGAATGTTACACGTTGTTCAGTACACGGAAAAGTTATGGATGAGTATTCAAAGATAATAGAATACCGAGTAGCCACAAATGGCAATCAGTTGTTGGAAAGTTCATATCAAAACTTAAATAACTCAACCATTATTCAGGTTTTTTGACAAAACTTATTCAATATAATAATGTTTTTAAATTCAGGTGAAACGCTTTAATGAGTTAGGAGATATTCAGATAGGACCATCAACGTACTTTTCATCTTTGAATGGCTTTCCGTACATATCATCAGTAGTAGCCAATGTGGATAACAGCAGTGTGACCAACTTCGTGGTAGGCTTTGATGGCATATCACGTCTAAGACTGGCAAATGAAACATTGTTCGTAGATGTTCATTTAGATGATATTAGCACTTCAAATGTTATATCATTAATAACATCAAAGAGTGATAGACATATTCTTATTACTTTGCTTGAAAGTAATAAGTTCTATGTTATCAGATACAACTTAGATAATGGGTGTGTCAGTGTTTTAGTCGATAAGAAATATATATCGTTCATGTATCCTGGTAATTTAATAAATGCTTATTGGGTGGATGAGGATTTCCTTATCCAGTATACCCAACGGGACGGGCTTAACCTTGTTCAGTTCTTCTTCAGCTGGCAGGATGACACAGTTTGTAGAATGTAAATCGCTCTTCCTTTCCTCGCCTTCATTCAATGTATTTTTATCACTGGGCTTGCTTACTTTGACAACTCATCAAGAACTCCATGTCTTATCACTAGATTACAAATGTAATCCTCTTGTTCTCATTGTTACTCTTCAATCTGTTTTCACTACTGTCCTATCATGTTTAATAACTTCAGCATTTTAATAAAATTATTAAATGACCTTCGTAACTCTTTCTATTTGAGAAGATTTGCAGCTTTGGAATATCTTTCATTCCAGATGTGGGTAGTTTTCTTAGCAATCGCTTTAGTTCCTTTAGCGAAAGCTGAAGCTGACGGTGATCTCGTCAAAAATTTGCCTGGATTAACGTTTACTCCCAACTTCAAAACTTATTCAGGTTATCTCTCAGCTGGAAAGAAAGAATGGAGAATGCATTACATGTACTTTTGCACATCTTTGTTTAGTTTTACAACTCTATTTGTAGGTTGACGGAATCCAAGAGCCACCCTGAAACTGATCCAGTGCTTGTATGGTTCAATGGAGGACCAGGATGCTCATCTTATGCTGGTCTGTTCGAAGAGTTAGGACCATTCCAAATAAACTATGACGGGCAGTCTGTTTATGAGAACGTGTATTCATGGAATGCTGTAAGTACATTGTTTTTTACTTAACTTATTAGTATGTTTCAAGCAAGCAAACGTTCTCTATTTGGAATCACCAATAGGTGTTGGTTTCTCATATATGAAAGGAACAGATAATTACACCACAGCTAACGACGATCAGAGTTTATCACAGAATTACAATGCTCTTGTTGATTTCTTCACCAAGTATATAACAGCGTTCTACATTTGAAAGATATAATTGTTTTAGTGTTCATCCTCGATTCAAGAACAGAACTTTCTATTTATCTGGAGAGTCCTATGCTGGTATCTACATCCCAATGCTGTCAAAAGCTCTCGTTCAAGCAATTAATAACTCAAGCTTCCCAAATCCCAACTTCCAAGTACGATGACTTGCTATCTAGAAACTTATCAGTTTTCCAGGGAGCAGCTATTGGAAATGGCTTCTTAAATGTAAAGTTGTTGTACAATTCAATCGTGGCTTGGAGTGCTTATCATGGTCGTGTTGGACCAGAGTGAGAATGATGAGAATTCTTGCATCACATTACATTTGGTTTGCAGGCAATGGGATACCATCAAAACTTCTTGTAGAGACGGCAACGCCGCTCCAGCTGATAATGACCTCATAGATTACACTAAGCATATTATTCCTCTTCTCAACAATGGTCTGTTTCAACATGATCATCATCAGTGATGAAGTAATTTGAAGGTATTGACTTCCAAGGAGATACTACCACCTGTGGACGTCTTATTGATCCTCTGATTCGAATGCCCGACAAGTAAGATCACCTAGTTATATTTCACATTATGAAGATTACAGCATGTTCCCATACAATTTCTTCCAAGACTGTTACGATTCTGCTTATATTGAATCAGCTCCGCCTCCACTTAAGCCTGCTCATCGTCGCCGAGTCCGTAGAGATACCGGTTTCCAAGGTTCCCAAACTATCGATAAGAACACAGCGGTTTGAAAAATCTGTATCAACAACTTTGAAGAAGTTTTCAAATGTTTCAGAAGTTACTCAATCACATATCAACTGATAATCAGTGGGGTTATAATTGTTGGAACGAGAACGCTCTACAAATTTACTCTAATCGAAAGGATGTTCAAGCAGCTCTAAACATTGATCGTGATTGGCAGAATCAGATGAATGGAAAGTTCCAATGGACAGATTGCAAGTGAGTTTTGCAGAAGCGAACGAGATCAAATGTTAATCTTAGCATGTACATTTATAATCAATACCACAACACGTACAATGACACCGCTGATTTCTTCAAATACGTTATCGATAATGTGAAGGTTTGCTCTACTTCTGGATTGGATTTTTGAAAAAACTGATGTTCTAGGTTCCCAACTTCCGATTCCTCATTTACAATGGTGATATTGATACAGTATGTAATTACTGGGGGGATGCTTTACACATGAGAAACGTTGCTCAGAATTTGAGACAAATGAAAGCACGTTGACTAGATTAGCTTCTTCTTTACTTGAATCTATTTCAGTTTACCAACAGAAACTACTGGTATTTCAGTAACAACAACCAAACAGCTGGATATCAGATGAGATATTCTGGAAAATCAGGAACCAATAGTGATATGACCATCGATGTCATCACTGTAAAGGTAATATCTTGAAACTTGTTGTACCATGTATTCTAACTTCTTATCAGGGAGCTGGACATATGGTTCCGAACGATCGACCAGGACCAGCTGTTCAGATGATTACCAACTTCTTATTCCCAACCAAAAACGGCGTTGACTATTCCAATCAAATTCTTGACCCCACTCCTCAGGTACGTAACTTTCAAATAAGGCGCTAAAATACGTATTTTGTTTCAGTTCTCTAAGACCATATATGACAGTTTCTCAGCGTCATTTAACATTTTGGGTGTGGTCAGTTGCTTCATCTATCTCTTCATTTTCTAATCATGTCACTCCCATGTTGTCTTTGGTTTTATCTTTGCTTTTGATCTGATCAAGATTTCACTTTCAAGTTGTATTACAGTTGTTGCATGTTCTTTATATGAGAATCGAGAAAGTTGAGGAGAAACTCATATTTCCCTTCTCACCTAACCTTTTGAATAAATGAAAAACTTCTCAGGTCTGAACATTTAGTTCTAACTTATCACCAGGTCAAATTGTGTCCCAATCTCTTGAGGAATTAGTTTGAGAATCCTCACCCAGTTTTAGTGTGTTTTTGGATTATCATCATGACATTGGTTGGTCAACACTTAGATAATCCAGTTACTTGGCGTCTATGACACTCTGTTTGAGTTTTCTCAGTCGCAGGGCATGATATAATTAACCATTGTTCTTTTGTTAAGTCTCTATAAGATGGAATGCAACCGTTCCGGACGGTTTGAGCTGGAATGCAATCTTCCGGTGCGTAAGACCCAAATTTCTCCAGGCCCCACCCCCGGCATGTGGGCTGATGAGCTTTTCCCCTCTCTCTGGAGGACCTCCTGATAGAGAAGAGTGGAGCTCACCAGCTCACATCGCCGACTGACGTGAATCGGACGCTTGCAGGCTTATATACCCCTGTGAATGCGCTCCACGTGGAAAAAAATTTTACGTGAATAAAAAATTGACCCGGTTGTTCCCTTTCTTGTAAAAACCGTAACTCTGCTTAAACCTTATGAAATTTGATGTTTTTTGTATCATTTCTTATCAAAATTTGATTCTGAACCCGACTATGAAGTTTATTTCTCGTTTTGACAAAGAAATTTGATGGAAAATCATTTAAATTCTGTAGATAAGCCCTTGTTAGCGAATGACTACGATCTGCCAAGTTCCCCAAATGTGTAGTTTGAGCCTTTTTAGTTGTGAAGGTTGTGTATTCTCGCATTTAGTTCTTATACTTTGTTTTTTTGATGGAAAAATTGAAAATACTGTGGCTCCCGCGCGCGCTAAGCGGAAGTCTGTTTTCTCGTGTTGCTCTGTCATCTCCTTCCCCTTCTTTTTTCTTGTGCTCATTCAAGTGCGATGAACAGAAATTTTTGTTATTTCTCTTTTTCCGATTTTTGAAAAGAATGAATTGCCCAGCTGGTTATGTTCAGTTGAATAGTAGACAGAGCTATTCGANTCTGGCCCCCTTGATGAACTCGGAGGCCACAGAGGGCCAAGTTTGTCGGGGGAAGGGGAGGGGAAGGTGTATAACCTTCTTCTCCCACATCATGGGGGGATTCGCTGATCCTCCCAGGAGAGGAGGGAGAACTCTCGATCTCTCTCTTAAAGAGGGTGAGAGGTGTTCTCCTTCCTCAGAGGAGGGAAGGGAAACACTCAATGTAGACAGGCGGGCATCGTCATTTTTTTCAGAATCTGAAACAGATTAACACCCTTCCTTTATCTTCCCCGGAGGAG